TTAGGTTTTATTTTTTATGAAACATTGAATTCTAGCCTACATGAAATATTATGTATTAAGTTTTTATATTTTCAACTTCTGACAAATTACTTTTAGGCCTAATTTTATACAATTTCTAATTTTCTTTGAATATTTAATGAGCTATAAGTAACCAACAATATTTCTTAACAGTAAAATAAATTAAGGAAAATACATTAAAACACATTAGTTTGGTTTAGTTTTAACTTTTAAGTATTTTAAATTAAAAAAATCCAACAGGTGCAAGATTCAATTTGTACATTTGCACAAGCGGGTTATTTATTAGTTTTCTTGATAAATATATTTATTATCTTAGCTTTAAGCTCATGGCTCACACAATCCTACTACAAATGTCACAAAGATTTAGGCCTACCTTATTATTGCGCGAAACTCTGTATTTAACCAGATGTTTGTACTACAACGTTAATGCGGTGAATTACCGGTTAACCTGGTGTTTACCAATTATTCATTTAATGACCAATACAATTATTAATTAGCAAACGCTCTCTAACATTTTCTAGTCATACCAATATCAAATCAAAACAAATTCATACGTACCGTAGCGTAAACGTAATAAAAGTTTATATGGAAAAGTTCAATGATTGACTCAAAGTGTGCATCTCTACATCAAGAAGGGGTTTTTAACGAATTCAATACACATTTAACAACAAACTTTTAAATATGACACTCCCAATTGATTATTTGATTATTTAATCCCGTGAAAATTTACTGCCTTTAGCAAATATATATTTTATTTCTAGAGAATAAAGGGCCTATATGTAATTTAAAACTAATAATTTTATACGTTTTTCAATTGTGTAAACTATGAAATTTTAGTTTCGATTGTAAAACGTAATGATTTACTAAATAAATATTGGCAAAGTAAATACCAGATGAATTAGTTTGCCTGAAGATTCACTCAGAGCATTGTTGTTTGTTTACCTAAAGTCTTTAAGTATCATTGGCTGTTGAGCTTAGTGATGATTTTCAGTTACACAATAATGTAGTTATCTTTACTGATAGGTATAGGCCATATCTGAAGTGGTTTGGTGAATGGTCCTATGTCACCTTATCAGGTTCAAAATGTTCACTTATTATTTTTGCTTAATTATTGTGCATTTTCAAAATACGTGCATAGTACTTGATTATGCCTTGTCAGAAAAGTGTGAGACATTTATTTTAGGCTAATTCAAGTTTTTTTTAATATTTTTACATACAGGTACTTTTGAAATTTTAATTAGTTTTTAGTCTGAACTATATTGCAGCTAATGGCAATTAATAAACTAATGTGCAATATGTATTATTGGATTTAATTTGAACCAATATTTTTAAGTGTAGTGGTAGTATTAAGAGTTTCAAGTTAATATTTAACTAATAAGGCCTACTTTACTTTGATTGACAGCTAAAATAATTTAAAATAACGTAACACTGTGGTCAATTAATCAATTGCAACCATTTTGTAATGAGGAGTTATAATTTACTTGAAATCATTTTTATTGACTGCATAATAATTTAAAATTACTTATACAATTACATAAAAAATAATCAGAAGAGTAATGGCTCATGAGGCCTTTAAAAATTATTTTGTTAAAAAAGAGTATTAATATGTAATTTCCTAGCATTTTAAAACAGTTAAAAATTAATTTTGGCTTAGAACGAGTTAAACTAATCCAACTTGTTTTAAATTTTATTAGGTACTGTATTTATGAACACCTTACAGCTTTAATCAATTGATTTAAAGGATGCTTGTTGTTTTAAAACATATCTTGAATTTGTCACACGTAACTCTCGAGATGGTTTTTAAGTGTGCGGAAAGAGCAACTTGAACTATTGATTAAGATGTCACTCATTTCTGGTCCATTCTTAACTACTGTACCCGATAAGAAATATTTAATTCCTTATTTAGAAATAGAATTAGAAGTAGAAATATTATTTAAGTATATTAGGATAAAACGTTAATAGAATAAATAGTTTGCCTTTTCTACTCCTTTAGTAATTTTTTTACTTATATTTTGTCACATATTTTTTTTAATCATGGGGAAATTTTAAGTAAAATTATGAAAATGCTGAGAAAATATTAGAAAAAGTATATAAATTCTAAAATCTTATTTAGCCTACATTTTGCATCAATCAATTTATTTTGCCACCAACTTTCTCTGATTTGATAATAATGTGACATTTTTGACAATCTATCTAGATTTATATTAATAATACGCTACATGAAACTTAGTGAAGCATAAGGCTTTTTTGTTTTAAGATTTACCCCAACATATTATATACCAAAATGTTCGTCTAAGTTTGTAGATGTGCAAACTGGCTTAAGGTTTTTTCGAAATATATCTTTTTAAGGGTGTGGGCTGCCCTCAAAGTTCCTTCCATAAGGATAACATTGTGATTGATTTGAATGTTATCACATTCTGAAACAGGTGTCAATACATTTGTTTTCCATCAAAAATTAATCCCAGCTGTTTTGTTTGGTTTTGACATGCAAACAGTTTGCAAAAACAGTTAGTTTTTTAAAATACCTAGAAAGCCGGCAAAGGAATGTTGCCTGTAATATAGAAAACGGCGGGAAAAAGTCTTACATTTTATTTTTGTTTAAACATGCCAAGGACGAGACGACAAAGAAATATTGACGGTCGGACACGGCAAGACAATATACGGCAAGTAATGCAAAAAGGAGCCCAGACGTGGAGCTGGAACAGTTAGTGGCAACGTGCTCTTACAAAATTGCACTGACAAATACCAGAATTCAGCAGCATTCACTTAGCGAGATGGCATTAAAATGTCAGAAATGTGGTGCACTACATTTTAAAGAAGAACAAAGAGGACGAGGCAAAGCATTTTCATCCTGCTGCCAGAAAGGAAAAGTGAATCTACTATCATGCCGAGAAAGCCTTTATATCCAGAGTCTACTTAATGGAGCAAATCATGTGGGCAGAAACTACAAAGAGAACATTAGATCGTAAAACTCTGCGCTCGCAAATGCAGTTAACATGGAATCTTCAAGTGCTATCTGGAGAAGAGGAACTTGCAACAACTATTCTATTGAACGTAGGCAATGACACACTGCCGTCCAGTAACGTTAAACAATCAGCATCTGTGTTACCTTCACGATTGTTTAGCATTGGATCACCAGTTGATTTTATATACTCAAGTGAAACTTTAAACAATATAATCTGTGTACAACTTACTGCCAACCCGCTATTCTGTGTCCACTAAATGAAGATTGTTTCGAAAAGACAACGCGATCCTTAAAAAAGTACCAGGCAAAGAAAGAATTTATCTCAGCGTGGTCTCAGTGAACACCAATGATGCTTCTGAACAATTAAAGTTTTCTGTTGAATTCCTTAATAGTCTTGAAGTAAGTGGTCTTCCACGACACAGTATAGCTCTGAAAATTTGCACCTTTGTAATGCTAATGTGAAACCTTAAAACAAGAAAAGGCATAATCAATGATACCTGAATGAAAGTTACTGGCCTGTAAACATTGGATGTGAAGTTTTGACAGGATCGAGCCAAGGCCAGCTAATTTTAATTCCAGTTAAGTTTAAATTTAAGTTAGGCTTTCTCCTTCTGATTCAGTTTTCCCATTTAAACTTGACACGATACCAGTTCCTTATCTGGGTTGCAAATGCAATTACAATAAACAAAAGTCAGGGACAAACCTTTAGAAAGGTAGCACTGAAGCTCCCTAAAACCGGTCATTTCGCATGGACAACTATATGTTGCACCCAGTATTGCAAAAAGCTTCGGCGCAGCAAGGGTTTTCGTTACTGAAACTCACAAACAATTTGTTGACAGTGAAAATTCCATCCATACAACTTAATGTTGTTTTTAAAGACATTTCTGTGTATTTATCTTTAATTATTTTGAACATGTTTTAAAATGTAGCTTAATTATTCTGTCCTTGATTAGTTTTAGTTCCAAATACATTTCATTCAAAATATTCTAATTTATCATTCGTGCGAATTCGCACGGGTCCACCTATTATTGTATTATGTAATTTACTTAAGAAAATAGTAGAAAAAGTTCCTTTTTGTCAACTAAGACAGAACCTCTCGTAATTGGTATTAGCCAATTGACTCCTTGCATTGGCCTAATGTGCCCTTCTTTTCTGCTAAGTTTCCGCTATTCTCCAACAGCGAAAATATCTTTTCTACAGTATTAAATATGATGGTAGTTTGCTTGTCTGCTGCATCCAGGCTCCTCACCACTTATTTGCATCATTTGTAAACAGAATGACACAATTTGCAGCTCCGTAGCTGACGTGTACACTTCGCTTTGTGTTTTTAAATTTTTTGTTAACTATTGAGTCTCTTGCCACATGCCAGATAAGTTTTTATATTACAAGAAACATACCGGATGCTGACATTTATCGCTAGATGACTGAAGGCTATCACCCTAATGCAATGACTGGAAGGCTAAAGTGCGGGAATGGGTTATGGAGTGTAAAAATAGCTGTGAAATCCTATGTGGTCTTCTGTGAGACCAAAACCACAATTCCTTCCTAAATTAACATTTTCATGGCCATTTTTAAACTCCCTAAACTGTTTCTGCACTTTCCCCTTTATCATTGTATCAGGATCATAAACTACAGTCTTCTGGCAATAAATGTCATCATTGGATATGATTCTTGTAGTCAAAAACATATCACTAACCTTAACTCACTTGCGGCGGGAGATTCGATAGTTTTTCTACAGAGACATAGCGAAGTATACATGTCAGCTACAGAGCTGCAAATGGTGTCATTCTGTTCACAAATGATGCCAGTAAGTGGCGAGGAGCCTCGTTGGGGTGTACAAACCAACCAAAGATTGTTACGCAAAAGTACTGCAATACTTCATCTTTTTTTGTCAATGGGCTGAGTATTGAAATTCCTGTTGGGGAGGGGGTTAGAGTAGGTGGAGTGACAGGAAGGACTTTGTATTCTTGTAAGAAATGTTTTAAATTCAGCATCTATGACTTCAACTATTTTCCAGATCCGAAGCCACCAACGGGTTCCATCAGGGTCGCAGGAGTTCATAGAGGTGACCAAGAGAGATGCGGAGAACCGTCTTCAGCTGGAACTGGAGCGGATGCTGGAGAAGACTCCAGAGATTGGGAGGACCAAGTTCCAGAAGGAGTTTGATGGATTTCGGAGGCTGTTTGATAGGTTCCTGAGAGAAACTGGACCGAGCATAGACTGGGGCAAGATTGAAAAACTGCCAGAAGGAGCGGTAAGTCCTAAACTAAATTATGCCTTTATTCCTTTATCTCTACGATAATTTTTTTTTTAATATGAATAGTTTATTAACTTATAGAATAAATTAAAATGTATTCAAAAATGTTACATTGGGCAAATAAGATTACACTTTAAATTCATTTTTGTAAAAAGGTAGTTCAGGTAATGTTTAAAGCAAGGTAGATTGTGTGTAGTGAAATTTATGATAGAACCACCGAGTATACTATAAAATAAAATTTATATCTATAAACTTCATAAGTCTTGTTGAATGACAGTCTTAAAAATAGTAGTCTTCACAATTTATAACAGTTATCAATAGATAGTTTTTTCAAATATATTTGTTGTACCCTCTCAATCCCAAGGGAGCCCAAAATCATCTTTATCTTATCACGAAAGTGTGAACTAAAAAGTCCCCTAAGGCATAATCTGCAAGGCTGTCTCTTCAATTCTTTGAAAAGCCCAAATATAATTTCTTGGAATTCTGTGGAGCTGATACAGTGAATCACCAGCAATCTACTTCCTCATACAAGCCCCACCAAAAAGTTATCTTGTCTTTTCAACACAGATGAAGCAGGGCTGACATGAGTGGACGGAAGTGTTTAACTACAAAAGATCCAACAATACGATTTTAATACTATTTAAAGGTTCTTCCAAAGGAAGAGGTACCAGATAACATACTAATAACAACTCCGATGACGTACGGTATAGGAAATATTTTATTCATTGAATGATCAACCATTTTTGGTAACTAACGCAATTAATATCATTATTGTTTTTACACTGATTACTCTTTAAACAATGCTAAATGCTCAAAATATGTATAATTTCACTTAATTTATCGCAGTTGGATGAATTAGCGTAAGCCTTGTAAGTAACTGTCGATTTTGACAGGTTTCACCTAGTATTTATAATATTATCATAACCCATATCAATCCTTACAGTAGTAGTTTACAATGATTATAGTTTAGATGCCTGTTATGTTATGGTTTAGATGCCTCGTACATCAAATCAACAGTCACAATTTTTTACAGAAAATAGGATAAAATTATGTTAATCACTTTATATTTTAATCTGGGACCAATGTGTCCAACATGCGGCAAGTCTATGGTAGTGTTGTATCGATTGTCCACCAATGAGTCATCTGCCTAGTGCCACTGTCTTATACGTTTTTATTGAAAAATCGTACCATCTAGTTTTTTTATTATCGGAATGGAGTCATCTGGTCCCAATTGATCCGGATAAATTGAGTTCTACTGTATAAGGTAAGGATGTACAACTGAAAGATAATATAACTCATTTCATTCTATAGGTATGTTAATTGTCAATCTGTCGTTTCTCCAGGTGAGAGACTATGGCACTCTGGAGACCCCGTCAGCAGACAAGATACATGAGATGTTGAGCAAACTGATCGTAGTGAAGCTCAACGGAGGTCTGGGTACGTCCATGGGCTGTCACGGGCCCAAGTCTGTCATACCTGTCAGGAGTGACTTCACCTTTTTGGACCTGACTGTGCAGCAGATAGAGGTAATCTGATAACGAGTCTCTTGTACAACCAAAATAACAACTACCGGTATCCAAAAAAATGGCCTAAAGAAATTTGTTTAACACCAAAATGCATATTTGGCAAAACGATAGAAAGTGAAGTGACAAAAAAGAAAAATGGTGCACAGGGTTTGTGGTTAAGGTTGTTAACTGCCACATAATGCAAACATACTACTACCCTCCTACTTTATGATTTAGTCTGGGTAGAAGTAGATGGAAACAGATGCTAGTCTGTCAGTGTTCAAAATGGTGGTGATATGGCAAAATTTTCCAAAAAATAAAAATAAATATGGAAGTGAAAAACCAATCAGTAAAAATGTGCTGTAGATTTTACAAAAACAGAATTGACCTACCTTACATGTGTGTCAGGATTTAACATTCTGTTACATATAACCTTAGCATCGCTTTTGTTACATCACTGCCTTACTGTCATAATCAGTTTAAGAAATGTTGAAAAATTCCTGTTTAACTTGATATTATAGTAATTTGTAATGACCTCCCAACTTTATTTTCTGCTGACCGAGATTATTCAGTAGGTCTATTAAGAGATTATCCTATATCTTATACCTGACATTTTTCTAAAACCATAGATTTTTAAATCGGCCTAGATAAAAGTTGTAGGCCTAGATTACAATTCAAAGAAAACCTTTTTGACACAAATATAATAGGTCATAGACCAACTTTTCCTTAAGATTCAAATAAAAGGAAAACAAAATTGAAATATTTTACCACTTTTACTGATGGTACAAATCTAAGTTTTGTTCTTCAGTTCTAATACAAAGTTTACTTATTGTAGATTTAAATTGTCTTTTGAACTTCTATTACTACTTTTTGTAAATTTTCCACTCTGAGTAAAAATTTTTCCTGCTAATACTGTTAGAAATCTAAACACAATTTTTAGCTCAGCAATATAGCTTGCCTGCTACACAGTAATTGTAGTGTAAACAGCAACAACTGAGTATTGTGATCGTTAAAGTAGTTCTAGTTTGCAAACTTGCCAGACTGGTTGCTGTTACACATACTAGTTGACGTTTAAATACCGGTACAACTGCAGCTGCAAGAAAAATGGTTTCAATAATATAAATCAATAGGTTTTCTATTGTGTTGTCTCTCTTTAAAAATAGGTTGATGTAGCCTAAATTCATCTAGTGCTGGACCTATTTGTATCAATGTTAAAAAATATTGACTTCGATGGTTAAATATTTTAATTACATGGTACAAATTCTAAACAATTATTAGCCTAAATTTTAGTACTAGTGAAACACAGGTACATATACTCATGTTATGAACACTCTGTATAATACCATGACATATTGGTATTAGTTATTTTTATTTAATTATCTTGAAACCCTGTTGTTTGAATAATTTTATTGTAACTTTCTCTGGTGTGTGTTTTTACACATTTGGCACTTTAGTAAGGTGGAGAATTTCAATATCTAGTCCTTAGAGGGTGATACAATTCAGTACATATTAATGCTCATAACCTTGCCGTTATGTTAGTCCTGCCAGATATATATTTAAAAAATGTTTGTAATTTATTATTGTAAAACCCTCGTCTAACGTTCAAGTTCAATGTTGAGTAATTGAAGACTTCAATAAATTGCTTTATTAGGTTTCAATTCAACCTTTGACTCAATAGTCAGTGATTCAACCAATCTTTCTTTTGCAGTTAATTAGTGCACATAACAATTGGTGATCAAATACTTGCTCATGAATTTATTAAACACTGTCGTTACAAAATAAAAAATTAAAAAAAACTGGGCCCTCTCCAGGGATCCAGATAGATTTTCTGATTTTGTAAGCTCTTCTATTGGTTTGTGACAAAGTTTTCAGGTTTTACAAAAATAAAATCTCTACATTTCTGACAAAGGATTTTATCGTTCTTTTGCCGTATGACGTGATTGTGTGTGACTCCTTGTTAGCCTGAAGATGGTTCAAACTAAGATATGAAACTAGTTGCCACTACAGCAACGGAGGATTTCTTTAGGCAGTTATTCAAACAATTTCACTTAAAAAACTGTAATTGTGTGCAGCATCTCAACAAAAAGTACAAGGTGAATGTGCCGTTGGTGCTGATGAACTCTTTCAACACTGACGAGGACACGCAGAAGATCATCCGCAAGTACCAGGGTCTGCAAGTGGAGATCTACACGTTCCAACAGAGCTGCTACCCTCGTATTAACAAGGACACACTGCTGCCTGTCGCCAAGAACATCAGCATCCACGAAGACTTGGACTCGTGAGTATAAGTGGAACCTTTGAATTTGACTTCTAGGTAATCCCTTCCTGGTCAGGGCATCGACTAGTAACCTTAATAGTAGGCCTATATTGTTGAGGAGATCCACTTCTGTAGTATGTAGGCTATTTTATAAGCTGGGCCGTTCAGTAAATAGGGCTTGTGGGGTTATTAAAGGCCACTAATGATCCTGAGAAAAGTCAGAAGCTATTTGAAACAAGACTCAGCTGTCCTTGATCATTGGGCTTTTAATGGTTCTGAATGGTGCAAGCTTATCTTGGTCAATGATAAAACTGTCATCTCATTTATTCAACTATTATCCTCCACTACGAGGACCTACGAGGCAAAAAATTAACTGAGATTTGTGACGCCCCATCAGTAAGTAGTAAGCATTATCCTCCACTAATCTTTGCCTTTTTGTTCTTAAAGAGATTGGCGGTTTTTTGTACCTTCAATTTTCTCATCCACATAAGCATGGAGTGCAGAAAGGGGTGAGCCTGAACAGTAAAAGAATGAACTGAACTTATAAATTTAAGTTTTGCAGAAGAAAACGCACCTGCGGTTTCCCAATCTGTTATGCAACCAATTCACCACAGTAATTTGTAAAATTTGTTTGTAATTTTTTTACTTATTGGAAATATTTGTTGGTACAGGTGGTACCCTCCTGGCCATGGAGACTTCTACGAGAGTTTCAGCAATTCTGGTCTTCTCACTAAGTTCTTGGAGCAGGTCAGTGCTTCAATTTTATAGAACTAGTTCATGCATAGCCTAATAAATTGCATTATAAATATTTTTAAACATTTTTAAAACATTTCTTCGTCATGTAGGGTTGATATACTGATGACTCTTTGCTACTATTCACTTTATGTAAAGAGATGTAATACTCTATATGACCTTTTCTTTTGTTCTGTTCTGGCACAAAAAAAAATGCAAAATGATACTTTACACTATGATTATAATATTTAATTTTCACTTACAAGCAATTGGGTTCTAAAAAGTTTAAAAACAGATATTGAGTGATTTATCAATAGCAATGGTCTGAACAATGTGTTTTTAAAGTGAACTTTAAGTTGACCCCATATATTTCTAACTGACCACTTGTTGCTGTAGGGGCGAGAGTACTGTTTTATCTCCAACATAGACAACCTGGGCGCCACCGTGGATGTGAGCATCTTCAACCACATGTTGAACTCTCCCCCGGACTTCCGGCCAGAGTTTGTCATGGAGATCACTGACAAGACTAAGGCTGATGTCAAGGTAATTCATTTACTTTTGGTACTAAGTTCAATCTTTGTTTGGATAGAAGGTTGTATAAGCCACTTAACAGAGTCGGCTACTGTAAAAATTGTCCTCCTTAACTTTATTCCTTAGTCTTTGTTACAGTGATGTAACAGTATATAGTTATAGTATAAGTGATATTTTAATTTTTTTTAACTTTGTATGTATGTTAAGGTAGACAAGACCCGTGTCATAAAAAAAGTTCATCTCGATTCAACTTCAAATTTCAAAATGGCGGCCATTTTAGTTTTTTTTTTTAACTTAAATTACTCAAAAACTGCTAATGTTATGAAAAAATGTCCAGAACACTTTTATTTAGCATTTTTCATTCCCTATCAAACAATACCAAGTTCAAAACGATTGAATAAGAAATAGCTGAAATATTAGGATTTTAGTTGTAAAATACGGTAGAATAAGGCAGAAGCTAGTCAGGTTTGCCCCATTTTACAACTAAAAATCGTAATATTTCAGCTATTTCTTATTCGATCTTTTGAACTTGGCATCGTTTGATAGGTAAATTAAAAATCCAAAATATAAGTGACCTTGGCATTTTTTCATAAAACCAGTCATTTTCGAGTAATTTGAGTTTTAAAGTTTTAAATGGCTGCCATTTTTAAATTTTAAGTTGAATCGAGATGAATGATTCACCGAGATGAAAAAAGATAAAAATGTTTATGTAAAAAATACAAAATGGCGGATATCTGGTTAACGAAGCGATTTTGGAAAAAATTTTATTCTTGATTTTCTCTTTATTTTGAACCAAGGAATCCCTAGGTAAAATACGTCCCCACCTTTTTTGAACACCCTGTATATGCCCTACCTTCATTTTTAAAGACGCTAGTTTTAGCTCGGAGCTGTTTCACACTTTACTTCAAGCTAGTCCTATTGGTGGTATTTGAACCCAGGACCTCGGACACCAAAGCCAAGCTCTGCCACTAGACCAGCTTGCTCCCCCAGTATAAGTGATATAAAAAAAATTCTATTACTCAATTGGTTTTAAAATTTTGTATATTTTGCCAGTTTCATTAATTGACATCAACACTCTCTGTCAGTGTTTTAATTCAACATTTATTTTCATTTTAAAACTTTCTACCACTTAACATGGGAATGGGACAGCTACTTTTACAACCTTTATGCCAACAAAAGGTCACATTTCTTTTAGCTATCAGGTCTTACCATTTTTCTATTGTTAAAATTGCCAACATTTATCTTGGGTTAAGCACACAATAATAAATATTCGAGAATTGATTGCTCCAGTAAATCTAAATGCCCAATCATTCTTTGCTTTCTAGATCGGTAAGTGAAGTCTGTAAGGGCTGAAGTGAGTCCTGAACCACAACAGATTTATCACATAGCTGCAGCTGGAAACCATTTGTGATGGACCAGAATTGAATTGGAACCTCCAGGACATAAGTCTCATACAGTACTCTAATCCCCAGACCTAGCTAGTGTTATATGTATTCATTTACCTTACTTTTAATTTTTTTAATGGATTTGTTTTATTAATTTATTATTTCTTTTTTTCCAGGGTGGTACTCTGATTCAATATGAGAGTAAACTGAGACTGCTCGAGATCGCTCAGGTACCAAAGGATCACATAGATGAGTTCAAATCCATCAAGAAATTCAAGTTTTTCAACACAAACAACCTTTGGATTAAATTAGATGGTAAGTGTGTGTTTCGAGTGTTGCATGGATCTATTTAGCTTCTAAATGACATTTACATTACCTTGTAAATTAGATATTTACTAGTTTCGATAGTTTTTTCTCTCTTTTCATATGAAATCAGATAGAGTATTATTAAGTGAGAAAAAAAGGAATGTTGAATTTTACTCCAAAAAATGTTTCAGTGTAATTTTGTACGACAGTATTTTTAAGACTAAACATTCTTCTGTGTTTATCTATAATATTGTCAACTCACCTTTGTGTACTTCATTGCAGCGATTGACCGAGTGTTGAGAGAAAACTCATTGAGTATGGAGATCATTGTGAACCCAAAGACTCTGGACAACAATGTTCCTGTCATCCAACTGGAGACGGCCGTCGGAGCGGCAATGAAGAGCTTCGAGAGAGGCCTTGGTGAGTGAGGAAAACCACTTGTAAACAAGAGTTACAGTTTGCCAGTAATAGAAGGAGAGGATTGTTAAAAGAATTATTGCAGAAGTTTTCTGTCAAATCATGTTGAGTTCTCTATTAGCTGGCTATGTATCTGAATTAGTAATTTAGTATCATCAGAATACAATACCCCCTTAACCGATTCCTAATGGGGTCGGACAAAAGTCAGATAACTCATAAGGTTGGTTATAACGGGCAATCCCTAAAAATTTAAAACAACGAAGTGTTATTAATTTATAATTATATAAACATTATTCTGAAGTGGTGGGTGCATTAGTTACAAAATAAACTACACATAGGCCTATCTCCTTTTAGTGAATTTCCCATATAGGGAATAAGCTATTACCGTAGTACTCATAGTAAGACCTGGACCCGAGACCGATTTATTTTTTTGTTTTGAGGTCCCTAGAGGCCAATAACACCATCTGTTCAAATTCATATATATATTGTGTGTGTCCGTTAGCACAATAACTCAAACAAAATTGATCCAATTTTGATGAATTTTGGTATAAAAGTGTAAACCTATTTTATTCTAACGAGTTCGCGAACCAGCATGTATGGACAGGTTGACTATGGGAACAGGGGTTTATGGGGTTAAAATTGCTTTTCCTATTTTTGACCCAAAAAACATAACATTTAGCAATTTCTTTCCAAACCATTTTGTAGAACTTAAAAAAACAAATGATTTAGTATCATTCCAAAAAACTGTAAATTTAAAATTCTTATGGAGAATAAGTAAACTGTTGTAGTTTGCTTGTTTATGAACATACTTTGATCAAATTACTGGACTTGATTTTAACTATTCATGTAGAATGGTATAATGGGAGGATGGAGAATGGTGGCGTCGTCGCTATACCTGCAGTTTGCACTAGATGCGGAAAAATACTGCCACTCATTATTCATTATTGGGTCAACACCTCCCTGCTCCCTATATTTCTTGCAGTGCATCACCCAACTGACACGTCTCTGTCGCTTGTCAGGTATAAATGTTCCTCGTAGTCGGTTCCTCCCTGTCAAGAAGACGTCAGATCTGATGCTGGTGATGAGCAACTTGTACAGTCTGGACCACGGGTCCCTAGTGATGAGTCCGCAGCGAATGTTCCCCACTACACCCCTCGTCAAACTGGGCGACAACCACTTCTCCAAGGTAAGTGAACTCTATCTACTGCAGTTTTTTTCTACTGTATTCATTTAGGTTCACCTTGAAGTTTGGAGCATGCCATGTATTTCAAGTGGCAGTTTCAAAAATACTAGCTATCTTAAAAATATCAGTAACCTTGAGACACTTCTTTTCTCATTACTTGTGTTTTTACTACTTAAGGTGACTAAACTAAAGTCAAAATCCAAGTCAGAGTTAAAATACAGATCTCTCTTAATAAAAACACTAAGATTATAAAAATATATGAAATGTATTTCAGCCCCTTTACAAGGTGTTGTGAGGACGGTTGAATGTTGACAGCTAGTGTATTGTTGAATTGATAAATGATTGGCCTGGAAAGCCAAACATTGTTTTTATCAAGATGTTGGAGGGGGTTTGAGGATCACCTTTGTAAAAGGATACGATGACAAATTATTTAATTTATGACTAGAATGTCACAAATTAATGTGAAGACTTTATTTTATATTTCCTTCTTTTGGTGACTATTTTAACTTTCAGGTTAAAGAGTTTTTGAGTCGCTTCGCCACAATCCCAGACATGCTTGAGTTGGACCATCTTACTGTGTCGGGGGATGTCACTTTTGGGAAAAGTGTCTCACTGAAGGTAAACCTTTTTGCTCTTAAAAGTCTATAATGAATTAAACTGTAGTGTGTGTTCAAAATGTTGAATGCACATAGCTCTTGGACAAATTTCTTGGAGTAGAATATTTGTATGTACTCACAATAGATGTCATAGTTAGAATGTTAATGTCATTGTTCTCCTATGTTAATGTTAAATGTTCACTGACAATTGATTTCAACCTACCGTATTATCTATGATCGAGTACAGTAAGCATTTTGAAAATGCTCATAAATGTTTTTCAATTCTAATGAGAAATGTTTAAAAACGCTAATATGTGGTTGAAATTCAAGCTAATCACAAGTTTGTCCCATATAACAACATTTGTACTATTGTATAGAGTAAAATGTACAGTATTATTCGACTTTTACGTGGTTTTGAATTCATACAGATATATTTGTGCTAAGTATTAAACATCTTTGGCTTTCACAGGGAACTGTCATCATAATTGCGAATCACGGAGATAGGATTGACATTCCAGCCGGGGCGAATCTGGAGAACAAAATCGTCTCGGGTAACCTGAGAATACTGGATCACTAGATGCAGGTTCAGCAGCACTGAGAGCACATCTAGATCGCACAAAGACTAGTCTAAAGTGCCATTTGTACATAAATTATATTGTATATTGTGATCATTATGTTAGGAATCAACCATACCGTATATATATATATATATATATGTTTTATTGAATTTGTTACAGTTTATTCTTCACACTAGATATCTAAAGTTAAGTTGTCGAACAACTTCAGTTATTTATATTTTGTTATTTAGCCTAGCTAAAATAAATCAAATATCTACTTTCAAGTGAACTTTTTTATTTTTTATATCCTGCAATGTTTCTAAACCATGATTCGTTAAACAGCCTGTTTGATCGTAGCTGTGTATAAAATCAATTCAGGCATGATTTTTGCTTACATTTATTTAGATGTTGATAGTCTCTGAAGCAGCTGAGTTTATTCTTAATTTTTGTATCAATCAATCAATTATGGGGACGCCGTGCAACAGTGCTCATGTTGTACCCTTGGTTAGCAATGTTTTGATTGTTAATATTATTGTTTGCACTTTAGAAGAGCTAGTTTTCTGCTTGAGGAACCTATCCTTTTTTTCTAGATAGGTGATCCCTCTGCTTAAGGGGTGTTCCAAAACACCAGTTTTATGGCATCAATAAAAGCCATTGATAGGATTTTAACTCAATCTTACGCTTTAACCACAAAAAGAGCCATAGCATTTCTTCGAAAATGCTTTAAGTTGCTCAAGCCAATATTTGTTCATTCTGTGTGTTGAACATACTCTTTTTAAGACAGAACTTGCTTACTATGGGAGCAGGGTTGAAAATAAAAACCATAAACCGTGTCACTGTATATAATTTTATTTGTCTTTTTTTTTCACAAACAAATTTGGCATAGGCTACAATTGTCATGGAAGGAGTCAATTTGACAAAGTAGGCCTATATATTTTAATATCTTTAAATAAACATTCAATTTATTTTATAATCAACCTAAACTAAGTTTCAACCCAAATAAATCATGGATGTAAATATGCAGTCATTTTTAGAACATAATTCACAATGGTTAAAAAACCAATAGGCTATATTTCGCGAGTGCAAAATCAATTTAATAGACCTATGTATCCCAGTACAAAAGCACACTGAACTTAAGTCATATTAAGTATGTCTAAACTAGTCTATAACTTATAGGAATCATAAATAGGAAACTTATTATCTACATTTTTGTCTTTTTACATCAGACCCTGTTTTCAAGGACATAAAAATTCAGCATTTTCGTCATGAGTGCTTGCAACTAATTAGTAATTATGAGACCAATAATTTTATTTGATGGATCAGAGGTCTATAAAAACAGTGACATAATAATAGTAACATAATAATAAACCATCCATGACATAAATAAACGTTATACTTGAACCATTTTGATCTTAAAAAGGCTACCTAAGTACACTCTCGTTTATCCAAACCCTTGGATTATTCAAAGCTATTTCAGGCCTAAATATATTTATTTTTTAATTTCTAACAGAAAACAATAACACATACAAAACAAAAAACACATAAAAAATCCCCACATACACATAAAATTAACACATAAAATTTGTGTAAATTACGTTATTAACGTATGTTTCTGTTTAAAAGTAAAAATATCAATTAGTTAAAATGAATACTTTAAATTCAAATAATCATTACAAGTATTCAACTTAAACGCGCGGGAGATCCTCAATAACCTTGAAAATAAAAATCACATAGTACTAGTTTGACCACTAAACCGTTGGCAAGTAGAGCCATCTGCAGAACGTAAACAATAGCAGTGTATTTCCACTCAAAGTTTTGATTCCAATAACCTTGGTTAATCGGGAGTGTACTGTAATAAATGCAGTGGATAATTAACGTATACACTAGGGATGGGAAATTATCTCTAGTTTTGTTCTAAAACTGCTTTTGTCCGTGATTCCCAAGCTACAGACAGCCGTTCATTTGCTATGTCATCAACTGACTGCAATTATAAGCAGACTCAGGCATCAGAGCTGCTGGACATCACTAAGATAAGGCTTAACTACATTTATGACAGCTGATTTTACAATGGTACAGCTCCAGTTGTTATACTTGTAGCATTGACTATTGGATACTGTAGCTTACAAAAAGCACTTTAAAGTATAAGTAAATTTGGAGTATGAACTCGTATTTTTAGCTTGTGTTAAAATAGTTTCACAAATTGTAATCGACTGGCCCTTAATTTTATGAACTAGTACTCTTCTTTATTTAGGAGCATCTCTTGGCAGTCAAGAGAATGATTTAAGAAAACTTGCACTACTTTTCTTCCAACCTTGGCTTAATATCGGCAGTTTATATGCTCTAATTACAAATTATTCAATGACAAATTACCTAGACGTAGCAATGAACTTAAGTAGCATTGATATAAGTGTCCTCCTTTATTTTTATGTAAATAATGTGGCAACATCTAAATTATGGCTAAAAAGTTGTTCCTCCTCCTTAACAAATAATGTACCATGAGAGTCTTATTACACGAGGTAGTCTAGCGATGGATCTGGCTGCTCAGCTTGCTAAGGACTACTATTGATTCTTATATGGACGTTTTTACACGAGGGTAGCCAACGTGGCCACACTTTGGCTACCGAGCCCCTACGCCACTCCGGTCGCCACTGGCCATAAAACTGGAAACATTAAAAAAGTAATTAAAAAACATATTTCTCATTCTGGCTACTGAACTGGCTACTAGGTTTGGTAGCCAATGCGTTGCCAGCTACTGCCGCTGGCGATGTCGCCAGCCTACCTCGTGTAATAAGAGCCTAAGTTGTCTTACCCATAAACCAATCTTGCAAACAAATTGTCACCCACAGATTCATTTACAATTCGGTAGTTTTTACTTACCGTTTCTTATTAGGAACTGACTTAAACCATAGACAAAAATAATTAAATATAGACTGTCAGCTGTGCTGCGGTTACCATAGGTTCTGGCGCACACCGCTGGGAGCGTCATGTAGTTACGGTGTACGCGCTACGTAAACTACACGGCGCTCCCAGCGGTGTGCACCTATGGTGACCGCAGCACGGCTGACGGTCTATATTTAATTCTTGTTGTCTATGCTTAAACTCTTGAGTACTGTACACAAAAATTAATAAAATCAACAATAGACTCTCATTATACTGTATTGTGTTTACTTTTATCTCGATTGAAAAGTCTTCTCCATGAAAATGCATAATAAGACGTTATACAATTTGAACTTTCTGCCCCACTTGAGCCTCTACAAATATCTAATCTGTTAGTATCTAAGTTTGTGTAGACGTTTCATCTGCCCATATTTATATGTCATCCAGCTTGACAAGAACAACTTTTTCAATATGATAAATTTTTAACTTAATAACCTTATACTTACGATTAGGCACAGTATCTTACCTCAAAACTAAATCACAGTTTAATTGATTATCAATCATGAAATTATAAATAATTGTTCCTATCACACATTGCTTGCAATTACTAGGCCTATTTCACTTAGTGTCGAACACATTACACTTCAAATGCAACAGTATTCAATTTCAAATAGGGAGTTTTGTCACCTTCCTTCAAAGGAATCATTACAAGGTAAGGGAGAGCAAGTATTATAACTAAGTAAAGGTAATACGGAATCGGTGGCGTTGAGCCGAATGGCCACAGCCAAATGCCTCTCCGGAATCCATCTCTAATGTGATGAGAGAAAATCGAAACCCATGTCAACCAACCAAACCTCCAGACTTTGGGTGAGTCGTAAAACCAGCCAACGGCAAGGCACCCGCCCAGAATAACGAGAGGTAGAGTGGTGCAATGTAAAGGTGGTCTTCTTTTACCGAGGTTCAAGGCATTCTGAAAACAAAACAATTTTTTTACAGAAAAAACATTTATAAAAAATAGCAGATAAATGGTATGGTATATACTATTGTGTACTCAAAACATTGCGTAGGAGAAAAACCAAACAAAGCGCATGCAAACACCAGTCAGGCTCAATTTTGAGCACCAGGTGGTTGATGACAAATTATTGTCTAAACCCCTGGCATGGTGTTATAAAAAGTGCACACTGCACTCAGTTTATAAAATATTTGTAAACTACTTCTGTAAACATAGACACAACAAACTGTAATTTAGATCATAAAATAACTTCTAGGTCAACATATATAATATATATGTGTCTTAGAATGTGATATTGAGTAATTATTGTCCAATTTTGATGAAATTTGGCTTGGAGGTTAAGACGGGATAAACTTCAATAGTTTGCGAACCATCAGGATCGGACCATGTGGGGGTTTTATGAAGTAAATTTTTTTCCATTTTTTACCCTCAAAACTGAAAATCTTTTATTTCTTTGTAAGTAAACTATTTTTAAGAGCTAAAAAACAAATAATTTAAAATACCGTATTGAAGTTTTTTGTACGGTTATTGGTAATGGAGAAAATTAAAAAAATTGTAAACTTGAAACTTCTATGTTATTCTTATGGGGAATACCGTATGTTAACTTTTATAGTTTGCTTATTTATGGATTTTTTTATCAACTTGGCAAATTTATTTATTTTACTAAGCTATTAATATTTTACTAAAAGCACACTTTATTACAGTACCCTCCCTGATGTAGCAAACCTAGGTACTCATTAAACCTAATGTAAATAGATTTACGTGAAAATCAAATCAGGGAAATGGAAATTCACTTAGTCTGCAGGTTTGCTACGGTGGAGGTATTTATCATATGTTTGACCCAGAACTGTCCAATCTGTTCTAATACAACTAAGTAAAGGTAATAAGGAATCGGTGGTGTTGAGCCGAATGGCCATAGCCATTGCTCTAATATATTAAAAGAAGAAACAGATTTAACTAGGCCTATATATCCTGTCTCAGGTTAAGCAGGCTACCTGATTGCAGAGGTAGAACAGCATAGTGGCTGGGCCAACCCTGCGAGTAAATACACGGCCACTTTTAACTCCAAGTGCAGCGTTTTGAAGTGGCAAAACTGTCAATGGTGCTGTTACAGCTGTTATGTTTGGAGGCCAATAGTGTGAATTTGTGTGTATTTTTTAAGAATACAAAATCTTGGTGTGAAAATATTGACTCCATTTTTAATTTACTGGTACAGAAATAATTGTAGGCCTAATATAAATTTGCAATCTTTTAATACATATATTCATAAATTTAAATGAATACCGGGAATACACGATTAAATGAGCGAGTGTCACCAGTCTGCCATGTTAGCTTATGAGACGTCTGGCGCTAAACAGCACTACTTGCGACATTGCCAATTCTACCAGGCCGCAGCCTCGAGTTAAAGATGTGCCCGTGGTAAATCCCAATAGCCACGCCTGACTAAAAACAACACTAAAAAGTGAAGGGGTAATGAACAAATTGAAAATGCAACTGATACGTTATCTAAAAACACTCTGTATTCTAAGTTCATAAGACAAAAAATTGTGTGTTTCGTCTTAAACATTTAAAAAAAGTTGGCAGTTTCCCGGTTCAGCCATTGTCCTGTTCTACCCTCAGGACAAGGGGCAAGGCTACCTGATATCAAGTCATTTAACTTGATCTGAATTTAAAGGGTATAGATACCCTACTATGCTAAAGAGCCGGGTACACTTCCATATCTGTTGGCATAAACAACCAAATGAGTAATAAGTTATTGATTATTCTATTGTTTAATTCGACATATCCTTTGGTTAGTTAGGTTAGGTTAACCTTACCTAACTAACCAAACTTTATATTGAATAATCGATATATCAATCGATATTTTTGTTCAGTTTCGTGCCAACAGATATGGAAGTGTACCCAAAGAGCCAAATAGGCTAGAACTTACCTTTAATTTGAACGATTTTGCGAGCACAAAGTGATCAATGTCAATGACAGAAGCCAAAATCCCTGACAGGAATAATTCAAAAATAGAATTTACTATCATTGATGATCGCTTATGACATTTCAAAACCACAATAAGCCATGAAAAAACTGCAACAATAACATGGGTAGAATTGTCTACTAGAGCTTTTAGCAAGTCATGATTGGCTACTTTGAGTAAAGCATCTCCAGAAAAACAAGCTGAAGTGACTAATATTGTTAGTACAAAGAAAGTAGCCATAGTATTTATTAGGAACCAATGAAATGAAACTATAATCCTAGACCTAAAGGAAAGCTATGATAGTGATAAATAAATTTGTCTCCAGCCTATTGCAAGACAGAGGATTGTTTTGAAACAAGATTTATCGGTAATCAAATCACAGTTAGTTAACCTTAGTAAAGAATTTAACTCCAAGAAAGTAGGCCTACCTAACCTCAGATTTAATGTATTTAATAAAGCACAATGCTGAGACAATCTTAATCCTCAAAAATTTTCAGTTAAAACAAATAACTTAATAGTCAACAAACTGAAACTACTGATAAAAACTGCACTTGTTTTAAATAAGTTAATGTTAGTTTTGTTTACACATCATCAGCCGATCAGCCTTCAACCTTTGACAGAAGCGAAGCAAATAAGCAAAAGCAACGTAACGTAGGTCGCAGACGACGCCATTCCCGATTCCGATAGCAAAGAATTAAAAATAAAAAAAAAATTCACCTCGCCACCACGGCCGCCTTTAGCTTTAACTCCAGGCCCCGGCCTTCGAAGTGGCAACGTCGCAAGTAGGGTTGTAACAGCTGTTTTGTTTGGAAGCGCTCAGATAATGGTATTTGTGTATTTACGAAAGCATGGTTACTGGACTATGAAAATATTGACTCCACTTAAAATGTATAGATATAGATTTTCAATTCATATTGTTTTGGTTTTAAATTTTGTATGTTTTATTTTCATTTAAATCAATTAAGTGCTAATTAATGAGCTGACGTCACCTGTCTGCCATGTTATCTTATGGGACGTCTGACACTAAACAACCCTACTTGCGACGTTGCCAATTCTAGCAGTGCGCTGCCTGGAGTTTTTTGATTTGATTTGAAAGGTGGCCGTGAACACCACAGTCACCAGTCAGCAGTACCAAAAAATGTATTATTTTTAAATTAGGAAATTCCTGTCTTCAAATAACAACATCTTTCATCTACTTCATCTGGTTATTTAAAAAACATTCGATCGCATAAAAAACCTATCAGATATTCTCGGTTTCACAGTACGGTATAATATCGTATTCAGCGCTCTATAATCTCGACTCGGAATCCCAATAGAATTTGCTGGTGGAATGCCGCTAACATTACTGTGGTGATCGAAACCAAATCAGCTGATTCATGTCGGCTGCACTATTTCATGCTAACAACAGCGGTTCCCATGGCAACAAGGCAACCGGACCGGATGGACAGGAATAATTTTAGGCTTGGTTTTGGTTATCTTTGTTTAAGTATTTGTTTTCTACCTCAACCCGTTTAAGTTACCTTTGACTATGTAACAACAATGTTTAAACGCTACTTGGAGAAACCGGGCTTTTAAAATGTGTTATATAATAGTGTTTGTTTATAAATTTTGTTTTTCGGCACCTTTTTAAGTTATAACATTGTACCATTTTTGTACCATACAAGTATTATTATGAATAGTTTGGTAAGATTTAAGTTTTTATATTTGAGTCTTTGTTGTTACTTTTTGATCACTAGGCTCATATACTACATAAACATCTAAAACATCTAGAATTTTAATCGGTAGGCCTAATTATTATCTTATCCATAGGATGAAAACGTAGAAGTTATAAGCTTGAAAGGTGATGCCAGCAATGAAGAATCTAATGAAGTAAAAGATACTTCTTTCATGAAAGAGAAGCTAACAACGCCGGATCAGAAAAGACTTCCTGTTCCACCTCCGAGACGAAGACTGCCTGTGAGACAAGATGATTGGTGTGGAACTGACGATGAGATCCCTTCTACACCGAGAGTTGATCAGCAGCAGCGCTTGGTTCTTCCTCACTTAGAAGTGGTAACTTTCAGGCCCAACTTACTTTCCAAAGGCAATGAAAATTATCCTGAATTTTGTTCTTATTGTACTATAAAGACACATAACTCGTCTTGTGTAATGACTTACTTACTGTAATGAATTACTGTAATGACTTACTTTCATTTCACATGACTAGACGAGTTTTCAAGAAGCAGTTTTTACTTTTGTATTGATTATTTTTATGTAGGATAGCCTGTGACTTTCATTTTATCTCTGGAGGAATAAAAAATAAAAAAATATTGGATTATTGCTATGGTTAACTGAACCGGTGTTATGATTTAACAGGATCGTCTGAGCCGAGGTTCGGTGAGTGTAGGGAGTCGTCGACAGTCCGTCGGAGGAGCGAGTGTTGGAAGTCTCACCTCCCAGTCTGACAACCGCTCATACAGGGAGCGGCTGCGCGATCACATCCAGTCTGTCAAGGTAGGTCTACAGAGGAAAGTTTCAGTTTTGGCCTAGGAAATTTATTGGTTCATAAACTTCCTTGATTGTGCCTCTTGCCTAAATTTACCACACAAAAAACATTTTTTTACATTAAAAACCTTCTGGATCAAGATTAGATAGCCTATTATGGACATTTTTGGTTTTTGCCTTAGTTTTAAATTTGCCTTACCAACATTCCCTAGATGTTCCTGTAATTCCTCCATTTTTTTAGAATAGTTTGAAATAATTCTAAACACTCTACAATTTGTAATTGCTTAATCTACTCTAAATATTTTATTTCAGGAGCAGGCAGGGTCTTCGGTTGCTGCTGCAAATGCTCGTTTGAGGCACAACTTGAAAGTAAAGTCTCCAGTAATCAGTAACTTTCATGATCTTGTAAGTTTATTTTTAAATATATTTATTTAATAACAGGGGTTTTCTGATTTGTAGAACACATTACCCTACAGTTAGGCTAATTATGAACACTTTAAAACCTAAGCCCGAGTATAGCTCGAATGCAGGTGAATCTCACCTGTGAGCACTATAAGTATGCTTTTTGCGGCAGTTGTTGCGTTCGGCCGGCAGTGGCATGATATAGCTCAGTTGGCTAAGGCGCTATACTGACGAGTGTAGCATTGAGGTCTTTCTACATCCATGGGTTTAAATCCTGTAGGCTACATGTGCAATCCATACTATAGGACTAAGCCCACCTTAAATAAACGGTGTCTGGCTTGGATGGAAGTTGACTGCATTAGTGAGTTTGATAAGGATTGCCCATAACACCGCTTTGTTTCTTTTTACATTAGTATAGAAGAGGAAAAGGACTTATTTAGAGCTTTTATTTGAGTTAATTATGGACATCGTAATAAAATAAATATATATAAAAGACATAATCTTAAAAAAATTAACAGAGAATTTTAAAAAACAGTCTTACGGCTTAAAGTGTTAAAATTTGTGTCTAGACATAAACAATACTTACTTTAATACATTCTTATGAAATGGCGACCATACAATGTAGGTATTTTAAGCCAAGTATGAATGGAGATGAGTATAGGATGAGTGGCGCGATCTTGTAGTCTTGTTAGTGACTAAGGCCGACATTCCTTAGACACAGCTGTTAATTAATAGCCCAAACAGCTAATGGCAACTAAGGGACCTACAGTTTATAGTGGAATCTGAACCACATTTTTTCCTTGGTATATACGAATTGGTCTAATTATCAGGATAGTACTGCGGATAGTCGTAATACTCACTAGTGCGGACGTTAATCCACACCAGGGAGTATCCCATCCACAGTGCATACCTATAAATATCCACAATCCGTGACCTCCTAGTAGCTGGATTACAGGACGACGCCACCCGTCCCAGTCTATATCTGCCATTTAAAGTTTTTTTTTATAGCTCAACAGAGAAGAGAGTGAAGTTGAAGCTGCTTTAGAAAAACATGGAGAAATGCGCAAGAAATGGAAGAATGCGGTTCATGCATCTTTGGAGGTGAGATCAAACAAAAACTTTACCTTGTGGAAAAAGTTTTAGATTTTCAAAAAAATTATTGCTAAAGGTTGGATATTAGAGCATCAAGTACAACAAACAAGCCATCCTCTACCATCTCAATATTTTAGCCGACAGTTTTAGTTGAAAGGAATTTTCCCATAGTGCTTAGTCCTTTAAATTTCACCACCTTTATTGGAATATAGCCTAGTAAGAAATTGTCCTAAATCAATAGATTCTTGTACATATCTGTAAAGTGCAACTGCAAAAAGTTGTATGCGTACACAAGAGGAGTTCTATGGGCAAGGGACTTAAGGAAATATAGGATCAACTGATAGGTGCAGGAGCATTAATCTATCTCATTCAGGCACATGCTCTCAACCACTCTTTAAAACACAAATAATTGTTGAGTTTTAAGATGAACCCAGCCTACATAGAAATCAGGGTTTGTTTGGGACTTGTGGAGTTTTATTTTTTAATTTTTTTTCTAGTAACTTGTAATTTTGTTTTAGGCAGAAACTGCTCACAATTTCTTTACCAAGGAGTGGGAGGACGAAGACTCAATCAAGGATACCCCTGCTTCCCCTAAGGGTGAAATAAATAGTCTATATGTTTTCTAATATTAAGTGAATGCGTGGATGGTAAGGGAAATATTGGTGCAATCATTGAAGTTGTTTTAAGTATAAGGTCATTATTTAAAAAATCTTAAATGTGCTTATAGTAAAATTCTCATATCATACTAATATTATAAATGTGAAAGTTTGTGTGTTTGTTTGTTTATTTGTTTGTTTGTTTGTTTGAAGTTCAATCACGCATTAACTACTGGTCGGATTGTGTTGAAATTTGGTATGATGATAGCTCACATTCCCGATTAACATATAGACATATTGTTACCTCAAAAATCCTTTTGGGCTCCGCCCCAGCGGCTCTAGAATTTCCCATTTTAACCTTATGAGTATTCATATTTAAAAGGAATTAAATAATTTTGCCAGCTGTTTCAACTACACAATTTGTTTCTATGATATTCAATAGCATTGAAAGGTTATACGGTTTACCAACAGGGTGCAGCACCATTATAGATATACCAAGAACAAAACAACCTGCGCAGAAACGAAAAGATCACGTGGTTCGCGCAGGTAGGTGGGGCGTACCATTCAAACCTGCGCGGTTCGAAACGGCCCAGGGTTCTTTTGTTTCTGGTATTACTATAGTTCTTTATACATTTATGACAACAGCTAAATTGAACCAAGCAGCAACAAAAACCTGAGTGTGAGAACTTTACTTCTTTCTATTGGTTAGGTGAGGTGAAGTGATAGAACATTATGGCTATGGTAGATGTTCTATACTATAGTAGACCGTAGATTATAGTAAACCAAATTTTCTCAAAACGTGTCCTCCCTCATTGTAAATGCAAAGCACGAGTATTTATCTACAATTAGCATTGTATACCAACCCAAGGACGGGTACTCAGCTAGTAGGGAATAAGCTATTACCGTAGGTCTCATGGTAAAATCTAGAATCGAAACCGATTTACTTTTTTGTTTTGAGGTCCCCAGGTCAAAAACACAATCCGTTCAAATTCATATATGTGTCCATTAGCGTGATCACTCAGAGCAAAAATGATCCGAAGACTTTGTTACAAACGTGAAAATCTACATTTATTTAAACACGTTCGCAAACCAGCATGATTGGACTATGGTAACAGGGGTTTATGGGGGCTTTTATGCGGTAAAAATTTGTTTTTCCCTTTTGTGACCCTAAAAACATAAAATTTCACAATTTCTTTACAAACCACTTTGTATAGCGTAAAAAATGAAATAATTTAGTATATTGAAGTGTTGTTCTAGGTCAATTTAAAATTTCCATGTTATTTTTATAGGGTACTAGCTGTACCCGCTGGCTTTGCCCCGTTTAATTTCATAAGTATTCGCATGGCTCAATCAAGTCCTGGATGAAGTTCGTTCGCTACGCTCACTCACCTTTAGGTTGGAGCTCGTTAGCCGCGCTCACTTGCCTTCAGGTTAGCTCGTTCGCTACGCTAACTCGCCTCCAGGTTGAAGTTCGTTCGCTACGCTCACTCACCTTTTGGTTGCAAATTAGCTGTTGTCATAAATGTAAAAGAAATAATAGTGCTGCACCCTGTTGGTAATCCTTGTAACTTTAATGCTATTGAACATCATGGAACAGAACCAACTTGTTTAATTGAAACAGCTGTTAAGATTCATTAATCCCATTTAAATATGAGTACTCATAAGGTTAACATGGGAAACTCCAGAGCCACTGGGGCGGAGCCCGAGAGTCCGATCAGAATAAAAACAGCTTAGTTTTCCTATTTAATGCCTAAAGAATCAGTGTACCAAATTTCAGACTCCCAGGTAAATGGGAAGTAAGAGAATTAGTGATGAGTGAGTGAGTGAGTCAGTCAGTGAGGGCTTTGCCTTTTATATATATATATATAGATAGATAAATAAACTTGTAGTTTGCTTGTTTATGGATATATATTTCAACCAAACTTGGCAATTTTGTTTATTTCATACTAAGCTATCAACATTTCAATAAAAAGAACAAACCGCATTCATTACCTTCCCTCTAGTAGCTAACCTAAATACTCATTAAAATTCATATTATTTAAATAGGAAATAAAATCTGACAGTTTCAAGGGAATATTTTAGTTGAAATCCTGCGAGTTAAATGGAAATTCCCAAAATTCGATTAGTCTGCAGGTTTGCTGCAGTGGGGGTATTTTTGATCTCTATAAGTAAAATCACTCCTAGCGGATATCAAATTGATTGATCCAAAACATGGGTAAAACATGGGCTGAAGATTTAATTTGAAAAAAATAAGATATATAATTTTTTACAGTTGTGATGGTATAAATCTTTGCAGAAGGGGACATTGAAGAAAGTGAGGGCGAAGAGACAAAGCTGGTGACGAAGGATTACCTCGGCCTGACAGATGATTGGCAGCAGGTTGACTGTTATGTCGAACCAACCATTGAAGACCTAACGTTGAGATTACACCAAGAGAACCAGGTCTACTACTACCCTTCTGATCAGCCTCGTGAGTTTACTGACATGCTATGTGATGTCTGTTAATGTTTTCTCTAAATGACTCACACTCAATGTGAACAATTGTGTTCTGCTTACTACATTTCAGATCTTGAACATACTTTAGGATAATTCAACACACTTTTCTAACCAGAGCAATCAGTTAGCCTTTTCCAGCAAAATTGAGGTTCCTGACCAAGGGCGCACGCAGAGGACAACATCTTGTTCCAGGTTGGGTCTATGCCCCACAAACAATTAGAAAATATAAAACGTTTTACATATTCTTGGGCTGTCTAAAAGCCCAATATAGACTGAAAAACTGGAAAAATTGTAGATAAATCTTTTAATACACTCTTGAGACTTTTTTTATTTAATTGCAAAAAAATGTGTTTTTTTTTTGTTCAAGGCAAGGAAGCTTAGATACTTAACCTATAAGAAGCGTTAAGCTCCTAATAAATCTAAACCCATAAAGGTAAAAAATTTTTCAAATACTGTATTCAACCAAAATTTTCATTGACAGTTATTAAAGTATTTTTTTCCTGAATAAGTATGGATTCTGAAAGTAATCTACCTCAACATTAGTTCCACTCATGCTTGGGACGAGCCGTAGTGATGGACGACAAAATGTTTTGTTTTGATCTCTAGCAAGACTGGAAGACAAGCTAGGACCTGATCGAGAGCCTCGGTACATAGAGGACGAGGGATTATATGTCAGTCCAAAACCAGTATGGTCAGCAAAGTCCTGCAATAAACTGCAACATCGTTTGATCACAGAAGGACGTAGGTCAGTTTAACATTTTTATAATATTATATCGTATTTGATTCTTTAATCTATTTTCATTACAAGTTTCGTACTGGAATAAGGCAAACAAATTAAATATTTTTTAAAAGATATCTTGGCTTAAGTTGGATTAATTGATATGGTAGTTAAGATTTAGGATGGTTTATCAAAACGATTTTACTGTACTGTGTTAATGCTATTAGTCGGATGGATTGAAGTTTTAACACAATGTATTCAAAGGTTTGGCAGACTGCCTACAAACTCTACTAATGTCTAAGGCGAAAAAATATTCTCCCACACATTGGAGCAGGCGGGAGGGAGGACTATTTTGTATCACCGCACATTGAAACGATGCGGGATAGAGGTTTCCTAGCTTTGTTCCTTCTGTCACGAGTAGGAGGTAAATTTTTTGGACCTTTACTGATTCTGGTTGTGAGTTTAACATTTAGTTTTGCTCTATTCGCTATCCAAAAAACATAAAAAACTGTTTCTGGAAATGTACCGTACCTGAAAAAAAGATTAAGCCATAGAGAATATGTTTTGACTGCTGAACTGGCAGACCGGTCTTTTAGAGAATATTTTTGTGTGAACAAACAACAATTTGATGATATCCATAAGTTGATTGAAAGTGACATTAGTGGAAAGGACTGCAATGCTCAGCAGCATATAGGCATCTTAATTATATGCTCCATTACTACAAAACACTAGAAAACCAACTCAGGTGCGAACGAGGTGCAGGAAAACTGTTGTCAACTAAAACGTCGCGGAGGCTGCAGCTGTGCTGCGCGGACGCAGCCTCTGCTCAATGTGTGATGCTCCATTTAAACACGTGTATTACAGAATCAGCCGCGCCTCGTCTGCACCTACCCTGCACCTCGCCTCGCTCCAATGTGCGGCAGGCCTAAAATCCTGTCCCCCTTAACGGCTCTACAATACATCGGTAAGCAGCACCTGACAAGATTTACCAGAAGTTCCTTATTTTTGATCTGACATCACATCAGAAATTAGTGCACAATACCTACCTACCTCTTACCTACCCACCTTCCTGCCTACCTGCCTACAAACCTCCTACCTACCTACCTGCCACTTAAACTTTAGGAGCACTTAAATCAGTGCTCTCTCTGATTTAAGACTATATGAGAGTTAGATAAAATTACAAAATAATTACTCTTCTAAGACTACAGGTACGTGTGTGTGTGGTATGTTTTGAATGGTTCATTTACCACAGACATTGGTTTGGTGATGATGGAGAGCTGAAGACAGTTCTGGGGCCGGACTCAGACCAATCCTCAGACCCTCTTTTGGTTCCTGTCTACAAAAATGTGAGTTAAGTACCAACAGTTTGGATATATTATCACACTATGCCATTGAATGATACAAATTTTTTTAGATCCAATTAGTAAATTTGAGTTTGATACAATTGTTTTCAAATTGTGACATTAGTCAGTAAATAATTTGACTAGGCTTTAGGTTTGCATGCTCGATTCATGCTTTAAAGCTACCGTTTTTGAAAGAACTAATATTGGCTTGGCATGCTTCAAAGATATGGAGTGCAGTACAATTAATTGCGGAAGTGAAGTTAAAGATCTTTGCCAGGCCAGTTGAATAAAAAATCTCTGCATAAAAAGTTCTGCATACCCAGCAACCTAACATAACCCTTTCTCTTCATGTCAACATTCCGTTTAAAATATGTTGAAAAAAATGTTTACACAGAAAGGGTTTTTAATCATGACTAACTTACGATCAAAGTCAAAATCATTAGAATTAGTTATTGTTATAATGCAATTGAAATAATTTTAGGCTGAGTTGATGAGTTTGTCAGAGCCAGAAGTACAGACAGAGCCAGTCTACAAACAGAAATACCTGCTAGAGCTAGAAGTGTCCTGTGTGGTATGGCACCACCATCCTCTGTGTAGTATAGAACACGTAGCAGCTCATAAACTACAAGTGTGTTACCAGCAGTATAGGTACGTGCAGTTGAATTTTTAGTGCACCAGATTTAATCTTTAACTGTTTTAAAACAAAAAGAGTTAATAGTCTTATATAATAATTAGTGTATACATGTATGATACACTTTAGTATAACAAATTAAATCCCTTTAATTATTTTTATTTCCTCATGTTGTGCTGCAGTGGACGTTTACATGCTGGATTCAGTCGAAGACTTGCAAGTAAGCTCGAGGCCTTGCGCACCGCCAGGGACAACTTCAGAGATGCAGGAGATGTTGAAAGATTTGAGAGGTGACTCACTGTGTCTACATTTGTAATTTTCACCTTTTAAAGCTTTGTAGACAATTCAAGATTTTAGTTTATAAATAAGAAATACCGGGTTCTGTAGATAAGCTGACCAAGTAGTTTTCTGAGAAAAAATATTTTTTAAATCAGGTGGGTTAAGTTTTATAAAGGAATGTTTGTTTACCTATCATCATTTATCAGAGTTAACACGTTTTCTGCAAGCTACTATAATTGTAGTACCTTAGCACTAGCACTGCATGCGGCTTACTATAAAAATTAGTGTAGGTTTTCAACTCTAAGAAAATTGCCTGCCTCTACAAAGGACTGGAATCAAATTTAAAATAATTTATAGCTAAATTAGAAAAAATATTTAATAGGAAAGGTGCCTTATACAATGGACGAACTCATTGATTTTGTTCATTAACAATTTAGTACTTAAAATGTTCATAACTTAGCTAGTTTACTGCTTTACATTTGACACTATTTTTGTACCCATGTACATGTAAGGAAAATAAGGACGTTTTGAATTTGAATTTATAAATGTAGCACTGCACTTCCCCAACTAACATTCCCTTGGTGTGGGCCCAGTATTCGGCAGGGAAGGTTTGTTATTGTTGCTGCTTGTAGTGCGGGTTTTTTCAATAATTTTGGTGCAATTTTTTTTTTTGGATCGGTCATTTTTGTAACTTAATGTGTCAGTGCTTTTTGAACGTGGAATAGGATAAATATAATGACTGTAGTGTAGCATCGTGAAAGGAACCTAACCTCAAAATAGTCCTCGACGGTATTTTTATAGTGTATCCGGGTACTTCACCCATGCTGTTTTCCTCCATTTGGCAATACTGAGGTCCTATTAGCACTTTAGTTTAGCGTCCCTATCTGGTGGGTTCTTGTAAAACTATGTCAACAACGATTGGAACACAGCACATGCTATAATATGCCTCTCCTATCGGATGAAACTAAATTTAAACGTTTTCGTTTTCACACAGTCATCCATGCAGCGCATTTGCTGTTCCTGCACTCGGCTGCGGCCTGCCATCAGGCAACCGCAGTGATCCTGTTAACGAAATGATTACGAATAAATTATTTTTCATAATTTGTACAACGTGTATGTCAGTGTATGTTTGTTTTATTTAAACTCTTCCTTTCCATGTACCTATCACATGTGTAAATTTGTTAAGTCGTTTACAGTTTATGTTAAATGATTCTATTTTCAAGATACAAAACCCAAGTTAAAGAAACTAGAGGAATGAGACTAGAGGAGGGCAAGAAAGATCGTCTCGCAATCGTCAACTGTCTCAAGGCTTGGCTGGAACTGAGAAATCTACGAGCGCAGCAGGGATACACGGTAAAGCATTTACATTAAATTAATAGTCACTGCCTAAATCAGTCTATTTGACAAAATAGCATTAACTTACCGGTACTCACAAAGTTTTCCAGTTCATCAACCCAAGTTTTTTTTTTTATGAAAAGTCAACAGATGTGTTATGGCATGAAAAGTGACATTTTGCAGTTGTTTGATCAGTAAATAAACTCCATTGAATGCAACTGTAGTGCGATTTCGGAGGCTATCTGTACATTTTGGTTCCTTTATGCAAGGACGAGGCAGTTGTTGCCAGAGATAGTTAAAATATCATCAACTATGTGACAATTCTGTTTCTAGCTTGGAGCAGGACTGTATGTGCGGGACCAGACTGTAGTTTGGAAATCTTTTTAGCAACCCATTGTATCTATATCTCATATGTATTTGACTAATCTCCTTTTATGCAATGCTTACTGTCCGGGATAATTTGGAGTTTTGTCTGTTAGTTATATTATTTATTTCATCCGCATGAACTTGATATTTTTGTTATTTCCAACATTCGTTGTAGGTGACATCTGTCAAACTCAGTATTGTCGAGTTAGATGACGACAGAGAAGACGTACTTTGTGGGGATCCTGCTGAGTGGGACTCTGAACTCAAATGGTAAATTTAAAAGTTTAAAACCCATTTTCCTTATTTTTCTCTCTACTGAGTTCAATATGATAATAATAATAATTCTCTCCATTAGTGAAATTGTATTTTGATTAGTCACATCGTCTGGATTAGTTTTTGTTACCTACGCCCTACAATCCTGTACAATATTTTAGATCGGGAGGTGTCGTGAAAGACTGAACCATGCTAACTTCTGATGTGAGCGGAGTATCCAATTTTACTAAGGGCTTTATTTCTTCTGGTAGAATATTTAGTGTAATATTATCCCCCCTACCTCACGTGTCGCTGGTTAGAAACCAGGAATAAGACAGCTATTTTAATATTAGACCTACTGTAGACCTAATAACATTACAGTACGTTGTCTATAAGCCAAAATGGCCTATTATTTTATCTTGTTTTCTGCCTACGTGCCTATAATAACTAGGCTGGTCCTTCACATTTATTTCCTCCATTGGCAAAACAGTCAACTTTAATGGCATAGGGTTCTCAGCGGGAATTTACACCCCTGCACTTTCTAAAGAAAATATAATAAATATTTCCGCCTCACCAAACAACGATGTAAGCCAAAAATTTTTAAAATACCAACGCCAATAAAAAAATCTGATAATAAGAGGGAATGTCAATCTGATAAAGCTTTCACAATAACAAAACCGACAATAAATATGCAAATTGAATTTCCAGAAGTTTCTTTTCAGCCTTTGTATATCTTTAATATTTGTAAATTATTTTTAGCGAATTTTCCATATTTTCGCTTAGTCTGTAGGTTTGCTGCGGCGGGGGTATTTTACATTGTATTTAAATCACCCTTATTTCAGTCAACTTGAAGAATATTTTGAAGAGGAGGAAGAAGAATATGAGAGGAAAGTTAAGGCGATTCAAGAAGAGGTGAGTTTACTTTCAATAGGCTATCAGTTTTTTGTACAGTACTAGTCTAAAATACCAGTATCAAATTAAATCAAAATATTGTTTTTTACAACTAATTTCCACAATGTAACAATTTTCAGCTCATTACAAAAATAGTTACATTAACTTATTATTTAGTTTAGGACCTATTGAAATAAGTTACAATGTTCTGTAAAAAAAGCTTTGGATTCAATTAGGGAAAATTTTCTCCCACGGAGGAGAAACTTCTATGGGTGGGAGAAAAACATTTAAGTTTTTAGTTTGTATCAATAAAAAAAAATGAAAATGGATTTTTAAATGGTTTGTTTTGAATGTTATGTTGGAGGACTGGGTTTTGAAAAATAACAATTGAAAAATATACAAACAGAAAAAAAACTTTGGACCGTTCCCGTTAAAAAAAATGCTAATTTCATATAGAAACAAAAAAAGTAGTAACATGAAAACATTCCAACTACCACTAAGTGATGAAACTTCCAATATGTGAATCATCTCTTCCTGAAGTTACCAGATAAAGAGGCAGCTAAGACGATTGTCCGGAAGTCCCCGTCTGAAATCCTGGAGGAGGTGAGAGGAAGGATGACGGAGAGTTTGAGACCTCCCGGAGAACCTGTGATAGCCTTGGAGCTGGGAGACGAGCAGGTTACTCCAGAGACGGAGATAACGGACCACAGGTGATTATAGAAACTGGATTATTATGTTAAAATGGTTAAGAGGTATGTGGTTTTTACTATCTCCCCCTAAACATAGTATATGGAGAAAGTATTGTTTTCGTCAAAATTATTGTGTGGGTGTATGTGTGTGTTTGTAAATGGTATGTTAAATGGTAAATGGTATGGGGGATATTGACTTAACATTATGTTAAAATGGTTAAGAGGTTTGTGGTTTTTACTATCTCCCGCTAAACATAGTATATGGAGAAAGAATTGTTTTCTTCAAAATTATTGTGTGTGTGTGTTTGTAAATAGTATGTTAAATGGTAAATGGTATAGGGGACATTGAGTTGTATTTTGACTATCCATCTGAGGAAGATAAACTTATTGTAAGGACATAGTCAAATATTACAGTTTGTTTTAACCGACCTTGCTTTGAGAGCAGTTTACAGTTTAACCGCCGCTTCCAAGGAATTTTGCCATTTCCGCTCCCATGCTCGGCGATGGGAACCATATCTTATCTCCACAGGATGTGACTAAGAATAAGTTATTTTGGAAACATCCTGTCTTGTAACAAAATGAATAAAAATCTAATCCGCATCTTTAATCTCAGCAAAAGTTTCTCTACTGTATTACAATAGATTTGGAAAGCATAAATTAAATTAATATTATAGTACAGTAGAGTCCCGTTAGCCCGAAATGATTGGGACCGGGCCCATTTCGGATTACCAAATATTTCAGATTAAACTTTTTTTTTTTTTTTTGAAAATATTGAAAAAGGTTTACATTTTTTTTATTTTTTGAAAATTTTTGTTTCGTCTTAAGACGCGGGCACGAGCCCGGGATTGTTTTTCACATTACTTAAGGCTAGACCGAGTGGCTGCAGCATTATCACTTAATAAAATCCATTTGTGATTTGGCGGCAAAAATGAAAAATGTTACAGTAATAACAAAAATGGTGAAATTTACTAAAATACTCTATAAAAAAGTCTATCTCGCCCGGCCGCTACAGAATACTTTGACGAGGTACAGCTAACTGTGTTAAAAGTTAAATAAAAATACCCCCGCCGCAGCAAACCTGCCGTCTAAGCGAATTTCCATTTGGCCGAATTGATTTTCAATTGATCTATTTAAATAACATTAGGTTTAACGAGTACCTAGGTTTGCTGCTACAAGGAAACTAATAAAGTAGTGTGTTTTTAGTAAAATATTGATAGCTTACTATAAAATAAATAAATTTGCCAAGTTTGATCAAAATATGTCCATAAACAAGCAAACTACAACATTTTACAATATTCTCCATAAGAATAACATGGGAATTTTAAATTTACCATTTTTTTAGTTTTCTCCGTAACCAATAACCGTACAAAAACACTTTGATATACTGAATTGTTTGTTTTTTTAAGCTCTTTAAGAAAGTTTGGAGAAAAATTGGGAAATTTTGTGTTTTGAGGGTAAAAAGTGAGAAAAACCAATTTTTACCCCATAAAACCCTGTTCCCATGGTCCGATCATGCTGGATCGCGAACTCATTCAAGTTTATCCCGCCTTACACCTTCAAACCAAATTTCATCAAAATCGGATAAAAATTACTCAAGTTATCGTGTTCACGGACACATATATATATATAAATCTATATATATACTAGCTGACCCGGCGAACTTCGTATCGCCTAAGTTATAGGTTTCCCCTAAGACAGACCGATGGAAAGAAAGTACCGTTAAGTTTAATTTTCAAGATGATCTCGTTCGCATCGCTCAATCACGTCCTGGTTTGGGTTGGAGCTCGTTCGCTACGCTCACTCACCTTTAGGTTGGAGCTCGTTCGCTGCGCTCACTTGCCTTCAGGTTAGCTCGTTCGCTACGCTAACTCGCCTCCAGGTTGAAGTTCGTTCGCTACGCTCACTCACCTTTTGGTTGCAAATTAGCTGTTGTCATAAATGTAAAAGAAATAATAGTGCTGCACCCTGTTGGTAATCCTTGTAACTTTAATGCTATTGAACATCATAGAACAGAACCAACTTGTTAATTGAAACAGCTGTTAAGATTCATTAATTCCATTTCTCATAAGGTTAACATGGGAAACTCCAGAGCCACTGGGGCGGAGCCCTTTTAAGAATTTCGAAACGGGAAATAGTTTACTTTCTATTCGCATACCTACAGAATTTACACACCAAATTTCATAACGATCGGTGAAGTCGTTCCGGAGGAGTTTGCAGACAAACACTGTGACACGAGAATTTTATATATTAGATATATCTATATATATCTATATATATATATATATATATATATATATATATATACATATATAACAATTTGAACGAATGGTGTTTTTGGCCTCTGGGGACATTAAAATGAAAAAGTAAATCGGTCCCGGGCCTAAGTCTTACCATGAGACCTACGGTAATAGCTACTTCCCTATAGGGAAATTCGCTAAAATTTCAAAAAATGTTCAAAAAAATTTTAATTTTTTTATAAAAAATTTATTTTTTGGTTTCGGATTAAGCGGACTTTCGGATTACTGAAGTTCGGATTATCGGGACTCTACTGTACTACACTTATTAAAATAGGGAAGCGAGCTGGTCTAGTGGTTAGAGCGCAGGTGAACGAAGTCCTCAGTCATCAGATGCCCAAGTGTTATCACTGTACTGACTCAAGGCTATTACGTAAGACCAATTTTGGCTAACCTTCAGACACAAGAGTGTGGGTCCATTTGCTGCTTTTCCATTCAGCAGAGTCAAGTGTTGTTTCCTGGTTGTGCTGCAAGTCATTGTGCTGTGTAATGTAAAATAATTCATCTGTAATCACACTCAAGGCTCAAGGCTCCTTATTATGGAGTTTAATACAATTAGGCTGTCATTGTTATTAGTCTAGGTGGTACCTTTTTTGACTTGGGTAAATTAAAAGGGTATGAATTACTTTTTATGGCAACAAAATATAACTGAAAAGATAACTGATATGTGCTAACAAATCAAACACAAAATGTACACTTAATTTAGGTTTTTTTCTCAATCATATAAACCCAAAGGCCAAAGGATTTTGTCTTATTATTATAACCTCAATGTTACTTTATTTTAACCATTTTTGAACAACAAAAAAAGTTTATATCAAATTTTATACAAAACATACCGGTAACTTAAAATCTTCCAAACCTCACTGATAAATTTGTACTTAACCTTATGTGAGATAAACAAGCCTTAATTACTTTTTAAATATCTTTTTTGAGTTGGGTGAATCATATTAGACTCTGGATTCTTGTGTTAAAGACAGTGGATTATCACTAACAATACAAATTAAAAAATACAAATACAATACAATACAATGTTTGTACATGTTCATTATAGTGTTTTACTGAATGAGGTATATATCAAACCAGAAATCCCCTTAAATTAGCCTTTCCCTCTCATGAATTCTTTATACTAAAAAGCAATCATGTGCACCGGTAGACTGTTCTTTAATCATTTGCCTAGATCCATAAAAGAGGAATCAAGAATTAGTAGTTTCAATCAGAAAATGAATACATATTTGATAAGCAAACCAGTTTACTCATTAGAATTTTTTTTTACTTATGAGTTGAATGTGTCAAGTTAGAGTGGCAAGCTGGATGATGATGTACACACAAGAACCCTCCCCCCACCTCTGTTGCTTTAGATATATTGGGTACATTTATCTCATCAATTAATTACCATTGAATTGATTTAAAACGTTCGCTACCGCAATAGTACTAAATTTTTTATTCATATGTGACGGCCGGTTTATAGACTGCTGTCGCATACATGCAACTGCTGGTCTCATAATAATATAACTGATGTCACATATTTATGTCGTCCCAATGTTATTAAAACTAGTTGTTCTACCTGTGCCTTGCCACGGGGAGATAATGCAGTGAGGTGGGTGGTTCTTCCCCACCATCCATGGCAAAATGCTGGATTATTAGGCCCTTGTTCTTAGGCTTCTGTAGATTAGTTTTATTAATGACCATGTCATAAGGCAAAATAGTCTACAGATGCGTTTTTTACCAGTTGGAACACATAAGGCTCCTCCAAACTCTTAATGGTTCTTGTGACACTTAATATCCACAACATTTGTCTGCAACATAAATTGCTGTGTTTTTAAAATATATAATACTGAACTAATAAAATAGAAAACAATTGAAACAGAATTCAAAGGTTTGAACACCATCCCGCATTATAAGAAAAACGTACTTTCACTTCTTTTGATGGAATATAGAAATCTATGGAGGAATCAAAAGGTTAATTTAAGGAAAAGTGAACAAACAAACTAAAACTAAAAAAATCCAACAGCTGATGTATCTTCAATAATTTAAATATGATAAAATAGAAAAATACATCCCTTTAATTGAGGTTAATTGAGGTTTTATTGAGGGTGTCCTTCGTAGAGGGTTTATCGAAAAACTGATATTTTTCAGGGGTAGTTTCATATCAAGACCTTTCATTCAAGTATGCGGTTCATAGGAACACGACTTACAGTTTTCTCCTCAAAAGTTCAAATCCATCCTAGCTTTATACATAGATGCTTATATCTTCATAAGGCTCAGAATTCTCTGCAGTGGACTACAGGGATGTCTGACGCGCATGGCACATGTGTCTCACTTGGTCTGTGGATATGATGATTAGTTTTTGTGCAGTTCGCTTTATTTTATGACAATTAACCATTGTAGCAAAACATCATTAGCCTATGTACCGTAGCTTTTATATTTGTTCAATTAATTTAAACTGTTATTTATGAGCTGTTTTTTTACTAAGTTTCCCCTAAAAACCAGCGAAAAAGTTGAATGTGGCATGCATGCGGTGCTTGGACTATTTGAAGAAAAGTATAATAATTTAAACTATTTTCCTTGCTATAGACCGGGCGTCGCAAATATGCGACATTACAAAAGTTTACGAAAACAAGAATACCATATATTATTGACAAACACGATTTGCCCGTGTTCTGCGTGTAGGCTACTGTTAACCAAGAGACACCCGGTCTATGGGTAATACTCACATATTCATATAACTCCATCAGTGGCAATGACGACAGTGTCGCATATATGCGGCGATTGGTAGCAAATGTGTTAATACTACTCACATTTAGTGGCGTGATTCTCAGTGTAGCTAGAAGCCTTCCCTAATCTCTCCCTAAGCCATCATAGTTGGCACAACCTACATACATTAGACCTGACAGAGACGGGATCTGCCCCCTCCCCTGGCCAGAAAGACCATGCCTCAGACACAGAGTAGACCTAACTGTCAACTGTACTAACAACACTGGCAATCAAAAGTCCAAGCTTATTAGTTCTAAACTTGACTTCCATGCTGCAACACTTGACACACATAGCTTTCAGCTGTAAGTTGAGATTTACTCACATAAATAGTTTTGTCAAAGTTTAGCTATGTAACTCAAATGATTAAAATCCATCAAGTATTAAATCTAACTTAATAGTTGGTTAAACAATAAAATTAAAAATCACTGTAGTAACCAAACAGTACATTTTTAATAATCTATTTCATGTAGTTTTCCAAGCATCTGAAAACTCCATTGACCTCCAAACTTTCAAACACCTGTGGGAGAACCTTAGAACAGTATTCCTCTGTGTAACACTTGTCGTAGAAGTTGCTCCCCGCTGCCAGAGCTTCTTCATCCTCTGTGATAAAACTGGCTAAGTCTACTGGCTCGGGATACAGCATGCTGGGCAGAAAAGAACTTGAGATTAACAGAATTAAAGGAGTAAACTTTTTCACCTCTGCCATCATGTGTTCATATGTTAGTCTTTCGTCACAGCTGAATTTCTGTAGGTTTTCATTAAAACTGTCAACGTATAATCTGTACAATTCTTCTAGTCTGTTTCGCTTCACATCAAAATTCGCACTGGACCAAAGGAACAGTAGCACATCAGCGACAGGTGACCCATAGTTTGTCGCTTGGAAGTCGATGATCTTGATGTCACACACTTGGTTGTTTTTGTCGTATTTGAACATCATATTTGTCAGCCATGGATCTCCTTGTTTGATTGTGGTAATTCCTTCACTCGGCTTGTGTGCTTCAACCAACATATCCCACAAGCGAGGTTTAATGTCTCTTAATGTTTTACTGTATTTTTTAAATCTGTCCACTTTTTCTATCTCATTAACAAACCACTTCATACCACCGTTGATCATCATTAAAAAAAGACCTCGTCCTTTTGAGTCACTCGTGTAGGTCGATTCTTTTTTGATAGGCTCCAAAAGTTCAGGATATTTCTTATATACTGGGATGGAGACTGAGTGGAATATAGCTCCGGCAGTCATATATAAACGGCAGTGGTCAAAATCTAACTGCTTTGTTCTATCAGCCATCACATAACCTGTTTCTTTCAAATCTTCAAGAATGGTCACCGTTGGCTTAGGAGAAAAATAACTTTTGGCAACAAAATTCATGTCACTGAATTGTTTTGCCTTGGGTATAAACTTGTAATAGTATGCGGGCTCGTTCAAAACAGCATCAGTTGTTAATTCTTTTAAAGGACCTTCGGTAAGTTCGGCTTTGACAATGAGTTTTGAAGTCTTCACGTCAGAATCAGCTTTGTCCAATTTCCACTCCAGCTCAACTCTGATGATGAAGCTCCCGTAGTTGTTACCAGGTGGAACAGCTGATGAAGTGGTCAAGTTTGTTACCACAATGTTGTTGTTGTCTTCTTCTTTACGGAGACATTGTTCAAAAAACTCGTTGGTTATCCACTCTGGAAGTGAAGACCCCATTTTAACCTAAACAATGACGAATGTTTCATGTAGCAAATACAGCTTATTTTCCAACAACAACATTTGTACAATTTGTGCATGAATAAATAGCTAAGTAGTCGGAAAGTAGTTATTACCGTGGTAAGGGGACCGATTTTCTTTTTCATTTACTGATCCCATAGGCTAAAAATACTATTCATTCCAATAGTTTTTATCATACGTTTGAGTGGGTCCATGAATACAAAAACTCAAATTTACTTACAATTTTAGTCCAATTTGGATTGCATCTAATCCAGGATGAGGCATTCTTTTCAAATTTTTGGAAATTTTTTTTATTGTGATTTTTCAATAAAAACCCTTAAAACGACAGAAAATTTTGATTTTCAAAAGAACAGCTCGGTCAGTTTTTACTATAATTTAGTATGTTAACTCCTTACCTTATAACGGACAGTTGGACGGTAGTTAACCTTTTAATTCTAATCAAAATAGAACAACCCCCATTGCTGTAAAAACTATGGTTTTTTTGTGATTTTCCCATAAAATATCATACAACTGCTTACCATATGATAAAGGTTGTTGAAAAGCTAATGGGAAATACCCCCCGCCACAGCAAACCTGCAGATTAAACAAATTTCCATTTACCTGGCTGGATTCCCTGAAAATTGTCAGATTTATTTCCTATTTAAATAACATTAGTTTTAATGAGTACCTAGGTTTGCTGCTACAGGGAAGGTAACTTATTGAGTTGCGTTTTTTATTGAAATGATAGCTTAGTAAACAAAACTGCCAAATTTGATTAAAATTTATCCATAAACAAACAAACTACAACAAATTTAATAATTTTAAATTATCTCCGTAACCATTAGGCATACAACAACGCTTCAATATACAAAATTATTTCTTTTTTAAGCTCCTACAAATTAGTCTCGAAATAAAAATGGTAAAATTTTATGTTTTTAGAGTCAAAAATGGGTTAAACCAATTTTTACCCCATAAACCCCCATTCCCATAGTCCGATCATCCTGGTTCACAAACTCGTTAGAATAAACGTAGGTCTACACGTTTCTACCAAATTGCTCGAGTTATCGCGCGAACGGACACATATAAGATATAGGCTACATGTATAAAAAAAAATATATATATATATATATATATGAATTTGAATGAAGGGTGTTTTTGGCCTCTGGGGACCTCAAAACGAAAAAGTAAATCGGTCCCGGGTCCAGGTCTTACCATGAGTACAATGTTAAGAGCTTATTCCCAATATGGGAAATTCGCTAAAAGTATGTATCAGATTGCTGACACAGTTTATTTTATACTAGCATAGTACCCGTTCTTCGTACGGAATTGGCGTATAACTGTATAAGTATAACTATAAAATGCTTATTGCAGTTACTCTAGCTTTTGCGTTTGCAATGGCGGAGGATAAGGCTTGACAGAATTTGGTTTTAGCGAATTTCCCATATAGGGAATAAGCTATAACCGTAGGTCCTATACAATATAAAAAAGTAAATTATCAAACATTCACACAATATCACAAATTATGTATTAAATTAAAAACATAAACATTACTGTAAACAATGCTACTTTGACAGTTCTCATTGTATATCACAGCTTTTTGATGCTGCTTTGTTCAAATTAGCTGTTATCATAATTGCAAAAAATATAATAGTGCTGTACTCAGTTGATAAACCTTATAACTTTTTAATGCTATTGAATATCATAGAACCAACTTGTTTGGTCGAATCAGCTGACAAAATTATTCAATTCCTTTTAGCGAATTGTTTTTTAGCTTAAAAAACAAATAATTTAGTATATCAAAGTGTTTTTGTACGGTTATTGATAAAGGTGAAAATTCAAAAAATTTTCAATTTAAAATTCCCATGTTATTCTTATGGAGAATATTGTAAAATGTTGTAGTTTCCTTGTTTATGGATATATTTTGACCAAACTTGGCAAATTTGTTTATTTTGTACTAAGCTATTAATATTTTTCTAAAAAATACACTTTATTAGTTTCCTTGTAGCAGCAAACCTAGGTACTCATTAAACCTAATGTTATTTAAATAGATTTATTTGAAAATTAATTTAGACAAGTGGAAATTCGCTTAGTCGGCATTCGGCAGGTTTGATGTGGCGGGGGTATTAAATGTGAATACCCATAAGGATAACATGGAAAACTCCAGAGCCACTAGGGGCGGAGCCTGAAAGGAGTTTTGAGATAAGAATTTGCCTATATGTTAATCGGGAATGTGAGATATCATCATCCCAAATTTCAGCCATATCCGACCAGTATTTTTCGTGTTTACTTGTCACATACATCCTTACATACATCCAAACTTTCTCATTTATAATATTAGTAGGAAGTAGGATTAGTAGGATAACATAACCATATGTTATAAACAAATTAGGCAGGCAAGATGAATATGAAAGTTAGACATTACAACAACAATTTCCTAATTTTCCTTATGTAAGTTAATATGTGTGTAGTAATGTTTTTGTCTGCAGCTTGTTATCGTCTAGCTAGTATGAATTTATTTCATATCAAGTTGTATTATTTATGCAAAAAACATCAATTTACGTTACTGTACCTTATTGATGCAAGAACAATTAAAACATTTTTTGCACATTTCATCATAGGATTTACATGTTCCTAAATATCATACTGGTAGTAAAATGTAAAACCATGACCTACGATGATTACCTTCTAAGCTGCACAACAGTATCAATTGGTATTCATTGTTATTAAGATATCACAACATAAAGTTTATAGTTTGTAATTGTGTATATAAAGAGTAGAATGTTACAGAGAATGTTAGTTTAAATTAGTTTTAATTCGTATGACAAGTTACTTCACTGTTTAATCTTACGTTACCTGTCACTGAAAAGCTGTTGCTGGTTTACGGGCTGGATATGATCTGAAATGGTTGGGTTGTGGCTGTAGCCTTGAGTTTTGGATCATGTGACTCCTTCAGTTTGAAGGTCATTGATTTCAGAAGCAAAGGAGATTTAATTTTCAAACTGTTGCTCCAGGAATAGCAGGCTTATACATGTTTTTTCATAGTTGGGTGATTAAAATTTGGAAACTTTTAAATTTAAACTGCAAATCTAATTAAATTTAAATTTCATTAAATTATATTGGTGCCAGGGAAAATATAGTTTCAAATTCAGTACCATTATTAAACTACCGACCTAATTTTCTACTGTCCACTGAGCCACAGGTTTTATTCACTTTATCTTATATTACTTATGACTTTTGTTAATGACTTTAAAGTTTTACAATATATTTTACTATTTCCCATGTAATCTCACCTTCAGGTTTTGGTCATAAATTGATTATACTCTACTATTATAACAATCATTATTTTGTTTATAATACACTTATTGGGTAAGTGTAAAATATTGACAAATCACTTATAGTATGATAAACACAATGATTCACTGACATGTGGCAATTAATCAAGATAAAGTTAAAGGTATTAAAAGGTAGTCTTTGAGTTGAATACAAATATGGGTTATGTAAACAATTTAAGAATGGTTTCTTTATTAATTTTGTTTATATTTTTACAGCTATCACATTACATCAATTTGCTTGACAAACGATTTAGTCTGTATTTCAAAACAAATGAGATAATATAGCTGAACTTTTAAATTTATACACCCTGCAGATATTCTTCTAACGAGTACGGTAAATATTTTAAGTCACCAAACGCATTCAAATTCAAATTCAAACGCATTTTAGCGTTTGAATCTTTTTGAATCTGTAATGCCAAGTTGTATTTTTTAAGTTACCGGTACCTATATACTGCCCTGCTAAGCACAGTTGTGGTAACTGACATCTGGGTAAAATTGAGAAAATGAGGGCAGTATATTTAAAACTATGCCCTACAGTGAAAAATTGACTTAAAAACATATTTTTGGTCTCATCTTATGTATTTTTTAACGCTAAATCTTTTTCCAAAATTATTTTCAACATTAAAACATTCTAAATACTTAAGAAATTAGATAATGCTTTAGTTCTTATCAATTACAATCAAATATACTTGGCCATATAGTGGCAACTTAATTTTCCTAAGCCAATATGTTGTATCTCTGCAGATGCCACGAACTGGTCTAGCAAAATCATGGTTATTGTTTCAAATGCAACAAAATATAAGGTTCCCAAAATAAACAAAATTTCTAGATTGAAATATTTTATAATTCTGTTTTGGCAACAAGTTGTTGAATTGTTTTTCTGGGAGTTGAAGAGGATACATACTGGTATTTAAATATATATGAATTATACCATTAGTGATGTTATTATAATTGTTATATGATTAATTAATCTTCCCCCTTAAATTGTTCAACTACCTACTAAAAGTTTTCTCAAATAAGTTAGAAAATTAAAATATAAAAAAAATTGTATTTATTATTAATTATTATTTTATGTTAAGCAGGTGTTCTATCACTGTATCTAGTATCGGAACTATCACAACGTTATCGGTAACTTATCACAAAAGTCGATAACTTATGCATTATGAACTTACCTCTATTAAAGTAATTCAATACTGTATTTATAATAGAAGCACACGACACTACATATATGTATGTTAATTCATGTAGGTTAGTACATAACTGGATGGTATTAAATTATAAACAATTGTAATATATTAAAAAAAGCTTTATAAGAAGAATTAATTAACTACCATGCTTTAACTGTTCAATAATGATAAACATATTTTTTTATTTTTATACTTTTCCAATTACTTTATTTCATTTTCAAACAAAAGATTTAAAGCATTAAGCTGTTATATAAACATGAATGATAAAACGTATTTAGCTCGTATATATAATCCAAATTAAATGCAGGCGACTTAAAAAATTGCCAAAACAGGGATAAAACCCATTAATTAAGATTAAACATCTCATATGTAATCAAACAAATTAAACATTAATTTCAACATTGTTGAAACTTGTTTTTTTTTTAAGAACTACACAAACTATTGACTAATAGTTTTGTAAACAATTTAAAAATTGTAAAAAAAATGTATTTTTAAATTGTTGAAACTTGTTTTTAAGAACTAGGCCTACACACTGTTAAATACCGGTACTTTTGTAAACAATTTAAATATTGTTTGGAAAATTGTTTCAAAATTCTTTATAACAAAACTATAAGAATAAAACAATTTTAAATTGTTTTAAAATAGTTACAACTCGTTTTCAAACTTATTTTGTATACTGCATAATACTGATTGTTAAACAATTTAAAGATAGTTCCAATCTTATATTAAAATTGTTGTGTAATATGAAGTTTAAATCACAATGCTTTTTAATGGTTGTAAAACAATTATTGTAATACAGCTTTTGACAATTTTTATGGTCATTGGGGATCAACAATCGAAGTTCCGTCAATCTTGTTTTGGGGAACTCATCCTTTCCTCCCATCAGGTTTTGGTGAGACACAATTTTCCTTAGACATATCTTGAATAATCCTATCATTGGTTTTGTTATAGCCCAAGGTTGTAAAAAAATATGTTACCAACTTTTTGGGACGTTTTTGTTATGAGTAATTTCCATAAGTAGGTACATCTTCATTAAGAACATCAGATTGACCTGTTACAATCTCAATTTCATTTATCAATCCTACATTATCTGAATTTAGATACCCCTTCTCTCAAGTCATAATTTATTTCATCAGATTGGCCGGTAAAAACTTTAACTTACAGCTTCATTTATTAGGCTTAAATTATTGGCAGAATAAATGACCTCTTCTAAAGAAAGGTTCATCATTTAATAGGCCCACAAGAAACTCTGTTAAAATGTTGATTTCAAAAATATACTATTATCAATATCACCAAGTGGAATGTCAATATAAAGGAAATTAAATTCATTATTTGATAATAATAGGTCGCCTCAATTCAAAGAGACAAAAGCTTTGTTTCCAACAACACGGCACTTATAGGAATACTGGGCCAATAATGGGGATGATGCTAAACTAAATTGCCGTAACTGATGGATTGCTAAAGCATTTTGTGGTAACATATCATTCCTAAGAGAAATCGTTGTATCTGTCGTTGGATACAACTTAAATACCCTAGTAAATGTAAGTTACAACAACTGCGCTTAGTAAAACATTCCTAAACTGCAGATACGGCAAAGAAAATAAGCATTTTATAAATAAATACAACAACATATATGGCATTTAAGGCTATTTATATGATCCTAAGTATGTGTAGAATCACATGGTAACCATATCTCATTTTCCCCAAAAATGTCAGTTACCACAACTGTGCTTAGCAGGGCAGTATAAAAGGATAACATTTTTAACTGAAACATTTTGATTGTATAGTTGTTTTAATATGCTTTGGTGAGGTACTCATTCAACAGCTCTTTTTAAAGAATACACATTTTTGGCTTTTCCATAAGTTTACAGATTTAGCAAGTAAACTATTCATATTTTACATTTTTCAGTTTACTAAGTGGTAAAGACTGTTCTCAGCTCGTAGTTATTGTTTCTTGAACACAACGCACTGACTGACAGTCACAGCATAACAATGGAAGTGTCTGACCTTGTCTTATCAATCTCCTTTATCATTCCTCTGACAGATCATCAACCAAATAATCATATGCCTCCAATAATCACAAATCTGACTTGTTCAGATGTCCATTCATTTTACCCAGAGTTATTAATTGAAAAAAATGTGCTCTATTTGAGTTTCAGATTTGTTCTAAAATAAGTTATTTAAAGAACAAATGTTTTTGAACTCACAAACTCAGTATTATTACACAGACAATTTGCTGACATACTGACATTAAAAAATAACACACGAACCCACTGCTTCTATCAGTTGAGTCGAGTACTAGGTACTAGATAATCTATCATATCTTCTAATTGTGCCTACCTCATCCACAATGTTGCAATATTTTCAATCTCTGATATTGTGATACCCCACCTGCCAAGTTCTCATTCACCTTATTGATTATTTTGGGGTCAAGTCAGTGTTGTAGATTTTCCAGCGTAGGAGCGCTCACCATTGACTAACATTATTTATAAGATTTTTTACAAAATCAGAGGGGAAACAGCGTTCCCGCAAGTTCTTGCCGCACTAGTCCGAATAATATTTAAAAAATAATAGGGCTTTGTGAAGGATTTGAGCTGAGATGGGCTGTATAGCATAAATTGATTACAATTGACTATGTCTTAGAATCCGGATATTTAAAACACATTTTTGTTATTTTTTAAAAAGGAGTTATAGTTATATATACTGTGGTGGTCTTAAATTATTGGACACATTTTAATTTATATAAATAAACAACCAAGCAACTTAAAATCATGGGAATTGTTTTAACAGTTTATTTTATTTATTGTGTTTTGGAGCAGTTGGGGTAAAGCTAGTTCTTCTAACTAAACCCCTACTCATAGTGGTTAACCTGAACTCATCCCTGTCACTCATATTACACATACAACATGAGTTGGTGGTGAATGACTTTTGTCAATTTTACTTTTTATAGCTCGCCTGGAATTGCACCATAAACCTTACGCTCTCAGCAATAATCTTAAGAGCTGAAAAATATGAAATGGATATGGATATTGTTGAATGAATGACCAATCTTACTGGATCAAATGATTAAATAAAATAGTAATTGAATCCCAAACATACATTTCAAATCATAAATTGTTTGCAACAAGTGTTGTTTTCTTTTTTTTTTGTAGTTTAATTAATGGTGTTTAATTTTAGAGAGTTGGAGAGAAGACAAGCTCTAAAGCAATGCCAGCTCAACATCAAGGTTTTATTTAATAATCAGGTAGATTTTTTCTTTTCCAAACATCACAATATCTCACTTTTGCATTTTTGTAATTGCTAATATCACGTTGAAAGCACACAACCTTAAAACATTGCAACTATCACTGATTCAGTTTGAAACTGTTACATCTTAGTTCAGACCATTTGTAGATTGAAAGTTTTCTATAGGTTTTAAGGTTTGTTTGTAAGAGGGATGTTATCCAATATACAGGGTGTCACTAACCAACCTGTGAGCCTTGTTGTCTTTTCTGCTGTGGAGCTGAGTCGTCAAAGCTGCTTGTTGCTCGCTGGGACTCTGGGCAATGACAATGGTCTGCACAAGCCCATAAGATTAACAAGTTGAATGATCGGGTGCTGGAGGCGTGTAGCAACTGCAGCAGTAGTCAGGGGGTTTTAAATCTTGATCACATTAATGTGAGGTCACTTTCTGTTTTGGTTATGGACTTAAGAAGGCTTCAAACATTGACACTAACTTGGATAAAAAGCAGGACACCAAATTTCAAAATGCCTAACCAAAAATATAATTCCAGAGGGGGGAAAAGTGTTGTATGTCTTTTTGGCATGGGTCTCCGGTCGTAGCTCTTAAAAACATTAAAATTCAATGATTTGGGCTAACTCGATAATTGAAAAGGAATCAATCTTGGAGAGCATACATTTTACTGGTTAATTTTGTTACTGGGCAGTTCTTGCGGGTCGTATTGCTCTGTAATTCTGTAATGAGGTTTTTAAGTGGTTGTAAGGTCCGTAACATAATTAAAAAAGGAAGATTGGTAGGAAAACTATTTCAGGAATATAAAGACTTACATGCCAGAACAATGTTAGCATCGAACTAAAAATCAGTTGAAAAGCGTTTTGTGTTCATAAAATATCTAGGTATTTTGTAAATGTGTTCCTATCTGGCATTTGTACATTTTTTTGAGTTATTGGTTACCTACTTGATATTTTAGTAGTAAATGTTGTGTATATTCTGGATTAGATCTTCCAAACTGTTCTTGGATACTTCAAAGTTTTCAGATTGACATTTGTTTTGCCACAGGTGGTGTGCAGGTCTAGGCCTCTCTCACTGTACCCTCACTTCTGTGCCTCGCTCAACCAGGTGTTCACGCTGCAGGTGACAGAGTGGCCGCAGTCTATTGTACTACAGTTGGTAGCACTGGGAGGTCTAGGTGCAGGGAAGAGACTCACTGCCTCTGTGTTTGTCCCTGTACCACCAAGGTGGGTAAATATATATGAATCATCGTATATAATACTCAAGGTCTCTGTAGTGCACAAAATGTGACAGGTGCTTTGAGAGTGTTTGTGATATTGTATACCCAGTGGTCAGTAGTTAAACTATTTATTAATATAACCAATATCTGTCAAAAATCGTAGTTGTTTTGGAAAATGTTACAGGCATTTTATTTTCCTAAGTAAAAAGTATTGTTTGAAATTTGTCATTTGAAAAAAGAAACTTGTCATAGTTTTGGCAATTTTATTCTCTATTATGATTCGCCTTTTGCTTAAAATTCTATTTGTGGATTGTGAAATACCTTCGAGTCTATGTTCAAAGCTTCGACTCCATTACTTTAACTTATTATAGTGTTATAATTTTGTTCTACACAGTATTGTGTAACTAGGAAGAACATATACTATCTTCAGCATATTCTTGAATGCAGTTATTTTTTATATGGCAATGGATTTGCACACTTTTCTGGAGTTTTCTATTATACCAATATCTTAGTTGATTTTTATACACATCTTGAGACATTATTTTATTTTAAAAACGTACTAGCTGGATATTACACAATTATTTGTTCACGATATAGAATTAAGGGTTTTACTTAAATTTTTTTTTAGTAATGACGAGGGTTATTTTTTCCTCTGTACCATGATTTTTTTTAAATATATATCAATGAATGTATGTATATGTGTATATATCAATGAGGAATATAATTTTTTGGGTATTCTTAATATTCATATACATCTTGAGAAGTATGCTCTCAGTATTTCATAAAAAAAAAATTAAAAAAGTTAAATAATAAATACTAATAATTATATAGTAATCCAGGCCCATCAACATGGAATTCAAAGGAAAAGGACGTATTTGAGACAACGGATCCGATTCCAGTAATGACGAGTACCAAAACTTCCTTGAAATCTTATAATCAACTCACCTACAATTTAGTTTAAGTTTTTTGTAATGATGTTGTGGCAGGTATAACAGCAGGCTTAACTTACTTAGAAAAATAAAACTGAGTTCAAGTTTACATGAAACATAACATTTTTGAAATGAAGTATGTTGTGTAATGAGATGCTTTGCTGTATCAGGAACCTGTCCCTGTCAGCTGCACCCGTGGACATGTTGGAGTTCAACTCCCCTGACAAGCTGAGTGGATACCAGCACGCAGGAGTGGGGTGTGGGAGGGAGTTGTATGCGGGGGGGAGAGTTACGTACAGGGCTGGGTGGGGGAGCAGCGGGGGACCTCCTCACGGACCCTCCAACCTCAGGTGACTACCCACATTGTAAATAAAACATGTGATTGGAATTTCTTCCATTTCTTGTGATTTTTCTGTTTATATTTTGTTGTTATTTCATCACCAGCATGACAACCTATAATGCCCATGATGATATTTTTTATTTTAGATTCATTTTTGTGCTTATTTTTGAGCCTATTTTAATTTATGCCTATTTTATTAATAAAAGGAATTCTGCACATCTACAGGAAAATATCTTTCTACCAGTTTGCATATATTATCCCTGCAGTGAACATGAGCTGAGAAAAAAGGTTTCAAAGAAACATGCTTGCCTATTAATTTATAGATAGTAGAATAGGAGTGGTGGTAAGAAATCCAATAAGCTTTCCAACCGACTTTGAAATTAAGCGTAAACTTTTATGATTTGCCAAATTTCTGTAAAGTGAACGTAAATTTTATAAGGAACTGGGAATAAGGAAGGGACATGAGGCAGGCACCTTCCTCAGGAAGATCTCATAGATAGATAGGATGCAACAGTTCATTAAGCATCTCAGGTTTGACTGCTCTGACACACCAAGCCCATCTGCAGCTGACGTGCATCAGGACAAGGTCCACCCCGACTCAATCAATCCAGGATCTGGGAAATTTTAAATTATTTATAATGGCATATGGCCAACCATCCTTAAAAGCATTGCATCAGATATATTTTTTTGTTGTGGTAAGTAATTAGAAAATCACAATCGAAGGAGAGGATCACAATGTAGGCCAGACTTCAAAACAAATACTCACCCTAATCCCTTATTTAGGAAGAACCATAATCCCGAGGGACGATCAGCGTTGTTGCCTTGATTTCATTTCTTGTACTGTCCTTCATTTCTTACCCTCAGCCGCCGAAAGCCCCAAATTCCAACACCTTCAGTCCCAGAAATGATATGGAGGGAGAAAGACCGTAAACTGACTCCACTGCTTGTCAGTCTTTGCGTTATTCGCTCAACCTGACATGATTTCAGTGACACTGTAAATATCTGTGATTATACAGACAATAGTGTTAGTTTTAGTTATAAGAAGATAGGATAGAAGATCCCCTGAGGATGCCACACAAACTGGAGAATGTATAGGGTGATATACAAACTTCTAGCCCTTGAATTTTAATGCCATGGCCCCTTATATTTATTTTCTAAACCCCTGTTGAAGTGACCTATGTCATTTTGCAATATTTTTGTACTGTAATTCCATTTAGTTTAAAATTTCCTAATTTTGTCTTTTCTTGTAAAAGAGGGGAGCTCTTTTATTTTCTTTAACATAATTTTTTTTTGTCAAGGACTAACAAATGTCCAAATTTCTTTAAACTATAGTTGATGTTTGTTATCGGTCTCAGAGGGTCTCGTAGAAGAGTCAACAGCGTTAGCAGTATGAGAGAATGGGCTGTCAGAGCACAACTAGACCCCAACGATCCTGCCAACGCTGACCTGTTTGACTACATCAAGGTATATTTTTTTAACAATTGAAAATTTGATCTATGTATGACCATCTTTTTGAGAGGTATTTTTTTAAATTATTGCTTATTGGTACCTATTGTTTGACATTTTTTTACATTTGATATTTCTTGTGAATTTAAAGTATTTTTTAAGGTCCTGCCATATTTACCCATTGAAAGTTATAATTTTCTTTGAAACTGTTTGCTCAAAATGTTTTTATGTAGCTTATATTTTGGTGTATTTGTAGTGCTGTTTGTTAATGAGTTTTTTTTTTACATTATTATCATGTAGGATTCATATTCATTACAACTTTCTTTTTTACAAGGTTGAAGATGCTAAAGAGAAATCAAAACCAGACACAAAGAGTTTGCCCGATGGAGATTTTTGTACAATGGAAGAGATAGAAAACAATCCACGACTGAAGCTATTGACCTTGAGAAACAACGCAGTGCCGGAATTCAGAGACATCCGTAACATTCCCTTGAGAGATAGAGAAATACCTGATGATATATTTAAGGTAAATTTGTACCAGACCTGTAATAATAGATAGATAGGAACACAGTATAAGGTGTTATGTCAAACATTTATATCGCCATCCTTAGACACCAACTCAACAAACATATGAGGGTGTTTATGTTGAATAGAACAAGGTTATTGTTAAACTAGCCACAGAGCCCGAGGTGGTTAAATACAACGGTCTCTAGGAAAATTACAGTTATGAAATCCATGCACCACTTTACTTACTTATATTAGTGGTACAGATTAAGCACATAACTTTAGAAACACACTCATTACATGAGGAACACATTTTAACCACAAATGCAAATTGTTAACAACATGCAAACAAAGAAAATTTTATGAAATAACAGTACAAAAAACAGCTGTTAAATTATCAACACATGTTTCATATGATTAGATGATGCATACCGGCAAACCCATTCCTGCCATATATCTTTAAAACAATCAAAAGACAAATATATCTAGGGTCCATTAAAATTGGTTAAAGTATCAACAATAACAATAATAATTGACACTAGTGGCCTGGCATGTAGAGACATAAGTCCTGAAAAACTCAAATGTAAAATAAATTATTGTTATAATTAAACAAACTAAGAATCAAATTATCTTTTACGCAGCAGCTCTGGAATTTGTAAGTTAATAATTTTTAGATCACTTTAGTGAAAGCAGAATTAATCTAAATTATTTTTTGATTGGTAAACAAACTTCACACACTCTATCAACTAAGTAGAATAAAAATGATAATACATTTGTAATCACATGTTTAATTTAAACAAAGCAGACGTTTTTCAACCCCAATGCATTTTAAATGGAAGATATTTTTTGTCATTTCTCATTTTCTGGTAGATTTAGACATAATCTGCTATTTTTCCCGACCACCTGGGACCAAGACCTTTAGTTTGAGGGCTCCCATCTTCCTGTGCGCTGTCAAACTCTCACAATTTTGGTTAAAAAAATCGCTAACAGAATTAATAATATAGATGTGTTGAACAAATATGTGTCAAATAATTTTATTAACTAGTGTACTTGTTCCCCAAATCGAGCAAATGTCAAGAATCGGTATTACAGGAGTTATTTTAAAACTAACAACAACAGGAGTAATTTTTGATTAGTTAAAAGATTCAAGCAAAAGCTTATAAAACTAATGGACATACTCACGCTGTACATAACAGTTTGATATATATAAACATTTCTTAATCATTTTTCAGAAGCTGACCTTATTTTTTTGTGTTTTCTAAAAGATTTTCCCGACTCACCCATAGCCGCATTAAATTTTCCATGTTATCTTCGTCATTGATTCTGTAGCCTTAGCCTAGCCTACATGGTACCACCATCGTCACCAGTACGTTTACAAAATTCAATCATTTTTTAAATAGCATTAAAAATTGTTCTAACTAATTAAGTACTACCCGATTTTTTGCATAATCTGTCTGTTAGAATTTTATTTGCTTCAAATGGCATTCTTTTTGTTGGTTGAGGTAATGACGCCAATTTTATTTACCTGTAAAATGCAGAGTTGAAAGGTCTGATGTTGTTCACGTGGTTTTTGTTTAAATAATTGACTCTTTCAATGAAAGTTTTAATAAAGTCTCTTGGATTTATTCAAATTCTTCTAAAATCACTTTACTGTTATGGAAACAGAGGTAAAACGTCCTTGAAGTACCAGTTTTATTTTGCCTTAGAGGGGCTTCCTATGCAATGATCACAAAGTCTTTGCTTAAAAAAATTGTAGCTCAACAGCTACATTCTCGTTCACCGTTTGTAGGTACCAATGTTGTGTTCTTCATTATGTAGGCTAGTAACGATAATAACATTCTTAATAAAATGTTATCTCTATTTCTTCTACTTGGTGGCGTTCTATAACTTTTCCATGTTTCCATCATTTGCAAATCGGCTCTTTTGACAATTGCTCAATAAATACAACACTGCATCAATTAAGTTTTCTTATTTGGTGAAATATATCAAATTCCCAAATTGAGTGAGGTAAAGGTGGGCTTTCCTAGCTCCGCATTTTGTGTGGAGCGCACTGCGGACGTCTCTTGTTTTTTCTAGCTCTCAGCAGTGCGCTGCAAGGTGTCAGTAGTTGTTTGCTAAAAAGTGAGTAAATATGAGCTCTCATCCTCTGAGAAGGAAAACATTAGCGTTGTTGATGTTATTAGAAGAGGAAGAAGAGATTGAAGATGAACTTGACTTCACTGTTGGTCGTCTTTTTAAATTGCAAAAATATTGTCAGTTCCATGTACACATCTAGAGAAAGAGAGAGTTTTTAAACATTTTTGATCCACAGAAATTTGCTCGCAACGTCGATGTGAAATTAAAATCTTACTTTAGAGTCACTAGGTGTCAGTTTGAACTTGTGATTAACAATTTGAAACTTGTGTTGAATGGGCAGCGTGATCCGCACTTGACTGCTTTCAGAGGAGTCGGCCAGTGGCGTAGAGCGTACTGTGCACCCCGGAGATGTTTAGGAAAATGGCGCCGTCTGATTGAGTGTTGTTGAGTAGGCTCCGCAGTGCGCTCCGCACAAAATGCTCCAAAAACTAGCTACAAAAACCCTCCTTAACATGTCATGATCTCTAGGTGTATGAGAAGCGTACCCAGTCGCCCTTGCGCACTGGCCCGGGAGTGGGGGAGACACAGCTGGAGTGGCAGAGGGAGTGGAGCAGACAACAGCTGGCTGTGATGAGGGATGACATTGTGCAGCACTGCAGACAGACACAGCAACAACACTTGCTGCGGGAGGTGGTTATGGAGGATCAGGTGCCGGACATTGGGTGAGTATAAGACAACTGTCAAGGGTCCTAACTTCATCACAGCTTTCATCAGCTTAAGTGCACTCTCATGACAGGAACTTATCCCTCAAAATTGTCAAATCCCAGATTTTATATGAACCAAGGCATTTTTTTTTCAATTGTTCGATGACCTTTCCTTGATATCTACATGCTATCCCAAGGGATCTTGTGTGAATACCCAACAGGGCTTGGTATTCAAACAGTACCCAAAAGGGTATTTCTCAGCATTTCTTGCACAAGAGGCTATCAACTCCAACTGTAATAATTCCAATTCCCTTCTTGTTTAAGTGCCTGCAAAAGACCCCTGTTCCACAGAAGAAGAAGTGTGTTCCACAGACACTTCTTGCTTAGCCTTAGAGCTGCCACTATTACTGCGTCAGTTGGTGTCATCAGCACCCTCTTACACTATATATGACCTTATTCTGTCCTTTACCTACATGTATTACAGTTAGACAGTAGGTCAGTAGGTCACATAGTTAGACATGCCTAAGTACAGTTAGACATACCGCCTCATAGACTTAAAAAGAGTAGCCATAGTCATAGACTAAACTGCATACTTTTTTTTAAATAAATTACCTGATTTAGGTAGAACTGTATCCTTCAAGTTCAAGATGTTTAAATCTATATTATGTGAATGGTTAAAAGCAATCCTTTCTTTGGCATCCGTGGATTTCTTTAACATATTGAATTTGAATTTTAAAACAAATGTTCATATTGAATTTTAAGTGTATCTACATGATCCATATTCTGTAGACTTGTCATATCTTAATTAACCAAGTATTTTGTAAACTTTGTATTTTATTTTATTGTTTTAGAAAGTTTTGTATTTGTTTTGACTATGTCTATTCCTTTGTACAGGGGAGCGAGCTGGCGTAGTAGTTAGAGCGCGGGACTTCAGGTCTTGAGGTCCCGGGTTCGATCCCTGCCAAGTCACCAATGGATTTTATTTAAGTGATACTGCCGCAACCCCTAGGTCTAGCCTGAAGTAATGTGAAAAACAATCCCAGGCTCGTGCCTAGCGTCCTAGGAAAAAAAATTCCTTTGTACAAAGAAAGGTCAATGGCAATAAAACTCTTGATTCTTGATGTATGGTTATAAGCTTACACCCTGATGTTTTTGAGATATGCGCCTCTACAAGTTAGTGCTACAAACTCAAATTTTCACAAGGACTTTGGAAATTGACACTGTTGATAACAATTAGTGAGTCTTACTTATTGGATTCTGTTATCCGTGGTACCAATATAAGATTTTCAAACAGTTTGTAATAAATTGTTTTATAATTTCAGCACATTGGGGTTGACGTTTATGAAGTGGCTGCAGCCCAAGCGTCCTCTTCGTCCTACAAGGAAGGAGAGGAAAAAACTCCCAGTTATGGGACTGGTGGGCCAGGAGGTTGAGGTCAGTAATTCGACTTTCATTTATACATTTAAGAATTTCACCAGTTTTAGTTTAGCAGTTGACATTAAGGAGAATATTTTACAGATTGGTTTTCCCTATGTGCATTTAATAATCTGGCACCAGAGTTTATAATGAGTAAGCATTTTGGGTCTGTTTGCCAGATTTTGTGTTCATTTGACTATATGCTAAGGCCGGGTATAGACAGAATATTTTACTAGTACCCATTAATAGTCATAAAACTCATTTTGATCCTACAATCATTTTGGAAGTGATATATTTCAGGTGATAGTGAATGTAGTCCGTGCGTTTGAGGTGCCAGTGAGGATGGACGTGGATCCCCTCCTAGAGGACGGTATCTCGCTGGTGCCTGTCCGACCGTTCGTCGAGGTCAGCTTCCAAGGTCGCAAGAGCCGCACTACTACAGCCGAGGGAGCCAACCCTACGTGGAATCAGGATCTTCGCATCCCTGTCAAGTAAGTTTATGTGTAGCCTTTGAAATTAAAACACATTTTGTAACTTAAAGTTTTAAGTTAAATAACTTCTAAGCCAGCCTGTAAAGATTCACTTAAGGAAGGTAAGAAAATGTTTAAACGTTTAAACTCATACTTGCCATTGTTTTAGGCTGCCAACCTCAGGACTGTACGAGATGCAAGACAAGTTGTACTGCCAGCTGTATGACGAGACAGTCGTGGACCTGCTAGAGGACGATCGTCAGAGAGAGACAAACATTCACCAACGACTGCAGCGGCAGTGGCTCGGCTCACTGAACATTCCGTTCTCCTCCCTCTTCTCCAACCATAGAGTGAGTACCATGTATAGAGTGTAAGGTACAAGCACATTATTGTTGAAATTGTTTGAGGTGTAGGATTTTGAGTGGCTGTTGTAGTCAACTATGTCACTAGCACATTGACAAAGGGCTCATTGAACCTCTACTGATATTTTTAGGTTAACGACAGGTTTGATGGTGGATTGGATAGCGTGATTTATAATTAAGATTACTTATACCTAACAAACCTAAATTAATGGTGCTTTATTACATCTTATATAAATAAAATTAGAGTTTGGTCTGTACATTGCTCAGAATCATAAACTTTTAGGTTATTTTTACGTATTATACATTAAAGAAACCAAAACAATTCTCATCTAAATTTCTGTCTGTCTGTCTGTCTTCCTGTCTGACGGCCCAAGAGCCATTTTACGCGGCCTTCTCCTGAAAAACGAGAGTACCTATCAAGTTCCAATTCATTTTTTTAATGTATTCACTGGATTGGCGAGATTGTCTTTAGCCATTAAAATATGGCGTCACTACTTTGTAAATAAAATGACGGACGTTTAAAAACCCAATTTTGTGCGATTTTTTGTAAAGTTTTCTCCCAATGTTTATCACATATTCAACTATGAAATAACGAACAACTGTTTGAATCAAGATTATTTTTTCTAGCTGTCACTGATGTGTTTACATTGAATGTTGTTTACAAATACCGTAACCATTTCCGATCACGTTTTTAAAGTAAATCCAAACCAAGTAAGATTAAAAACGTGTTTCTTTACATAACGGATTTAATTAATCGCAAGTGCAATAATTTGTAGGGTAACCGTATATGAAAATGGCGATTCTTTGTGTATAAAATTGTTCTTGAGTTTTGATAACCGGGAAATAGACCTTGAATCAGTGATGTATATGGCTGGGAAACTTACATTTTTTAAATGAGCGTTTTCAGTCGAGACTCGGCAGACGACCGCGCGTCTACATGTCCATGGTAAAAATAAAAGTAGGCCTACCTTGTATTTATGTTTTATTCTTCATGTGTATAAGTGGTTTATGTATGTATTTCAAAAACTCCAAGACGCATCTAATGGGGAAGCTCAAAACCTTATATTAGGACTGATGATGGCGATTTAATTTCGCCGAAATGCATCTCCTGTAATAGGATACATTAGGATAGACTGGCGGACACAGGTAATATAATTTTTATTGATTGTCATACCGATCCGGAACAACAACAAACAACATAAAATGAAGTTATGTATAATAGTTTGGCCAGCATATCTGAAAATATGCAAACCAACTGCTGTTCTTTACATAAGAAGGTTTCAACTGAATACTATAAGATCCCCGTGCGTAGAACGGGTACACAGCTAGTAAATTATAAAAAGGAGCAACCGGGGTTAGGATTGACCCTATACGGTAACTGTGCCTTTATTAGTAACAAAATCAACAGCCTTGGATGGTTTCCACTGATATATTGTTGCAGTGATATATACTTAAGTACAAAATTGGGCTGAAAATAATCTCTCTTAATCTGTTAGCTCAATTTGGATGCCTGGAAACACTTGTATTACTTGCACCCTCATTGAGCTCATTGGGTCTTTTGAATTTAACAGTTTTTTATGTTCTGTAAACCTCAAATAAGACTTATTAATCAAGCCTGTCACACAACAGTCAAAGTATTGTTCATCCCTGTCCACAGATTGAAGGGACGTTCCAGCTATACTCGCCTCCAGTGCTGCTTGGATATCAGCGAGAGTCGCAACATCGACAGATAACTTCAGCCTCTGCGACAGCCGTCACTAGTGGTCTGCGAGACAGTACGTTCCTCACTCTCTTCATCACGGTGCATCCCCCCCTCCACCCACCAGAGCCATTCAAGGTCAGCTAGCTACTCATAACTTTGAAAGATATATTGTCTATATCCATAAATATTATTGTCGTTGATTAGAGGTTTTATTTTCGTTACATTAACTGTTTAGGACCTTTTCCATCTTCACTAGAATTAACAAAGTTTTCACAACATTTAGAGATCTGAAATCCAATCTGCTTGTCTTCAGGTGAGAAAACACCTAAAATAAAGAATACATAGGAAGTACCTAAAATTAGTAGGATACTTTGTATTTGAATTCTGTTTGCGTGTCACTATCCCTTCACCCATTTCCTGGATGGACATGTGACCTACTCTTGCTTGAGCCGGTGATCTTGTAGAGACTTTTTCATTTCCATTGTGTGGAGCACACAATTGAGGAGCTATCATATAGGAGCTACCATGAGGAGCTATCAATTTGTACTAATTGTTGTTTAATATCAGTATTTTATGTTTCTTTTCAGCGAATTTCCCATATAGGGAATAAGCTATTACCGTAGGTCTCATGGTAAGACCTTGACCTAGACCCGGGACCAATTTACTTTTTTTGTTTTGAGGTTCCCAGAGGCCAAAAACATCCTCCGTTCAAATTCATATATTGTATGTATATATGTGTGTGTCCTTTATCGCGACAACTCTAGCAAAAATCATCCGATTTTGATTAAATTTGGTTTAAACAAGAAAACCTATGTTTATTTGAACAATTTCACAAACCAGCATGATCGGACTATGGGAACGGGGGTTTATGGGGGGTTCCATGGGATAAATATTAGTTTTCCCATTTTTTACGCGTTTTTGTATGCCTAACGGTAATGGAAATAATTTAAAAAACTTTAAATTTAAAATTCACATGTTATTCTTATGGAGAATAAATAAACTGTTGTAGTTTGCTTGTTTATGGATATATTTTTATCAAATTTGGCAATTTTGTTTATTTCATATATCAAAATTTCAATAAAAAACACACTTTCCCTGTACTAGCAAACCTAGGTACTCATTAAAATTAATGTTATTTAAATAGGAAATAAATCTGACAATTTTCAGGAAATATTTTAGTAGAAATCCAGCCAGGTACCTCTTAGTCTCAGGTTTGCTGCGGTGGGGGTATTTGAATTATAATTCAGTTTTTTTCGTTTTTTGTGTCATTTTTCATTTTTCTTTTGCCTTGGATTTATGTACTAATCTTGGAATGTTTTAGGTACTGTCTTTCCTGAGGATGGAATTAGATTCCAGATCACACCATTGTGAAAATTTTGTTTTTACCGATTGTGATAGAACATGTCTGCAACCATCCCACTTAAATAACATAAACCCAATATGACTCTAGTTTTTGAATGGTTAGTTCTCTTGGAGGGGAGAATATGTTATAATTTATGCCTGCCTTCTTTCTTATTTAATTGACCTAACATATGTTTTATTTTATTATTATTATTTTTGTAAATAATGTCCAATTTAAATACACATCTTTTTTGTCAAGTCTATTAATTTTTGTCTTTTTAAAGTCTTGTCTGCCTTTAATATTTTTAACTATGACAAAATGAACTTTGAAAAATACTATTGTTAGTTTTGTTATTTTGGGAAAAAATTTGCTTTGTAAGTTTGTAAGCAATATTTGTTCTAAATTAAACTTGAGATTTTTATGGTTGCAGGAGCGCCTGCCGTGCAGTGAGATGCCCTACCTAGAGCAGCACCTTGAGCAGTGGCAGGCGCAAGTGGCCAGTCAGTTCCCTCACAGACCTGTCAAGTGTCTTGTCGTCGACACTTCCGCAAAGTCTGTTTGTGTCACGAGGTTCTTCCAGTCTCTCGCACCTCCAGGTTTGTGTCTTTATTAGTTTATGTGTTTCAACGTTATTAGCATTTTTATTTATTGATTTTTTTTGCGAGGGAATGATCCAAACGGTATTGTAACTCTTGTGTTTGTATCATTAAATGATAGCCTAATGAAAAACGGCATAAAGTTCTAGAATCCATCCTTGGTTGAAACAGCAACTTCAGATTTGAAGCTGGGTACTAACTACTTGGCTCCCATCCCAGACAATTGATCGGGCTTATTTTAATTCTGAGTACTGCGTGTTGAGGATTGAATGAAAACCAATTAATAAGCGCAATGCCCAACACTCAGTATTTGATGTTAGCTTTGTGAACATAAGATTAGAATCTTTACATTAGAAAATGTTAGAACAGTTATAAATCAGTTGCTGTTAAATAGTTAGACTAAGGCCTCAACTCTTCGATTAGATCCGTAACAATACGGTCAAGGGTTCAGATTTGGTATTTGTAATAAGTAAATTAAAAAACTTGTTGAGAGTTTATTTAACGTAACAAAGTTGACGAGGAGTGTCTATCAAATTGTACATTAAGGCATGTTTTTAAAAACAAAATTTTGTTAATGAGAGTTGAGTTAATGAGAGTATCTTGAATCTTTTCTTTGAAGAAGTTATACAGGGTGGCTGAAAAGTAACTTGCACCCCCCTTAACTTTTCAACCATTTGAGATATTTGAAATCGGTTTGCGGCAACCTTCTTAGGTATGAGGGGCTACAATTATTATGGTCAATTTTGAAAATTTTGCCCCTAGGGGTAGCGGGGGTAGGGGGTAGCTCAAAGTTTTCAAATGACAAGTATAGTCGAGTTTGGTATCATTTTACAGGTCTTGACGAAACATAAACATTGACATAAAGAAAACCAAAATCGGCTCACTAATAACAAAATGGCGACCTAAAACGTTTCAAATCCAAATAACCATGAGGGTGGCAAAAAAATTAACTTGCACCCTCTTTAACTTTTTAACTATTTGAGATATTTGAAATCGGTTTGTGGCAACTTGTTTGGAAATGAAAGGCTACAATAACTATGGTCAGTTTTGAAAATTTTGCCCTTAGGGATAGCGGGGGTAGCTCAAAATTTCCAAATAGCAAGTATAGTCGAGTTTGGTATCATTTTACAGGTCTTGACAAAACATAACAAATAACATAAAGAAAATAGAAATCGGACCATCAATAACAAAATAGGAGCTATACATGATTGAGACAATGGTTATTTAAAGTAATTTTGAACTGCCATTTTGTTATTAATGATCCGATTTCTATTTTCTTTGTGTTAATTGTTATGTTTTATCAAGACCTACAAAATGATACCAAACTCGACTATACTTGCTATTTGGAAATTTTGAGCTACCCCCTACCCCCGCTACCCCTAAGGGCAAAATTTTCAAAACTGACCATAATTATTGTAGCCTTTTATTTCCAAAATAGTTGCCGCAAACCGATTTCAAATATCTCAAATAGTTAAAAAGTTAAAGAGGGTGCAAGTTAATTTTTTTGTCACCCTCATAGTTATTTGAATTTGAAACGTTTTAGGGCGCCATTTTGTTATTAGTGAGCCGATTTTGGTTTTCTTTATATCAATGTTTATGTTTCGTCAAGACCTGTAAAATGATACCAAACTCGACTATACTTGTCATTTGAAAATTTTTAACTACCCCCTACCCTCGCTACCCCTAAGGGCAAAATTTTCAAAATTTACCATAATTATTGTAGCCCCTCATATCTAAGAAGTTTGCCGCAAACCGATTGCAAATATCTCAAATGGTTGAAAAGTTAAGGGGGGGGGGGGGGGTGCAAGTTACTTTTCAGCCACCCTGTATATTAGGAAGGGATGTCAGTATAGTATGTACATTGTTTTACTTATTTTTTTAATCCAATTGATTGTGGAGAGAACATTCCATCTTTAAACCATCTTCAGCTGCTCGAAACTCTCTAGGTTCAATAATTAATTGTGTCTTAGCTGTGTTGATGTTGGGGCAGCTGTGTTGTTAAGTTGTAAAAGACACATTTTGACACTGTCTCAGTAAGCTACCATGGGTAGCTCCAAATGAGCATTATGTTATTGTTATGTGACCTTTTATTGTATTTATATTAGCCCCTGAACTTTAATTTACTCAGGTAACCTACTTAAGCTCAAACTGTATCCCTTTAAAAATCCTTATCACCCAATAAGCTTTCCTTTTAATGGTGTTTTTCATAAAACATTTTCCCAAGTTGACAATACAAACGCCATTTGCTGTCCAGTGTTCGAGGAGGGAGTGGCCACTACCCCAGAGATGGTGGTGAGGTTTGTCTCCAAGATCCCGATGGTGCCTGGCAGTATGTTGTTCCCGGGACTGTTCGATGTCTGGCTCACAGCTCAGGTACGTTCATCACTAATGCAATGATAGTTTACGTTGTATCATTGTCTTGTTGATACTGAAGTAGTCATCTCATCTATATGGACCAGCTGTGGCCCGTTTTGTATTTAAATACCCTCTACGCAGCAAACCGGACTAAGTGAATTTCCATTCGTCTGATTGGATTTTCACTCAAATATTTTTTTAAATATATCAGTTTTAATACCTATTAAAATAACATTAGGTTCAACATTCTCTTTTCTCCTTTATTTTTTTTTTTTTTTTTACCGCTATAGTTTGTGGTATTTGCTATAGCAATAACCCTTTTAGTTTGGCTTAGTTTAAACATTGGTGTAATTAACAGCAATCGGTAAATTAAATTTTGCCAGCATTTTCTCAGTGGCTCAGTTAAATTACAGTTAGTTTTTTTGGAGGGAAAAGCACTTGGCTTGGGAATACATTAATGGAAATGGAATGTATTCATTACCAACTTGCCTGAGAAAAGAGTTTCCGGTAGTTGAAAGCACAGAAAAAGTTTACAACACAATAAACTAAACTTGATATTTTGCCCCTATACAAGAGCCTTCTTTCGAAGAAAGAAGTGGAAAGTTCTTTTTGTTCTTAAATTATGCTAATTTTTATTCTAAAACTGGCTAATCTTAAACTTTAACATAGATATCTACTTTTATCAAAACCCAAAGATGTAAGTGATTCAACAGATTTTTAAACCAATGATACTCATAGTTAAGTATTAAGATTTTTTCTTTCTATCTTATCTATATACGGTATATTTATTTTCTGTATGTTTAGCAAGTGGTGACACTACTGTCAGGTGACTGTGAGGACCATGCAGTGTTGCTGTGCTGCTACTTGCTACACCTCGGGCTGCGGGTGTGGCTGGTGCTCGGTTCAGGTGTCCCTCACGGGTCCATGGCGATGGTGCTCACCCGGGACCCAAACTCCGGGTGTTACACTCTCTGGGACCCAGCCACCAGTCACCACTACGACACCCAGGACTCCTTCTGTCCCCTTCACCGGGTCTACTGCCTCATCAACCAGGACAATGTGAGATCAATGACACCTGTAGTAGAAGTCATTATAGTTTCATATATATGAACAGTCATTTATTAGTAACGGAAGAGTTATTATGTTTTGCGGGGTGGCTGCACTGTGCACTGGGCCCTGAAGTGTGATGATTCGTCACGGCTCCTTCTTCTATGTCCAACAGCGATCGTAAGTGGTTCTTTATAATTACTGTCCACTTTTCTAGCGTAACGTTAGGTTACGACATTTTGGCGCAGTCGGTAATAAACCTTTTTATCATAGTTAGGGTAGTACGCGATAACAGTTGTTGTTTTAGTGCGTATTATAGTTGAGATGATTAAAAATGGCGAGTATTAGTGTTGGCAGGATTTCTGAATTTAATCCAAGTGAGGAGGACATTGTGCCCTATTTGTTGCGCCTGAAACATTTTTTCAAAGCGAACAATGTCAAGAAGGAAAACGAGGTGTCGGTTTTAATTACAGTTATTGGTCCCAGGGTTTTATCGGTCCTATCCGATTTATTATCACCGGTAGAGGTAGATTCTAAGACCTATGATGAACTTGCAGCGTTGTTGAAATTACATTATGCGCCCAAGAAGTTGGTTGTGGCGGAGCGATATGTATTCTACTCTCGTGTGCAAAAGCCGGGCGAAAGCATAGCGGAGTTTGTGGTTTCAATAAAACATTTGGCTAGTTCGTGCAAATTTGGTACCTTTTTGAAAGACGCTTTGAGGGACAAAGTGATTTCCGGCATTTCTAATGAAACTATCCGGCAGAAATTGTTGTCGGAGGAATTGGACTTTGACGAAGCTTATGCGTCAGCGCTCAGGCTGGAACAGGCCGAATCGCAGTCAAGCCTATTTGTGCAACCTCGTGGGGACATTGCGAAAATCAATGTGAAAAGTCAAAATAGGCCTAAAACTTTCATGCATAGGAGTAGTGAAAATCAAAATTCTAGAAACTCTTGTTGGAGGTGTGGTTCTGCTGGTCATTGGCCTAGTGCGTGTGCGTTCGCCAGTTACAAGTGTCACGGTTGTCAGAGAGTAGGTCATCTCAAGAAAGTGTGTAAAGCCAAGAAATCTTCTAGTTTCCATGGTAAAAAGTCGACACCTAGGATGGGGGTCCATCAAGTGGAGGAAGAGGTAGGCCTAGGCCTAGAAGTTCCAATGGCAGAGATAGGTCTGTACAACCTTAAATCAGGATCAGACAACGGCTATAAGGTAGGCCTAGTGGCTAATGATGTATATTTAGAAATGATTCTAGATACAGGCAGTGCCTTGACTATATGTCCTTCTGAGATATTTTATGAAAAATTTTCTAACCTCAAACTTAGGCCAGCAAATGTGAAACTTACTACTTATTCAGGTCATGATGTACCTGTTCTGGGACAAGTGAATGTCAATGTTAAATATAATAATCAGCAGGCGAGTTTGCCTTTGACAGTAGTTAGTTTAGAAAGTAAGAGTCAGCCGATTCTGTTGGGGCGAAACTGGTTAGGCCAGTTGAGGTTAGATTGGCAAAATGTGTTTTCATGTAAAGCCACTGTGGATCACAGTTCTGATTTGGACATTGCTAAATTGAAGAGTAAATTTAAGTCAGTTTTTCAGCCTGGAACGGGCGAAATTAAGGGTGTTAAGGCTCACATTGTTTTGAAGGAAGGGACAGTCCCTAAGTTTTGTAAGGCGAGACCAGTGCCTTTTGCGTTAAGGGAGAAAGTTGAGAGTGAGTTGGACCGCATGGTTCAAGAGGATGTTGCGTACAGAGTTACTAATTCACAGTGGAGCACTCCACTTGTGGTTGTCCCTAAGCCTAATGGTGTTAGGCTTTGTGCCGATTATAAGATTACTCTTAATCAGTGTATTGAAATGGAACATTATCCGCTTCCACAGGCTCAAGATATTTTTGCAACTCTAGGCGGTTGCTCAGTTTTTAGCTGCCTTGATCTTTCAAATGCGTATCAGCAATTGGCGGTAGCGGATGAATCGCAACATCTGTTGACCCTAGCTACCCATAAGGGTCTGTATCGTTTAAAAAGGCTACCATATGGTTTGTCTTCAGCTCCTGCAATTTTTCAGTCAGCCATCGACCAAATTTTAACAGGTCTTCCAGGAACGGTGGCGTACTTAGATGACGTCTTAGTGGCGGCTCGCTCTAAGGAAGAGGGGCTTGCCCGTCTGGCGCAGGTGCTGCAACGCCTTGATGAGTTTGGTGTTCGAGTAAACCAACAAAAGTGTAAGTTTTTGCAATCTTCAATCGAGTATTTAGGACATGTGATTACTCGAGATGGTCTCCGTCCACAAGAAAGTTTGTTAACTGCGCTGCGTAAAGCGCCTGAGCCTAGTACTAAGGAAGAGTTACGAGCCTATATTGGTCTAATAAATTATTATCATGCATTTATACCTAACCTGTCTGCTAGAATAAGCTGTTTTTATGACTTATTACATAAGGATCATCCATGGGTGTGGTCGGAGGTGTGTTCTAAGACTTTTCAGGAGAGTAAATCATGGGTGTTGGACTCAAGTTTGTTAGTTCACTATGATGTTAAAAAGCCCATAGTTCTGACGTGTGATGCGAGTCCCAGAGGGGTGGCTGCTGTTCTATCTCATCTTATCGATGGTCAGGAAAGGCCAATTGCCTTCGCATCGAAAACGCTAAGTTCCAGTGAACGGAATTATTCTCAGTTACATCGGGAGGCTCTGGCTTTGATCTTTGGAGTCAAAAAGTTTCATAAGTATATATATGGAAGACACTGTATTCTACAGACTGATCATCAGCCGTTGACGGCTATTTTTGGCTCTAAAAAGGGCGTTCCTAGTATGGCGGCAGCTAGGCTGCAGAGATGGGCCTTGATTCTATCAGCATATGATTTGGAGGTTAGGTACCGGAAGGGAGTGGATGTCCCTCACGCTGATGCGTTGTCTAGGTTACCCTTAGCAGAAGCGGAACCTATAGAGCTGGATGCTAATTTTGTTTCACATGTAGATGTGTGTACAGAAGTGATGAACAATTTCTGTGTTGTCAAGGACATTGCACCTATTACTGCCTTGCATATAGGTAAAATGACGGATAAGGATCCGATTCTTTCGAAGGTCCGAGATTTTGTGATGTACGGCTGGACGAGCTCGGTTGAGCCGGAACTAGCTATTTTTCTAAGGAAGAAGGACGAGTTGTCCGTGGAACAAGGTTGTTTGCTGTGGGGTTCTCGTGTAGTGATTCCAAAGAAACTGTATTCATCTGTGCTTCAAATGTTGCATGATCAACACCCGGGAGTTACACGCATGAAGATGCTGGCGAGAAGTTATGTCTGGTGGCCAGGCATGGAGAAGTCGATTGAAGACGTGGTGGCCTCTTGTTCTGCGTGTCAGTTAACTAGGAATTCGATACCTAAAGTACCGTTGCAGCAATGGCCTACAACATCAACTCGATGGCAGAGGATACACATTGACTTTGCGGAGGATCCAGAGTCGAGACAGCAACTTTTAGTTTTGATTGACACATACTCTAAATGGTTAGAGGTATTTATCATGAGTTCCATGAATTCTTCCAAGGTTATCGAGAAACTCCGTACCTTGTTTTCATCGTATGGATTGCCTGTTGAACTGGTGTCGGACAACGGAAGATCTTTTACTAGTCAAGAGTTCAAGACCTTTTTGCATAACAACAATGTGAAGTTCACATTAACTCCCCCGTATCATGCGGCTTCAAATGGATCTGCAGAGAGAAGTGTTCAGGAGGTCAAGAAAAACCTTTTGCGTCAAGTGATTGAGGAACATCAGCGTTCTCAGCGTACCACTCTTCAAATGAAATTAGATAATTTCTTGTTTGCGTACCGCAACACTCCAAATACAGTTACTGGCTTAACCCCTGCAGAAATGTTCCTGTCTTGGAAGCCTCGTACTCAGTTGGTTATGTTAAAACCCAATCTCCAGTCATCCATTGATCAAAAACACAGGGAACAAAAAGATGCAGCTGATAGGCTTAGGGGAAGAAGCAGATTTTTCTCAGAAGGTCAGGCAGTCTATGTCAAAACTGTCCGAAATGAAAAGATATCTTGGGTTCCTGGCAAAATAATTCTAAAGAGAAGTCCGGTCACCTATCTGGTGAGTGTTATTGGTGGAAAACCCCGATTTTGTCATGCGGATCACTTGAGAGCTCGGTATGCAGAAGAGGAGGAGATTTTTGTATCACCCAAGGACCCCGTTGTATCACCCCAAGTACCCAAGAATTCACCCCCGCCGGAGGATCGACCAACCAGTCCCATGATGATGTCACCTGTACCTAGGCCTACGACCAGTCCCAGGGAGAGCCTAGGGCAAGCCCAGTCTCAGCCAACTCCTGCGTCGCCGCTAGCACAGTGCAGCCCACCACCCTCGCTGAGGAAGTCTGCACGGACTGTGCGAAAGCCTCACAGGCTGGACTTGTAAAATAATTAATGAATAATGGGAAGAAGAAATTTTTGTTGCATTATATTGAAAGTGAATTTATTTTATTTTGAGTTAATTTTGAATTTATGGTATTGACTTTTTTTTTTATGGGGAAGACGAGTGTAGTAGAAGTCATTATAGTTTCATATATATGAACAGTCATTTATTAGTAACGGAAGAGTTATTATGTTTTGCGGGGTGGCTGCACTGTGCACTGGGCCCTGAAGTGTGATGATTCGTCACGGCTCCTTCTTCTATGTCCAACAGCGATCGTAAGTGGTTCTTTATAATTACTGTCCACTTTTCTAGCGTAACGTTAGGTTACGACAACACCAATATTGAGTTTAAATGGAAAGATGTTCATGAACTTGTCTCTAGTTTGTCATTAAACTTTTTCAGTTTATGTTGTTTTTACAGTTGATTGAAAATATTGCAATGTGTAAATTTAATTTAGCTTAGTTGGTTTAAATTTTTTTCTTTATTTTTTTTCTTTAAAAGGAGGGCATCCTCTTTTAGCTTTGCATAACCATTACAGTTTTAGGCCTGTAACTGATCAAGAACAGCATAAAATAAGACAGTACAGATGAAGAATGAACAGAGAAGTTATGGCAATAGGATAGGAAGCAACATCACTGCCATGGTTATAAATCTATTTGATAGTAAATGACTAAATGATCCTCCATTTTTTAATCTCAGAAGAGCAAGAAGTAGGATGGACGTAATGTTATCTAATAATATTTCTGGCAGATATGGGCCAACATTCAGCGGGAAGAGGTGGTGAGTCGTACAAGGTTTGATGTGAGCCGGCGTGGGGACTGGTGGCCGGCCTTCAACCGCAGTGTGGCGGCGCCGATTGGCTCAGTGCAGCCGGCACAGCTGGAGTACTCAGTGTCACCAACTCTAGCCACTGACGTGTCCCTTCTACAGGACAAACTCGAGAAAACCTTGAGAGACTCTATCACTAAGTGGCGGCCGACCACCAGGTGGGCAATTCAAGTTTATGAAATATCAAGTCAGTCACATGTCAATGAAAATTCAATTGATGCTGTAAATTTTGTTGAAAAACAAAATGGATGGGTTTGTTTTATTTCAAAACTAGCTGGCCCGACAGACGTCGTCCTGTCCTAATGTGGTTTTATGTCAAATGCTCGTTCATTTTCAAGATTAGCCCGTTCGCATGGCTCAATCACGTCCTGGTTGAAGTTTGTTTGCTACGCTCACTCACCTTCAGGTTGGAGCTCGTTCCCTGCGCTCACTTGCCTTCATGTTAGCTCGTTCGCTACGCTAACTCGCCTCCAGGATGAAGTTTGTTCGCTACGCTCACTCACCTTTTGGCTGCAAATTAGCTTTTGTCATAAATAAAAAAAATAATAGTGCTGCACGCTGTTGGTAAATCTATTAACTTTTTAATGCTATTGAACATCACAGAATCAAATTGTTTAGTTGAACCAGCTGTTAAGATTCTTTAATTTCATTTAAATATGAGTACTCATAAGGTTAACATGGGAAACTCCAGAGCCACTGGGGCGGAGCCTTTTTGACGGATCTGATCTGCACCAAACCATCCTTGAATAATGCTTAATAATGCCTGAAAGTTTCATTACAAACTGTCGAGCAGTTTCGGAGTCCATAAAGGACAAACAAACAAACAAACAAACATACATTGGATTTTATATATAGAATTGTATTCTGATGTAGCTATGGGAAAATCGGTCACTATTGAACAAATGGATTTGCAGATTTGTTTTCACATTATCAAAATGTAAATTATGATAGGGTTATCAATGTAACTCTTTGTATATTATTATTAACCTCGCAACTAAAACTGATTTGAAATTATAATTTTATGTTCGGAATTTTGAAATGGAGCAGAACAGATTGTAAATCTTTGAGTGCTGTTGTAGATTATGAATCTTTGTTTTGTTTTTGTTCAGTAGATGATGTTGTTGAGTTTTTTGTTAACAGGACAGTGTGGAACCGTTATGTGACAGTAAAGCTACGAAAGCTGCTGCCTGGGCTGGAGAAGGCTACATGGAACAGCAGCATGTCTCTGTCATCAGAACACATCAGTCAACTGACTCAGACACTCACCAGCCACAAGGTGTGTAGCGTATCTATCAAGACACTGCTTCATGTATCTGTGCCACATCCACTCTATGCACTACATGGGTTGCCTAGCAGTATAGTAGGGAAGAGAGAGAAGAGCACTGTCACTTCTTTTATGGTGTTAAATTGGACTGAATTTATGTCGGCAGGAGCAGGTGCAGTTTTGTAATGTGAGACTATCTTTTTTTAACACAAGTCTAGTTGGAGAACGTTCTTATATCTAAATCTAATATTTGACTGTGCATCACAACCTTGTTTTTTTAATGAGTGTAGCCTACTTATTATAATTGGTAACTGTCAGTAGGTTACCAAACCCATTATCACTTGAAAACCAATATTACTACTGTAGTTTTATCACTTTCATAGTGTGGTTACAAAGATGCACAAATTGTTTACAGATTTTTAATTAAATGCTCAGAGTAAGATAAAGAGTAAGATAAGGTAGGGAAACGGTCGTATGGCTTATATTGCATTAGGCTCTGTCTCTGGGTTCAAAAAAAAATAAATAAATCCTCATATTTGAGATCCAAGACTATTATAAAATTTAGCCAACTCATCTATTGCATACAAATTTATAAAATCCATTCACTAGAGTGAAACACACTAAACTGACAAATTTTTTAAAGTCTCATTTTTTGATTACTGAATAACAAAGCATACTTTTGTAGTAACACCACAATAAGATATTCTGTCATCATTGATTATATTTCCAATTGTTGTGTTTAAACGTTTAAACCTAGACAGTGATAATGCTTCTTATTTCCAGATGTGTGGTTTCACACAGAATTTCTCCTTTACAACAATTGATGAGATAGTGGATGCTGTGCGGGCGACGGGTATCCATACCAATGAGGACCCTGACGTTGAGTTTGCGCTTGCTGTCTACGTTCATCCGTTTGTCTGTGGAGTTTTGTCTATCTGGGTATACGTCACATCACTCACACTCCGCAGATGAACTGTATTTCAACTTTATTTTAATTTTAATATTTATACTTAGAAAGTACTGTAACTTCAAAAATATGGTCCACTTTTAAAAAGTTGAAAATTTGTATCATATATGTAAGGAGTTTTTGTGAAAAACTTTGTTTCGAGCTCAACTTTCAGTATGTGTGTCGTAAGAATTTTGCAAAATACATTGTTAATGGACAATAATTGTATATTATAATAAAACCAGATTATCTTGAACTGTAGCTAAAAGTCAAGATTTTAAACCACTCGAAAATATCTACTAAAATGTAATACATGTTGACTAATCATACAGCAAGGTTATTAATGTAAAACAGAGAACAGCTTATAATAGAAGAATAACTAGAGAATTATACAATAAGGACGTGTAACTATTTATTAAAAAAATAAAAATATACAAACAGTTTTTTATATCAACCATTTTACAGTAATACAAAATTATCTCTTACTCTCTCTTAATACATAAAGATTTATATTACATTTTATTTACAGTTTTGAAACTAAACACCCATACAATATTCCTAGGATGAGATCATTTTACTGTTAGCTGAGGACGGATTTGCTGTAAAGTTCAAACACAGCTTTACTGATGACGGGACCTATTTTCCTATTGAGAGTTCCGGCAGATATGTCAGCCAGCAGTTTGTCCCCTCCTCCTTCTTCGTAAGCTGAGATGAGACTACGAGGACTCGGATAACGCTCCACGATCGCTAGAGCTTTCTCCACTGACAGTCCACGTAGCTGAACCAATTGCTTAATGAACATTTCTTTTACGTTGTATTTCTGCAACAGAAAGTTGATATTACATTGCTATAGGTCGGCCGCTTAGAAAACGACCTGCGCGAGATCTTTAGCGCATGTAGGGAAGGTAATGGCAAGGGAGGGTATGTTCCCCCTCTCCGCCAATGGCCGTTTTCTCACTCCACGACATGACACCGGCACGACACAACACCAGCACAACACCGACACTGCGCCGCCCCGATATAACTGCTTACACAATGATATAATAACATTTCATGATGCTCAAATATTGATGTGATTTAGGCTATACAATATTTTTTGCAGGACCTATTTTTCTCAAGTTATGAAGAACGTAATTGTTTAAATTTTGATCAGCTGTATAATTTAATTGCTGTTTGTTAATATTTATAAAAAGTTGGGGATGGGGTGGCAGCGGAGTGGGGGAAGAGCCATAGTCTGTCTCACTCCCACAGCTTGGTATCTCTCTCTCGCACCAATACTACGAGAAGGACGCTTTCTAAGCGGCCGACTTATAATTGCTATGGAATCACATGTTGCACAGTGATTAATTTATGGATGAAATAGAAAAGAAGCAGCTATTAGTTAAATCTCATGCAGATTCCTCTAGGGGTAAATCAAGATTTTTAGTTGAAGGAGAAACAGTTTATGTCCGCAGTGTTAAGCAAGAACAAGTTAATTGGCTGCCAGGAGTGGTTACTAAAATAGTTAGCTCAGTAACATACTTAGTAAATGTGGAAGGAAGGACAAGATTTGTTCATGCAGACCATTTAAAACGCAAGGAAACATCAGACTGTGGTGAAGAAGTCAGATTACCGATACCCAGGGACAATTTAGGATTAAGTAGGCCAGTTGACAAGATCACAAATTTTCAATCTCCTACCAAATCTCCGCTAAAAGGTGTTCTACTCCGAACTCCTAAACATAACAAGATGCAGGAAGACATTGGTACAGAAAAGACTCCACCAAAAAATGATCTGAGTCCTGTGTGCTCTAAACGTATTAGGAGAGCACCCAAAAAACTGGACTTGTAACAAAATGTGGTACATCTCCTTGCTAAAAAAAACATATTGTTATATAATTTTTTTTTGTTTAATTTGATTTAATATGGGGATTTAGATAAGCAGGGAGGAGATGTTATGAATTTTAAATAAATGGACAATAATAATTTATATATATATAAATGTACATTTAATTTAGTTGGCTTTGATAGTAATCCAAAGCCTGGAATGAAACTAGTAAAAAGCAATTGTTGAACAGACTGGATGTGAAAAAAAATAAACGGTATCAGCATTCTGACACATACTTTCTCCCATAAGTTTGTCAACAACCTTTATCATGTGTAAGCGGTGAGAGTAAATATACGGAAATGGGATTTGTAAGATTTTCTGCAGAATTTAAAGGACTATAACATACTAAATTTTTATCAAAATTGTTCGAGCCAATATTGGGAAAATGTGATTTTCCGTTATTTTATGGGGTTTTTATGGGAAAATAACATAATTTGCAATAACTTTTGAACCGTAATTTTTACAGAGATGGGATTTGTACCATTTTGTTCAGAATATAAAGGACTATAACATACTAAATTTTTATCGAAATCGTTCAGGCCATTTTTGGGAAAATCTTATTTATCCGTTATTTTATGGGGTTTTATGGGAAAATACCCATTAAAAATAAAAAATTCTAAAAAATGAGAAAAAACTATAAATTGTAAGGACCATAACATACTATTTTAAATAAAAACCGGATTTTTGTCTAAAATCCTATTTTTCGTTATTTTATGGGGTTTTTATAGGAAAATAACATAGTTTACCATAACTTTTGAACCGTAATTTTTACAGAAATGGGATTTGTACCATTTTGTTCAGAATTTAAAGGGCTACAACATACTAAATTTTTATCAAAATCTTTCGGGCCATTTTTGAAAAAATCCAATTTTTCCTGTTTTTTATGGGTTTTTATGGGAAAATCCCCATTAAAAATCAAAATTTCAAAAAAATGAAAAAAACGCCTGGAGATACCATGGATTAGAACCTACATACCAAATTTCATCGAAATCGGACCACAGGTGTAGTCTCTAGCTCTGTACACATCCAGACACACAGACACACAGACACACAGACACACAGACACACACACACACACACACACAGACATCACTTCGAAAACCACTTTTTTGAGTCCAGGGTGACCCAAAACGAATATATCCACTCAAAACTCAAACTCGAAAATTTTGACGAAAACAATACTTTCTCCATATACTATGGTATAGGGGGAGAAAGTAAAAAACAATAAAAAAGAAACTGACAATGGAGAGTGAAGTTAATTCTGTTTGAGTTTGTAACTTTGATAAATAAAATATGAATACAATTAAATTAGTGTTATTTCTGATTTCTAACATATTTCTAACCAATTGTAAAAGTTGGTAGCCTATATTAAAACATTCTCTTTCTTTAAAAACAAAAAATATGGATGTATTTAAACTTAGTAATTTACATATGTGAATAGTTAGTGTAATAAGCATACTTCATTTTATAAATTTCCACGCTTTTATGTTTGTAACACCTCCAAAAACAAGATAGCTTTATTTTGATTGTTGAATCACAATCAAAATTAAGTTATTAATCATTAAATCACTCACCCTAGTTTTGCTGGATAGTTTGTTAAACTCTTTGAACCTCATCAGCGATACACAGTCATCTTGAATGTTGAACTCTGGTAAATTGTTTTTTGCACAACCAATCAGCATTTTTTCCTGGAACACAAATCCATTATACTTTTATTTTGTTAAACTAGGCAATGAGTAAAGTAAATTATGTATTTCATATGTTTGGAATGTAATACCATGACAGTACAATAATCGTCATGATTTAAGACGTCCATGATTCGATTTCGCCAGTAAAGGTTCTCAATTTTGCCGTAATTACAAGATATTCACGGATTTGCAGTGACCGCCAAATACATTTACGATTTTGACATGACCTCAGAAGATGTTTGCGATTTCGCCATGACTGCAGAAGACATTTTCTATATCAGCGTGACTAAAGAAGAGCTGCATGATTTTGATTTGGCATCTAAAGAGGTTCACGATTTTGCAGTGACTGAGGAAACCATTATCGATATTGTTGTGACTGGAAGAGGTTCACGATTTCGCTGTAACCACAGAAGACAATTACTATTTTGATATGAATGTACTCATGATTTCGTTGTGACCAAAGAAGATGTTCATAATTTATTTAGACGTAACTGCATAAGATGTTCATGATTTTGCTGTGACCACAAAAGTTATGCAGGATTTCTCCTTGATTGGATCAGACGGGAGAGATGAGCTAAAGAGAAAACTCCAACCTGACTGTTCCCTCAAAAGAATCCTGACTGAGCCTAACTGTTGGAGATTAGCAAGCTATGTATACGAGAGACACCGTGTGGTCGGCATCACTTGAAGCTGGAAGCACGCACCAAGAAGTAAGAAGTAAGTTTCTCCTTGATTGTGGAAGATATTCAAAAGTTCACCAAGATTGCAGGAGATGAAGTACAATGTTAAACAAACTCACTGTAGTATTAAAATAAATATTTTTAAAATTCATACTTTACAAAGAAACCTGATTTTGGCCGAATTACAAAGTTTTGGATGCAACATGATCCAAAAAAAAAATCTTGGTCCGCAGACTTATAGAGATTCGTGAAAACAACACATCCTATAGCAAATGAGTACTTACGGCAAATTTGCGTGTTAAGACCTTGGTGAAGGTCGCGAGGTAGACAACAGTCTCATGAGAGTTAGATGTGTATTTTACAGAAAACTTATCCACAAACTCAGTATTGGCTGCAGCTTGTAGCAGTGTAGTAGTGGGCAGACTGTACTGTCTTTGTCCATGACTCTCCACCAGGTACATACAGTGAGGCACTCCACTCTGCTTCATCCTGAACTGTAAATGACAACAGTCTGTTAAAAGTTGACCACAAACTCAGTTTTTGCTGCAGGAATTTACTTGCCACTCTAATTTGTTTCAGGGCACATTATACTGTGATTCAACAATGCTGGTTAAAGTTGACTCAATTGTTTGTTGTCTTGTTACCGACTGTAAATTTATTTCCTTTCGCATCCACACAAACAAATATGTATTTGAGTTGAGCTAAACAAGAGAGTTAGAGCAGTTTCCTGGTAATACGTCACTTTGATTTAGCCCTACCCAAAGCAAAATTGGTAAAGAAAAGGTTTAATAGGGAAACTTTTGAGATTACAGTAGTTTACCCACCTTCTGCTCATGAAACCGTCCATCTTTGATGCTGCTGGCTAGATCGTCGAGCCGCTTACGTTCCACTATGAATGGCAACAGCAGCTCTGTACCTGCAGCGTTGCGACCCACCCAGGCAAAGTCACCGACCATCAGTTTGCGCACCTCTAGCTTCACTCCTTCAGCCTCCAGAGCTTTGACCAATTCATCACCTCTGCACATACAAGTCATTTCAAACTAATGATTTTTTAAATTATTTGTTAATATGTAAATTTAAAGTAAAATAGGTCTCGGTAAACCATAGAAGAGGGAAGAAAATATTTATGGTAATTCTTAACTGGGTTTGATAAGTATGAAACTTTAATACAATATGTCGCCTAATATAAGCTAATAAATTCATTTGATATCTAAATAACCTAAGAATTGACTTTCAATAATCTGACTTTTTAGATCAAATTACAAATTTTCTTACACTTAATTTTAGGAGATGACAATAAAACTTTGTATTGAATTAGGACAACTTTGTTGAGTATTTCTTAGTTCTTTAAGATTCAGATGACTCAGATAAAGCAAATATTAATAACACCTAACAACAGGTAGAAAGAAGGCTTCTAAACTAGAAGAGAGCATGCTAGAACACTTTCCATAACATAAAAGTAACACCCCTGTGTCTATATGAGATATATTCTATATGTTCTAAGTGAGATATATTTACTTGTGGATTTCCTGTGTGTCGACCAACAATATTGTCTCAAAGGATCCCGGGAGGAAGATGATTTCATCGACCTGACTACCCTGAGAGCTGGAAGACTCTTGTGTGAGAAAGGGGAAGTCAGAAACTACGTCATCTTCAATGACAACAGCTTCCTAAGAACAAGAAAATCCAATCAACATAAACATAAAAACGAAGCTCAATAGCTTATTCCCTGTGGGAAATTCGCTAAAAAAATATATAAATGATTCTTAAATTGTACATATAAAAATATTTTGCCCTTCATCAAACCATTTATCATCATAGAGATGGAAACTTAATCACTCTAAACGATCCACCTTTTTAAAATTGTTATATATTTTTAAAGTATTTTAAGACATTTTGACATTTTATCACCCTGTATTCAAAAACAGCCCATTTCCATACAGCTCAATTTCCATATACCAAAAACAAATAATGATCAGCTGACTTTTCCTGACATAAACATTACTTTCGCTACACAAACAATACTTTGCCTGACATCAACAAAGTTACAACTGAAGTTCCCGGTTAGCTCAAAGTTTGATGAAGTAGTTTTCCCATCGTGATAAAAAGTATCGTTCAATAATCGTCACGAAAGTCCCATTTTGGGGCAAGATAGTGTTTTACATGCGAGTTGAAAGTAGTGAAATATACTATTAATGTATCCTCAGACCAGAAACAAATCTCAATAGTATTTCCCTAACTAAAAATGTTTACTTTCTATATGAAACTTGAATATAATATATTTTAAATCCTAAAAGTAGGTAACGGCATTGTCCAAGAAAATTTTCAGAAACTCTGCTTGAACATGAGCTTTAGGTAATCAATAATGAGTTAAATATATAGGTTAAGTTCTAAGGGAATATTCCTGATTATCCACAGACTTGCTATGATAGAGAAGAGAGAGAAAACAGCCACTACCATCACTTAAATTATGGTCTTGTGCAAGAAGAAGGTTCTTGCGTTTGCTTGTAAATATGAGGTTTTTCTGTAAAAAAGGTCTCTATCACGCTACAGCCAAGCAATCTAGTTGAAATCTAAAACCAATTTGGTTTTTCTTACTTCATCCACTACAACTATATAGTCGGATCCCATACCCTTAGAACAATCAATATTGTCATAGTATTTGAAAACATTGTGTAAGAAAATTATTGGTCTAGCAGAGTATGAATCTTAATCTGCAATTAGATTTCTAAAACTGTGGTCTATCTGCTATTGAAGTACACAACCGGATGGATGTAAGTAAGGGGTTTGGAAGGTAGAAAATGTGTGCAAGGGGAAAAGGTAGTTAGGATCTTAAACGATGTTTTACATAGTGTAGGCCGTCTGCTGTCATTCATTTGTCTCCATTGAAGCAGGGAAAAAACGTCGTATACGGTTAGGTTAGGGGGAAAAAGTTACCCTGCATTTGGGTCAAAGCAAAGTGTAAACTGATAGAAATTTACAAAATAATAGGGGAGTCTCTGTGTATTATTTATCAAATGGTGGACAAAATAAGTCTGAAATAGGCCGATCAGCAAGTTCCCTCAAATTTAATCACTGTCTCAATGCAAACTGATGAACATCCACTGCTGGCCCCATTGAGCAAACGTATACAGCCTTCTCCAAACTCCCTATCTCTAAGCCATTAATGGACATTTCCTATTTTGAAACACTTTTTTCATACACATCTTTCAACTGGGAACAAAAACAAACTGGGTTTGACCTTTTCTACAAAAACATAATCACAGTGATTCATACTTGGCGAGAAGAGTAAATTTTCTTCTCTCGCTTTTTCGAATACTAAGACAAGATAGTAGGCCTACTATATCAAGACTAATAGAGAATAAACCAAGAAATACATCTTGAAGAAAGACCATTTTGGACATAAAGAAAACTCTCTCTTCCTTAGTTGAAAATGCTGTCAGTGATAGTGAAATATTCTAATTTTTTGTGTATGTAGTGTAAAGTTTTGTGTTTCCTGTGCCAGTTTGGACTCTTTTCCATTCAGGTAAGCACACCATTCTCAAAAAAATCCTAAAAACCTAGGTCCTTGGGCTCTATGGTACACCCTAAACCTCAAGAAATACATTGTTAGTCTCAAATTTAAACTAGTATGCTTGGCTGTGATAGGAGCTTGGTATAGACCTTACACAGACAACTCTTGTAATTTTAAAAACATCATTAATATAAAAAATGTTCTTTTAACTATTGCTTCTCACTCCCTTGAAAAGGTGTTTCCTCAATTGGCTTGATTTGTGAATTTAGAGATTATGTCTATATTATTAGTATTTCATATACTTTAAGTCTGTAATACTGTAACTCTTTTTATCAGGAAAAGAATCCAGACACTATCTCTTGTACGGTGTACATACAGTAATATTGATTAAGTTTTTTTATGAATTGGAAATGTATAAAATACAAGACTAAGAACAGCCTAAAATAAAGACAATAAATATAATTAATTGTCAAACGTAAAACTTCTGCTTACCGGTACTTGGAAATTTTTCAAAGGTTCCTGTGAATTCTGTTTAGGGTTTTTCTTTCTCCCGAATTTATTTTGATTTTTTGTGCTTTCTTTACTGCTTAACGCAGCAGGAATTTCTTTCCGAGGAGAAAACCTCGAATCAGTAAGCTGTTTGCAAGGTGAACTGCTAAGGCCAACTTCTACTGGCAGTGAGCTTGATACACTTGTTAGCTTGTCCAGGGACAAATCACTACCAAGAGGTGTGTAAAAGTCTTCAGTGCTTAGTTTTTCTGCCAACTTAATACCTTCCTCGGTCAAACTGAATCTGAAAATTAACAACTCAATATGATATCTGAGCAGTAGGCCTAATTTAAATGGTAAATTACTAATATAAATGATAAATTCTACATTCAGTATATTATTTCTTCAAACTGTATTGGAACCTAACACTACTAGACTACTGACCCCTTAACCTTTTCCTGCTCTATATCCTGAAATGCCTCCCTTTACTATTGACAAATGTGCTTGACCTCAACAAAAAGCTAAAACATTGTATATTGTTTTTTGTATTGGAATTAATTACAATTTTTTTGTGAAACATTCCTGAACTCTGTTTTTCTCTGTCCCCCCTAAAATCAAACCCTATCAGACCCAGTCAATTGAATTTTTCTATAATACAAATTTACCCAAATATTTCTGAGTCAAATCAGAAGCCTACAAGACTGGCTGAGCTGATGGTCTTTCTGATTAATTAATTCTGAGTTAATCAAGCTTTAAACAACACCTAGATCGTAATAAGTCATTCAACTTGCGTGTACAAAATTTCATAGTTAAATGGTGTTTAACGCTTATTTGATGTGGGAATTTTTGAAAATAGTAGTTGTTTTTTAGAGGTTGGGTGCCTCTTTAAACCTTGCATTTGCCCGTCCGTTTGTTGAAAATACAAGCAAAGTAAGGGGGTGAGCTGGTACACTACTAAGTCAAACTGTACTGTCAAAATGTTTGCGGCAGTGACCAGGTTCCGAACTCATGAAATCACTGCCTTGGTTCCGAAGTCCGCGACGCTACCGACGGCAACTGACTCACCTAAGTTTTGGTAAATCAACAAATGAAACCTCTAGGTAAGCATAGAGCCAATACACCATTAAAATATAATAGCTAATGTTAAATTTCAAAAAAGTGTTTCAAACTTATCTCAAGATTGCACCTTGTGTTGGATTACCTGTGAGGGTTCCCAGCCCTAGACACCAGCTGCTGAGTGACCAGCTTGCCCACGCAGCTCCACCCACTGTAGTACGAGCCTGGCAGTGGCTTGAACATAGACGTGTCACACAGCGGCTGAGCTGCCTTCTGTAGCTCACTTTTGAACATCTCTCCTACAACCGTAAGCCAAACTTGACTACTTATCTCTAGCATTTAGCATTGACTTTTTGAATACTGAAGTAGACACCCTTCTATATGGACCAGCTGAAGCCTTTGTTCAATTGAAAAATACTGTAGTTCAATGAGCTTCTCACACACTGCAGCTCAAAATTTGACTTTCTCCCTAATTTGTTGTCATAGGAGCTGTTAGGATCTGCTTCTATCTGCTAATAGGAACTGTTAGTTTGATTAACAGAATGAAAAAAAGAGGTTAAAAGCTTAATTTTTGTAAAAAGTGGTTGCTAAAATCAATTTAATCACAAACTGCGGAATATTTTGCCAGAACGCAAAATCTACTTCATGCTAGATCTTTGTGAGGACTTAGTAAATCATCAAGGAGGAGTGTCTACAAATATATATATATATATATTAGTACCTGGTGTAGAGCTAAATATGGCTTCTTTTTCAATAATGTATTTTAGTGAAAGGAAAACTCACCTGGAGGACCATTTTTCTGCAAGTGCTCAAAAAGTGCCAAGAGAACTGCGTAAGGTGCTGATCTCAGAGTGGGCACGTAAGATTTTCCTCTCTTCTGCAAAATTACCAAATTGACATTTTATAATTTGACATCTTCAATAGTAATTACAATGAAGGAGTCAACGTTTTACTTCATAAAATATTAGTAGTAGCTAATCCCTTCTAGAACAAGGATTAAAAGATTGTGGTAATTCGTAGTAGGTACTCTTTTGTATCGTATTGTTTTGATACCATGTTTCTGTAGACAGTTTATCTATCGAGCATTATTAACCGTATAAGAATGGTTTTAGGGAGAACACAACAGCTTGTTAAACTAACAAACGCTTACATTTATAACATCAAAATGAATATAGAACAGTCAAACATAATATAATGCCCGTGGCTTTATAGAACTTTAAGGATTTGGAGCAAAGACCGTAAATACAAATTTAATGACGGCAATTCACCTATGCTTCTGAACACTTACTTGTTCATCTGCAGAAATTTTCAGCTAAATTAAGAGTGACGAACACATTTTCATAATATAGAAATGTGAGGTATTGGTAGAATACATTTAAATAATCAATTTTTATTCTAACAAGTTGGTTGTGTGTTTTCCTCAGTAAGCTTTTTCTGGGTTGTAACAAAATCCAACCTCTGAGCTTTACCCAAAAGACTTTTTAAGAGTCCATGTTAATGAAATTTACTTTTGTTGGGCGATTCTCTGGGAAGTGGTCCTGCTTTGTTATTTTTAAGAATTGATTAAAACTGGTTCAAACATTGTTTTTTATATAAAATAATAATACAATTTCCCTAAACCAGTCTTTAAAATTAAAATAAAAAATTATTTTTCATGAAATGAAGCTTCAAACTTGGGCAAGTTCTATTACAGTCAAATGGTACTTTTTTCCAGAATTTTAAATAAAAATGTTTATGGTTAGATGAGTCAATAAATTAAAATAAATTATATTAGTAAATAATTGAAAATATAATTTGTTAAACCTTTGTAAAAGAAAAAAGAAATATTAAATAGATTTTGAGATATTGTAAAATTTCCAATCCATGTTTGCTTGTCCCGTGCAACACATAAAAGGTGATATTTTTGTTTTAAATCCCAAACTAATTTATATTATTTAATACAACTTCAAAGCCATAAAGATAAAATATAAAATGAAGGCAACAATGTAATTCACTATTTTTTATGTACTTTATTTTTTGTTTTATAATACATTTAAAAAGTGTCCCGTGCAACACGTGTTGGACGGGACATTAAACTGAAGTGGTGTTTATGAATAGATACCACTTATTTTCTTTTTAATTTTTAATAGAGACAATAGTTGCATATTTATTAACACAGGACTATAAGATTTCTTATCAAAAATAAATTGCAGAATTGTAAAACTTTTTTGAGATAAAAAAATGAACCAAGTCCTTGTTGTAAGACCTCACGCTTTCTCAAAAATGTCTATGGGTTGTGGAAATTCATAAAATATGGGCTCTCCCTTGGATTTTAATTGTGGGGTGTCAAAAAGCTTTAATATCTGTTCAAGTCCAATATAAGACTTGTTTATCTCATCTGGAATAAATTTCTTCCTCGTACTGTCCATGCACTTTTAAAGACACATCACTCTCACTTCTCCATCTTCTTCAACTTCACTTTCAGCTACACACAAGTATCTGTAACTGTTATTTTTCTGTGTGCCTTTAAATTCTGCTAATAAAAATGTTCCATTCTTTAAATTGTCAACTTCAACATTAGTTTTCACTTGATTTCCTTGAGTTTCCGGCAATTCATAATTTAAGTCTTCTTCGGAAAAATTATCATTTGTGACCATTCATTACTTTGTTCACTCACAGAATCACTAAAAACTAAACGAAAAATTGATTTGCTCAAGAACTTGAGGACCTAGTCCTATTACCTCTAGCATGTGATTGCTCTGCTTTCTGTTCATAGCTATTTTTGAAAAGGTTCTTCCGTTGCAGTGCACAACGTGTGCTTTGGAGATCCCATCCACTTTCTTTCCTTTAATCCAGACTGAATCATCTCTGGGAATCTCAGAATCTAATATCAAATGGATCTTTGTGTTTTCATTAGCTTTTTTGCTACATCTTTAGCATTTTGGACTATTGGAGCATCTTTCTTTTTACATATGTATGACAGAAGTTCTAACAATTGATTTTATTCTCCCTCCTACCCCGTCAACTATTCCCTTTCCATGGGAAGTAGCAAAATACTTCCATGTAAATGGTTCCTTAAACTGGAGGCTTAGTTGTTGTCACAAATATACCATATATCTGTTCTTACTCGAAGGTCCATTAGTCCATAATATGACTTCTTCAACATCATCCCACATATCAGGAACTTCTCAGCCACTTTCCCGCCATTTTCAGGCAAAGAGTATAATTAAATTATAATTTGCCATTTTGATCATGTCATTGAATATATAAACTTAATAATTTACGTGTCACTTGTATCAAACTTGATTGAAGAGAGAAAACATTGAATAAAAGATTTCTCAATAAAAAACGTTGTACCTAGCAATACCCCATTTAAATCAAATTTTTTAAGAAAAATAGGATAAAATCTCAGTTTAAATGTTTTTTTCTGTTACAACATATAAATTTAAACCTAAATGTTCATAAATTTTCTTTTTTTTTATTACTATCCCTATCATAATCACCCAAGAACGTTTGTGTCCCGTGCAACACACGACATGCCTATCAAATATGTTTAAAAAGTCAGTAACCGATTTATAAAAATCCCATTATATAACATTATTAGTTAAGTAAATCCATGGAGAATATCTACATCAAATTAACAATAACAAATGACCTCAGAATTCACAGAAATAATTGTAAACAAGCAAGGTAAGTGAATGTCGCTTTTCGTACGAGTCCCGTGCAACACGCTTCTAATACCATTGCTACAAAAAAGGTAAAAGTGATGAAACTTATTCAACTATACTTATACAATCTATGACCATAAATCTAGTACTCCAAACATCAAAAGCAGACTTTAAAGTCATTTTTATTGATTTATATAAAAAAGTGTTGTCTGAATGTCCTGTGCAACACACCGAGAATCGCCCTGTTGAATGAACAGTGTGTAAGTTAATTGAACAGAAGTATCTTATATGGTTTTATAATCATATAAGATGAACATATTTTTTTAGTACTTAAATGTTGCATCAAAACACTGTTAGGTACTTAATTTTAAACAACTTGTGGATTCGTAGTATCCTGAAATTTTTTAAACACACCCGATACTAATCCTTAACTATAGACATACAGTGTGTTTTTTCTCAACTATCAAAATTATAGAATGTATTTTTGCTTACTTTTTTAGGTGAGGTTGGCTTTTTTTGAACCTTTTTAGCTCGTTTTGGTTTGGGTGATTTGGTTTCATCCGCAACTTCTTGTATGATTTCATCTTCTGCATCTAAAATATAACAAGCTTTGAAAAGGTGTGCTAAAGAGGACAAATGGAAAAATTAAAATTAAATCTATGACTAAAAAACTAGTCTCTTCCGCCACCGTTGTTTATTTAGGGAGACAGTTGGCTGGCTTAAATATATATTTTAAGCCAACATATTTTTTAACTTTTTCTTCAAGAAGCTCTAAAAAGTTACATTAAGCCGGGAGACGCGGAAGAGGAGCGCGGAGAGCGATTGACATGGCATTTCGCTCCGCTTCTAGGAAAACAGTAACATTAAATTACCTAAGACAAGAGGAGTCCGCTCTCCGCGTTCCTCTCTCTGGGCTCCGCTTTCGCATCTAGGAAAACCCAGCTTTAGACTTGTTACCACGGCACGGACTTATTGAGGTTTTTAATAAAAATTTGGCAATCTGACCAAGTCTGAAACGAATTCCGTAGGATTTTATAAGTGTTATTAGGATGTTTCTATTAAAACATTTCAAAGGTTTTTTACTAGGTTTAAATGTTAAAATTAATAATTGTTAAGCTAATACCCACATTGAAATCATTGATTTACTTACCTTCTCCTTCTGGATGTGTTTTCTGGTAATCAGATAACTTTCGGTCCAGTAAAAGACATATACGAGTTCCAAAGTTTTCTAGTATTAAACATTCTTTTCCAGTCTTTAGAGGCAATGGGTACTTCCTTAGTGACTGAAGTGCCTACAATTAATTGCAATATGCTTTTTATTAAGATATTACTAAACACAATGCAGGCTAGTGGAACCACAGTTCGGCCCTTGGCAAAGAAGACAGGCCTCCGAAGATCACATAGGGCCTACAATACATCAACTACTTTATAGGCCTACATTACTTATACTTAATAATCTACTTCAGTCAAAAAGTTTCCGGAATGAATTTCTGTAGACTTTTAGTGCGATCCACACGGGGAATTTTGCCTTGCAGTATTTGGTACGACTCCTGGGGAGGGCATTTTGGTAGTGGAGGTATAGCTGATGAGCCGTAGTCTAGCATTGGAAAGCACTTTTCGTCTACCTGCAAGTCTAAATTGTGGGTTACTGTCGGTCGTGTACCTGCATTGAAAAATGTCATTTCTCGAAGAGCGTGCAAACTTTAAGTTCTGTGTTTTGAATCCGCACTATGACGAGACATATATTCGCATAGGTTTGGGAACCGGCTAGATTATTAGTCGATGAAATAACATAAAGCACATGGCACTGGGTTCAGATTTTAACTAGCTTGCTTGGTCGCAACATTAGTTTGCTGGAGACCTTAATTTATGGACAACTGTCATGATTTTAGGTCTACGCCTTTGTTTTATTTTTGAAATATGCCTACCTTTGCAAATGCATATTGGGTGTCAGAATTTCTGGATGCAGCTTCATTCTTCCATTCCTCTATCCACTTTTCGAATAACGGATTGGGGTGTTTTAATTTTACTGTTTTTCTTTTTAAAGACACATTGTCAGATGACATAATAAATTATTGAAAACAATCTTTTCCCTAGAAGCAACTGTGTTGTTGTTTTGTATGGAAACTCATCGCATACCTGCAAAAATTGCACATTTTAAGACTCTTGAAGTACCTTTGAAGTAAAGTAATTTTAGTTTCTTTTGTTGGCAAAAGTACCTAATGGTTATACAGTATTCCTCTTCAAATTAGAAGTTTTATACTCTGGGAAAAGTTAAGTTGGTTGCTTTTTGTTGGCTCAAAAATGGACCCACCCATACTTATGATCACTACTAGCGTCTAGATACTCAGAGCAACGAGTCGGCTCACCGGAGCAAGACAAAATGAGAGCATTCTATTGGCTGAGGGAACACCATTACCACAACGATACGGCTTAGAGCCATCGGCCTCGGTGGTCAAATGGATAGCGTGCCGGGCTGAGAATCTGATGGTTATAGTGCTCGCCTACTAATCAATAGGTCGCCGGTTCGATCCTGAGAAAAGTGAGTAGCTTTTTGATGGTTCGAAACTGGACCCAGCTGTTCCTGATCATTGGGCTTTAAATAAATGATCCTGGCTAATGAAACAGCTGATCTTAGTCAGTAACAAAGCTACACAGATCATCTCACACCATTCTACACTCATCCTTCACTCATATTTGGGTTAAAATACGAACCTAAGTGGCGTCCCCATCTTAATGATTGATAATTGATAATTGATAATTGATGGTACCAGGTTCGAATCCCATCGATGGCACAAACTTTTTGTCTAAGATTATTGCATTATCAGCAAGTTTGGTTAGTTTTGTTAGGTTATGACAGTTTAATTTTATAATTAAAACCTTATAAAATTGAATTTGAGGCATTTATAGTTTTATTTTATGAACAGAACTATTTTTTTCGATTGGTAAACCTTCATTCAATTTTTTCATTATCAGCAAGTTTGGTTAGTTAGGTTAGGTTATAACAGTTTAATTTTATAATTAAAAAATTAATTTTATATTTTTTTTGTTTTATAATATTTTTTTTATTTATAATTTTAAACTCTCATTTTGTCCGTATTAAAAAACTGCAGCTGAAATAAAAATTGTGCAGCCCCGACTGTTGCTCCGGTGAGCCGACTCGTTGCTCTGAGTATCTAGACGCTAGTTATGATCACTGGGCTGTTTGTAAATGGTCCCGGTTTAGGAAACAGCTGGTCTTAGTAAAAAACAAAGCAATATAGTCCAGTAAATATGTCAAGAAAAATAGGGAGTTGCTGTGCAAAAGGTCCGGTAGTAATTAGGAACGTAAAATGTTTTTTACAATTATTAGTTACGGAGAAATTACAAAACAAATGCAAAAATAAAATCTCCATGTTATTCTTAAGGATAATATTGTTAACTATTGTAGTTTCCCTGTTGTTGGAAACATTAAAAAAAAAATTGGTAACTTAAATGTATTTAGGCTATTTCTTACCATAGGTACTATTACTATTTTAATAAAAAATATACTTAGGCCTATTACCTTCCCTGTGGCAGCAAACCTAGGTACTCGGTAAACCTAATGTTATTTAAATACGGTATGTTTTTTTTTAACCATGTAATCATTAAAAATAATAGAAAATCGCTTAATCTGCAGGTTTGTTGTGACGGGGGTATTTTATTCATACTTTCATTTATTTTTTATTAATAGCAAATAAACTAGCATACCGGTACTCACAAATCCATCCGGTGTTTGCTTCAAACAACTAAAATTGTGGAAATATTGAAAAAATCACCACTTTTATAAATAGGCCTACATATTTGGAAAATTTGTTTATTTTGAAGGTATGTATTTAGACCATTATTTACGCAACATACTTGGTGTTGGCCTTAAACAGTCAAAAATGTATTCTCCTTTAATGTAATAAACCAACCGTTCGCGAGATAGATTGAAAAACCAAAGGAATGGTCAAATTTTTGCTATTTCGTTAACAAGCGGCGCGCCGTGGTACCTCGAGGTGGATAACTTGGATTTTATGTTATGGGCCAAACACTTACAACATATCCAAAAATCAAAACTACCCGACCTTTTGCATACCACCGTGTCTTATTTTACTGGACTAATAGGCCTACGGCTAAAACCAATGTTGCCTTGCTAAAACTTATTAGGCCTACCCTAGGCCATTTTTCTTTATTCTACAGTCACGCTAAATTTCTTTTCAGGATGTGTACCTAGATGATTAACAAAACTAGCTCAAAGTTAGACTTTTTGTTCTAAACATTATGTTGTTAACATGATTTTACAGAATTAATTAAACAATTTGAAAAGTAAGTTAAAATCCCATCATAGAAAGCAACAATGTTCAATTTTAAATGCCTTTCACTAACTTATGCTGGTTTTTTGTTTGTTTTTTTTTTTACAACTTAATGATAAGTAGGCCTAGGGCCTAGGCCTAAGTGTTAGGTAGCATTTTTTAATTTCTCTACTTACAATGGGTTGAATCCTACTGAAGCTTATGCTGGTTCTTTTTCAAGAAACTGTATTAAGTTAAGTTACATAACACAACTACCTAGGCGAAACATTGATAGCCGACTCACATGGATTATCGAGCAATAATGGTATTGAATTAATCAATAAGTTAACCAAGCTTAAACTAACCAAAACCCCTTTTGTATCAATTGTAAAAACAGATAAAACGATGGAGTCGGGTATCAACGTTTTTCCATTTGTAGGCTAATAAAAGTTATCTTTGATGTTTAAAAAATTTGGCATTTTTTGTAAAGAAATTTTTAGTTACCGGTAGACGATTGTTAACAGTTACCTAATAGAATAATAGGCCTAGGCCTAGCCTGTTCAGGCTTTTAGGTTAGCAAGCAAAGTTTAACAGTTTATTACTTACAACGTTAAAGATTTGTATTAACTTGCCGTATTGTGTATACCTCTACCAGTTCCTCGTGTAGGAGATTGCATGTACACTAAATTGAAAATGGAAGTAAACTTAGGCTAATTTTGTCTTGTCCAAATTTGTAAGAATAATCTTGGCAAAGTTTACAGCATAGCCAGCCAACAAACCAAGTAGAGTAGAACTAGAACTAAACTAGTAGAAGTAAATAAACAAACCTACGCCTTGGCACAGAAAAAAAGGGAAAAAAACTCAAAAATAGTTTCGTCTGCTGCGGCGTCTCGCGTCTCTGTTCTGTATTCTTTCCTTGTTGTCAACACAATTACATATTTGAGAGAAAAACTAACTGCTGCCTGCAACTTGACTTTGGTGCATAACCTAATTTCTTAAATGTGTGTGTGTGTGTGTGTGAATAATTAGGTATCCTCTTCCAAATTTGTATTAGGCCTAGTTTAGCAGACCTAATTAGCTCAATAGCAACAAGAATTATTTAATCCAAAATGTCTGCTTCAAGATCTTTACCTCAGAGTAAAGAAGCCTTATTGAAATCTTATACTAGTCGATTAAAGGATGATGTAAAATCTATGCTGGAAAACTTTGAAGGTAAGCTTACATTTACCTAATATAAGCCTAAAGGCCTAATTTGACCACAGATATAAGGAGGTTCACCCAGGGGCTTTGGGGGATTAAACCCATCCCTCAAAGACCTGGGTTTTTTTCCATTAACTTAAATAAGATATAGGGGAAACTTAATCATTCTTTATTGAGTACATAAATTTTAGGCCTATCTACAAATCAGGCCCGTTTTTGACCCTATCAGCACCCTAGGCACAACTATTTACCGTAGCGTCCTTTTCAATCTATAACAGGGTGTCCACCAACAGGGAAATCCGGGAATCATGCGTGAGTTTTTTCCAGAATTTTGTATTTCTACTTTGAATTTTCAATTTACCGAGATCGTGCATGACAACAGTGAAATTTCCGTGATCTCGGGTGACAAATTATGTCTACACATGGCCACGAGGGATGGTCAGAATTTTCCGTGATTGCAAAATACGATGATTATATCTACAGAGACGCATGGGATTTTGGAATTTTGCCGCAATTGCTGGAGGCGATTACTATGTCCAAATGACCCAAGGGGACTAAGTATATAATGATGTAGGTATTCACGGCCGCGAGGAGTGATCAAAATTCGACTTCAATTGCGCAAGACGATTATAGTGTCCAAAGCCACACGATCGTGGAAAAAGATCGGAATTTCGCCTCATTCGCGGTAGACCATAATCTCCTCATGACCATGGGATATGTTCATACATTGGGGTCGATCCATATCAAGTGGTCCAGAAATAAATTAATTGGTTGCTTGAAGATTTTTAATTTTGTTCATATTTTTATCCTTGTAAAATTATATAGGCCCCCTATCATTAGAAGTACAAAAATACAATTATTTTATTTTTATTTTTTTCTACTGTATGGCGTCCATTTTTTTGTTAGTCGAATGCCCGTTTTCAGCGATTTCAGAGCTCTACGTTAAATTAAATATCTCTGGTTCTACTAATCCTAGAACATTAAAATGAAAACCAATCTCTTCAGAAAGATCTAAACTTTAATATGGTAATATAGTTATGCACTTAAAACTAAATATATAGGTCTAATTACCTGTTTAAAGTTTAACGCAACGATGTTACAAAAACAGATTTTTAACAATTTATTTTTTTATAAAGGCAATTGACTATGTGTTTGTTTGTTTTTTTATCTGATAGTTATAGGTGTGTACTCCAAATTCTCAAAGTTTCAAGTTGTGGACATGCATAGGGTTTTAAATATAAATTTTCAAAATCTTAAAATTTTCCAAATTTCAAAAGTTCGACGCTTATCTCTGTTGGGCATGAAAATAAAAATTTCAAATTTGGCTCAGATATAGTACTAAGTAAGAGTGTTATCCTGTAATAATTTTATTTTGTGAACTCAACTGGTTTTAAAGTTATGAAACATTGAAAAGTACTCAAATAAGCATTATACGTGTAATAGCGTAGGAAGCGTAATATGATATTATAATACACTATCAATGTATGTTATTAATAATGTTATATTTTAATAATAGATTTTAAGCATTTTGATGTTTTAAAACACTCTACTTTGTTGTCTGCCACAGGTACCTACAAATCTGTACGAAACGATTGTGTTCAGGGAATTGGTAGACGTCCTTTGAATCAAAATCGAAGTTCTAATTCATTTTTTGCTACTTCTTCACTGTCTACATAAAAGTATTGAATACCTTTAAGGTTTTTTTAACAAAATTTAAATATATCCTTAGTATTCAAAATTTGGTTGACAATGGTACATTGTAGACTATTAGTGACTTCGCTCTTTGTAGTGCCTCCTACACCGTTGCATGCATTTTTTCCGTGCGCAGTAGTGTATCAAAAAATGCCTCGCAGCTGGTATTTTAGTACCTGTGATTGAATATTTCAGTAAAGAAATTGTTTTATGATACTGTATAGCCACGGCCACCTATAAATCCAGGCCGTGGCCTGGTAGAATTTGCAACGTCACAAGTAGTGTTGTTTAGCACCAGACGTCCCATAAGATAACATGGCTGACTTGTGTATTATTAATTTTAATTTATGAACATAAATGCATTAAAAGTAAATAAATCACATTGAGTTTAAAACCGAAACAATATTAATTTAAAAACCATTTCTATAAATTTAAAGTGGAGTCAATATTTTGCGATGGTGTAGAAGGCACTACAAAGAGCGAAGTCACTAATAGAGTCTACAATATACCATTGACAACCAAATTTTGAATGCTAAGGATATGTTTAACTTTTGTTAAAAACACCTTTAAGGTATTCAATTCCTTTATGTAGACAATGATGAAGTAGCAAAAAATTAATTAGAACTTCAATATTGACTCAATATTGAAGGACGTCTACCAATTCCCTGAACACAATCCTTTCACAAATTTGTACTGTGGCAGACAACAAAGTATAGTGTTTTAAAACATCAAAATGCTTAAAATCTATTATTAAAATATAACATTATTAATAAAATACATTGATAGTGTATTATAATATCATATTATGCTTCCTACGCTATTACACGTATAATGCTTATTTGAGTACTTTTCAATGTTTCATAACTTTAAAACCAGTTGAGTTCACAAAATAAAATTATTACAGGATAACACTCTTACTTAGTACTATATCTGAGCCAAATTTGAAATTTTTATTTTCATGCCCAACAGAGATATTAAGCGTCGAACTTTTGAAATTTGGAAAATTTTAAGATTTTGAAAATTTATATTTAAAACCCTATGCATGTCCACAACTTGAAACTTTGAGAATTTGGAGTACACACCTATAACTATCAGATAAAAAAATAACAAACACATAGTCAACTGCTTTTATGAAAAAATAAATTGTTAAAAATCTGTTTTCGTAACATCGTTGCGTTAAACTTTAAACAGGTATTTAGACCTATATATTAAGTTTTAAGTGCATAACTATATTACCATATTAAAGTTTAGATCTTTCTGAAGAGATTGGTTTTTATTTTAATGTTCTAGGATTAGTAGAACCAGAGATATTTAATTTAACGTATAGCTCTGAAATCGCTGAAAACGGGCATTCGACTTACAAAAAAATGGCCGCCATACAATAAAAAAATTAAATAAAAATAAAATAATTGTATTTTTGTACTTCCAATGATATGTAGGCTACTTTCAAGGATAAAAATATAAAAAAAATTAAAAATCTTGAAGCAACTACCTTTGGACCACTTGAAATGGATTGACCCATTGCCGCAATCATGGAAGACGATAATTAGGTCTACACAACTGTGGAAAATAGTCAGAATTATGCCACAATGGCGGGAAACGATTATGATGCCTACACTGCCGGGAGGGATTATCAGAAGTTTACTGCAATCGCTGCAAATACTATCACAATTTTTTTATTTTCAAATTTTTTGCGCCCTAGACACATTCCTACCGTGCCTATTCGGTAAATCGGCCCTGCTACAAATCTCAAGCAGTCCAAATAACACAACTAACTTACATGCAGTACAAAGGGCGGTAAAAGGGAGGTTTTGCTCCCTAACGGGAAAATGAGGCAAGATAAGTGGTAAAAAAGAGTGCATAGGGTAAGCTTAAAGAAAATATAAAAAATCTATCTAAATGAAAAAAAGTTATTAGGGAAGGGTGCGTCATAGGGGGCCAGCGATGATTCCATTGAATTCCTCTCCTCAAAAGTAAGGAGTGTACGAGGTACCCCAGAAATAGGTGAGTTAGCCTACAAGGATTAGGGAGAAAATACCCACTCCCCAGAGCCATACACCTACTTACCCAGTTCCGCAGGAAACAAAAAAATAGGTACCATCGGATGAAATATTTATTGGTAAATAGGCCTACTGATTTAAATATTTCATTTTGATAACTTATATTGATTTTCTGCTATGGTTCTTTTCCAAACTCATTAAAAGTGCACTGTGGCGTGGCTTCTAGGTTCGGTCAGGTTAGGCCTAGTTTAGTTTACTTAGTTTATAATATAAAAAAGTACGTCTACCATATACAAATTTTGGATAGAGCTCCAGAGAACCTAAGCTAGATTAATGTACCAGACCGGTAGGCCTACCCCGGTTTGTTGTTTTCAGATCTCAAAAACTTATTGTAAAGCTACCAGTGCTTGCACTGCTACCATTGTCTCAATGCTTCAATTTGTGTTTTCCCTACCTACCTGTTTGTCTTTGCATTGTTCGAGTAACCAGCACTTCCTCTGGTCTCACTTTTACTGTAGAAGATGTAGTTCTAAACTTATCAGAGCCAGCCTTGTGTGGTGCTGTGCCTATTAGCCTACAATATTAGTACTTTTAATTCTTTAATACTTTTCATTGAAATGGCGACCATTCAAACTAGGTATTTTAAGCCAAGTATAAATGGAGATGAGTGTAGGATGAGTGGCGCGATCTTGTAGTCTTGTTAGCGACTAAGGCCGACATATTCCTTAGACACAGCTGTTAATTAATAGCCAACACAGCTAATGGCAATTAAGGGACCTACAGTTTATAGTGGAATCCGAACCACATTTTTGCCTTGGTATTAACAAATTGGTCTCTAATTATCACAATATTTCTGCAGATTAAGAACTCTTAATCTTCTGCGTATTACTCATTAGTGTGGACGTTAATACACACCAGGGAGTGTCGCATAAGTAATTATAATCCCCTCTTTTTCTTTTCCAATTGACGTAAAATTCGCAGACTTTAAATCTTTTGGCATTATTTTGCACCTAGCACGGGATTCTCTAAGATACAGGGCCCTGTGCAGCTGTACCTTTCGTACGTGCCTAAGGCCTGCTCTACAACTTATGTGCAGGCCTAAATCATTGTTTTATGTTCTTTTCCTACAGTTACCTAACAATGTACATGTTTTCTTACTGATCTGAGAAAGAAAAGTGGCCAATTCGCTCATCAGTGAGACAATGTTAACATTGTCTCACTCCAGATTTGCAACGTGAAGGCACGAAATAGTGAGCGCGTGACATGCAGGCAACGTCGTATGCGCGCGAAATACGTTGGCAGCACTGGCTGTAAATCAGCTGGTCAGCTATTGTACTGTTGTATTTATTAAATGTTATATTAAAAGTTCACTTCTGTGTAAACATAGGTTATGTTTCTTCGCCAATTTATTTGTTTTATGGTAACTGTAGGAAAATATAATGTGCAACTCGAGTGCAAAGTGCAATTGCCTCACTCGAGAAACAATTCTTCACTCGCCTACAGCTCGTGAGTAAGGATTTCTCTCGAGTGAGGCAATTGCTCACTTTACTGACTAGTTGGACAAATAACTATTTTAGTGTTATGTTCTCAAATTAATTTTACAGCAACATTTTATATCAGAAGGGGGTGGGGGGGGGGGGGGTTCAGAAGAAAATCTTTTAAACTAAGGCTATCTGGAACTATTATTTATTGATACTGAAGGTCATTTGCATTATAAGCTAGAGCTATTGGTTTTGGATCTGGTTATATAAAATGTTGGCAGTTTTAAGTTTAGGAATCACAGAGGCTTTTAGGAGAAAGTGGTATAAACTATCGAATTTGGATATTCCAGGAATTTTAAACTTCCATCTCACAAAACAATCTGAGGCTCTAACCACTAGGCTATAAATACTGAATTTTGGTTAACTGTAATTTTAAACTTTAAATCTTTAAAGTTTTGATGGTGAAGCTTGACAACGTGGTTATTACTTTTCCAGAGATAGTCAAGTTATCGAAAGGAGAGAACGAAACTCAGCTACAGCGGATGACTCAGTGCGAGCAGGACACTTACGAGATGCACGTCCGAGCAGCAAACATTGTCCGTGCGGGAGAATCGCTCATGAAGCTTGTCTCTGATATAAAACAGTATTTGATTCTTAACGACTTTCCGTCTGTCAATGAAGCAATCACACAGAACTCCAAGCTGTTCAGAACCAAACAAGCTGAGGCTGACCAGAAGTTAACAATTCTCCGTGACGACATGGCAGCAGATCTGTATGACCTTGAGGAGGAATATTACACTTCGGTGTACAAGTCGTAAATGTTTTTGTGTGTGAATGACTGTTAAAATACTTCAGACAAGTGTGCTGTATTATTTTGTAATATTTTGAATTGTAAATATATTTCATTTATCCATACTGAATTTTCTTGGTTGTAAAGGCAATTGATATGTACCAGAGTTTTATAATAGTTGGAAAAGCTTTTTTCAGGGAATGCAATAACCTAAATAGTTTGTTCTTTTTAATTCAAACAGGTTATTGAAGAATCAAAACAAAAAAGGAAAGACAATAGGTATACTATCAGATACATAATCTGGCGTTACCATACATCAAACTACACATTTTTAAAAACTCTGCTACACAGATAAAAAACCACAGTATTTGGATTAATGAATTACGTTTAGTCTTATTTTATTTTAAACAGTGCAACTATTAAGAAGGTATTCTATAGGGTTGTGAAAGACTTATTTGTCATGACAAATAGTTGTCAATGTCCCAAAGATGTTGCTAAGTTTGGATTTTCTGTTGCTAATGTCACTAAGAAATCATTCAGCACCAGTCTCACATTTTATTTACGTATTTTACCCGGTTAATTTCTAGAAGCATGTCTTTATTCTTAAAAAACCTTTTTAGGCGTTTAAGGATTTTTGGGTGTATGTAATAGTTCAGCTAGCTTACATGGGAAAATTAACAGTTTCAGCTTGGTTTCCCCTTAAACATTCATTTGCTGAATCTTTTCAATTCCAAGAACTGAACTCAAATGACTAGTAAAAAAAATTATCTAGGTAGTTTTGCTTAGGTTAAAACATTATTGATACAGTAGTTTCACAAAAGCATTGTGCAAAACAAATAGGTTCGTACATCCGTGATTTCAAACAGCTGATTGTTACACCAATGGAAATTATGTGTTTGTAATTTGTTACATAATGTGTTTACAGTTTGTTTTGTTGAGGTTATGTTATGTCTCACTTGCTCAGTTGATTTGTTGAGTACTACGATCAAGCTTGCCAAAAAATGGCTAGCTGTGTTGAAGTTAATTTATTTACCAGATAATTGTTATAACAATATAGCTGTTTCATTTTGATACAATACTATGATTTATTTTAGGCTGAATTGTATTTTTGAAGATAATAATGATCTTAAAATCAGTTGGAAGACATAAATTTACATTTTGATGTATTTTAATCTTGAACATTCTCTTTTTTCTCTTAAAGGCTTTTGTTTTTACTTTCCACTAAAAATGTCAAACTTTAGCATCCAAGAAGATTTTTGAGGAAACAGGACAAAGTAAAATCCAATACTATACAAAAATATTTGCTTTTATTTTTTGTAAACTCAACAAATAAATTTGTAATAACAAAACAATTTGCGACCTCTTAGATCAAGATATTTGATATCTATAAAGTTTATTCTAATTCGGAATGTAGTATCCCTAAGAGTGTTATTGAATTAACAGATCAATATATTTATTATAATGATAAAAACAACCATAGTTTTATGATTTATTCAACAAGAAATATTCCAACTTAAAGGTTAAATCTAAAACATTGTTAATTATACCTATCTCTATGTACCAAAACACAACAAAAATACTTTAGCAATCTTCACAGTTATTTATACAACGTTACCCTCATTTAAATTGATTAACTACATAACAAAAACAAATCATTTATAACTTTACTTCATAAAATTGGGGTTTAAAAAACAAAAACTTAACAGATGCATTCGGCAAAAGCTTAACTAAAACCTGTAGGTATCTAAGAACTAAAATAAAATAGCCTAATGTATACTTTTCCCTGTAAAACTTTCTAATATAAATGACAAATTACTAATTATTTTAACATAAAAAAAATTGCATTAGTTACAATTTATTATTAGATTGTGCAAGGACTGAGATTGTTGAGAATCATGGAAGAATTTTACCATGGTAGCCTATATGGGGTGCAAATACCAGTTTCATTCACATCTTTTCAAGGGGCAATCGCCTTCACTTCTGCTTTGGATTCTTTAGGCAATGACTGCTGGTAACTGAAAGATAAAATAAAAGGTTAGGTATGCTAAAAATATCCTCTAAAACTTTACAATACTATCAAAAAACAATTACAGTACCAAGTTCAACCAGGTTAGGTTTCTAGGCCTTTTAGAGACTGGATTTCTAAAATATAATCTAGAATTCTTATACATTGTAGCCTAATTCTTCCCAGTCATCACTTTCTTTACAATAATAAAATATCTTGAAATTTACAAAACACTTTCGGAATAACTACTTTTCAAAACTTAATTACATTAAAATAGTTATAGAAAAAAAATAAAAAGCTCAATTGATATTCGTGAACAAGTATATCAGAGTTTAACAAACATAATTATAGATTTAATGAGGTAGTTAACAAGACCATTTAGAAATTATCTCTTCAATTAGCTTTCAAAGTTTTGACCTGACGTCAGTTTCATTTGATAAAAGAATGATTTTTGTTACAATTTAAACCGCATAACTACTTACAAGATCTTAAACCAAGCATTTGATTGAATAGAACCAATTTATGTCAAAGTGATGAATATAAAATAAAACTGCAGTAACCCACTATTTCATTGTCATAAATATTATATATTTTAACATTTTAAATTTGATTTTAGTGTGTTCTTTGTTAAAAACCTTCAGAAAAAAATTATGTATGTTGTTTAAGAAAACTGGTATCAATAGAAAAGAAATGCTGATTTTATATGTGATATGTCACTACGACCTCAAACACGCCCAGAATGCTTATTCAGAATGTTAGACCTAAATGCGCTATTTAACGTGCTGGATCAGCTGTATTTTACTGAATTGAATAAACACTGTTGTAAGATTAACAACTGACATACAAACACTGACATGGCTTGACACAAGAAAACAGTAGCAAACTAATATATAGGGCCTACCCCGCCGCAGCAAACCTGCAGACTAAGCGAATTTCCATTTACGCGGCTGGATTTCTACTAAAATATTCCCTAAAAATTGTCAGATATATTTCCTATTTAAGCAATATTAACTTTAGTGAGTTCTTAGGTTTGCTGCTACAGAGAAGATATTGAGGTGTGTTTTTTTATTGAAATTTTGATAGCTTAGTATGAAATAAACAAAATTGCCAAATTTGATTAAAATATATCTATAAACAAGCAAACTACAACAGTTTATTTATTCTCCATAAGAATAACATGGGAATTTTAAATTTACAATTTGTTTAACGATCTCTGTAACCGCTGGGCAAACAACAACGCTTCAATATACAAAATTATTTCTTTTTTAAGCTCTACTTTTAATAGTTTGAAGAGAAATTATGAAATTTTGTGTTTTTAGGGTAAAAAATGGGAAAAATCTAGTTTTACCCCATAAAACCCCCTCCGTTCCTATAGTCCGATTTTGCTGGTTCCCGAACTCGTTTGAATAAAGGTAGGTTTATACATTTGTTCCAAATTTAATCAAAATCGGATCATTTTTGCTTGAGTTATCGCGCTAACGGACATATATATATATATAGGTACCTATGAATTTGAACAGATGGTGTTTTTGGTCTCTGGGGACCTCGAAACGAAAAAATAAATCGGTTCCGGGTCTAGGTCTTACCATGAGACCAACGGTAATAGCTTATCCCGATTCCCTACATGGGAAATTTGCTAATAAAACTAATAGTCTACAATACTGCTTAAAATTTAACGTTCTAGGTTCTTTTAGCAGGATATTACCTGACAGCTCGGAAGAGCTGGTAAAGGCTGGTGGCTGCCACAAAGACATTGACACTGAATAAGCTCCAGTTCTTGGGGATGATGACAAGGGAGTAGCGGCTCCAGATGATGCCAGTGGCAGCCAATGCAGAGGACTGAGGCACACTGAGCTTGTCAGCTGGGCGCGTCAAGTCTCCGATACCTGCGATCACCAGGCCCTAGTGGACATAACACAACTAACTTTCTTTTTGTTGTGTCAACGCCAGTGGCATTTTGTAACAAAGAATGCTTTAAATGCTTTAAAGGGAAGCAGTCAAAACCCTAAAATTTTTGTGGATATGCATGGGTTTGAACCCGTCCCCCTTGCACCAAAGCCTGATCGTTAACCAATAAGCTTGCAACACAGCCTTATTAATAACAATGATTCATTTTCTTGTCAGCCGGTTTAAAATTTGTTTAGTTATGTTAAAAACACTTGCTTTTTGTAATGAACTTAACAACTAGGGTCTATTCATCACAACAGCTGAGCAGTAACATATCAAAAAATAAGAAATATGAGGTTGATGTGACAAAGGGTAAGGCTAATGCCACACAAGGTGGTTTTTACGGCTGGCAACAGCTGTTTTAGTAGCTGAAAAAATAGACACAATGGACGTGAATGGTGTATGCCACACTGAGCGATAAAAACCGCTAACCTGCCACACAGGTGGTGTTCAGTCGCAACAACGTGAGTGCGGCTGTTTTAAATGCTTTATATGTGACATCCTGCAACAATTATTTCGGTTGCAATCATTTCCGAGCTGAGAAAATCGCCTCATGTGGCATTACACTAAAAAAAACTTTTATATCAATCGGCACCATGCCCAACAAGGGCCGTAAATTGGTATGTAAATAATATTAAACATTAAATTTAAGGACAAAAGTATTATAAAATATGAAGTAAATACTAGATTAACCAGTGGTGTGGTTGTAAAGTTTCCAGTACAGGAACACTCACAATTGATAGAATGCCTGTAGACTACGACACCTTTGGGCCTTGGGCTATTCTGTTCTTTATTATATCAATAACACCTCTACGTTAAATATTTTCGGAAAAGTTTTTTAATTTGCAGACGATACCCTTATTTTCCTGCAGGGAAAAACTTGGCCCAAGGTTTGAGATAAGGCTTTGCATGATCTTACGATTGTAAATAAATGGTGCAATCAAAACTTACTTTCATTAAATGTTAATAAAACAAAATACATACCAATTATTATTAATAAGATACGGATAAAGGAGTAGAAATCAGTGAACAAAATAGCACAGTGAACGCAACAAAATAAATAGGATAGCTAAAGATGTTAAAAAGTTTATGTAATTGTTACAAGACTTCACTGGTCAGAGTTTAATTATTAATTTATTATCGATTCATTGAGATGGGGTTGTCACCTAGGTGTGTATATTGACCCAAATATGAGTGAAGGACGAAGAAGAATGATTTTAGATGATCTGTGCTAGGTTTGTTACCGACTAAGATCAGCTGTTTCATCAGTCACGATCATTTATTTAAGCCCAAAAATGAGGAACAGCTGGATCTAATTTTGAACCATCAAAAATATACTCAAAATTCATATTTGTGGCTCCTGGACTATATATCTAATATATATATATATATTGTTAAAACAATATGTTTTACCTCAGTCAAATAGTCTAACAATTAATATTGCTCATTAGCTTTCATGTAAGTGTTACATTACATACCTCCGTCGAATAGTCTAACGATTAATATTGCTCATCAGCTTAGCAATATTAATCGTGTGACTATTTGACTGAGGTATGTAATACCTACCTATTAATTGTCTTAAAAAGCTACTGACTTTTCTCGGGATCGAACCGGCAACCTTTGGATTGTTAGGCGAGCAATTTAACCACACAGCTAACCAGCCAAATAAATAGGCTACCTCCGCCCGTTTCAAAAACATTGTAAAAATGTTCTTTAAGATATACAGTTTTGTATAAATATAGTCTTACCCATTTGAAAGCAGGAGCCCAGAAGAAAATTGTTTTAGGACCTGTAAATAAATTCATCATTGTCAACCAGACTCCCAAGTCAAAGTTAGTTCGGACAAAAACGATAAAAGATATTGCTTTAACATAGCCTTGATGATGTACTTGAAGTAACGTATAATTTCAAGTAAGCCTAATCACACAATAGCTACCTGGCACTAGTACAGCTAAGTGTAGGCCTAAGTTAATTGTATTTTCATAGGCCTAGCCTAAAAACAGAGGGCCAGGCTTACAAGTGACCATGGGATTGCATCGTAGCTGGAACAGCTTATTGTGCACAGGCCCAGCCTAGATAACCTATATGGGCCCTAAACCTCCGTTAGCTAAAATAGATTAAAAGTAATAATTTACCCTGAATCGTAGGCTATACCCTGGACATTAAGAATAGCCTATAAAACATTGACTTGAATTTACACAAACCAGAGGCCTAGAGCAAACATTAGAAATAAATTAGCATGGCTAGTAGAAAAAGACAATAACAAAAACATAAAAAGAATTACATAAAAGAAGCTTATCCTTGAACACAGCTATTTAAAAGCCTAAACCACATTTACTTTTTGATCAAATTATCTTCGACTTTATTCTAGGCATTGGTTTTAAATTAAAGAAATATTTTAGCCCAAAATTTAAGGATAGTGAATAGGCTAATTAATTTAGTGTACTAATTTGAATCAGCTCACCTGCAGGATGATTCCAGAGTGGCTGAAACTTGGTAGGGACGAATTTGTCTGCAATTTGAATGGTTTTTCGGTAAATTAGAGACATTTTGATGTCTCAAACTTGTAGGAAAGATTTAGAAGTATGAAGGTCAAGAGGATGAAAGTTATCACAGTTCACGGTTAGTTATATGTATTACCATCTTTCAATTTTAATCCCCACTCTTTTCCATTTCCAAAACATAACCTTGCACATAGCAGACGAAAATTGACTATAATCCTTCTCCCTGTTTAATTTTGAGCTGGCTCAAATTGCTGTCATGTAGTGTTTACAAAAACACACCGTATGGTGTATGGCCACATGACACGGCTTCTTTAAAGGTGGCCGTGGGCGTGGGTATTATAGGCCTAGTACTGTATAGATAAAATTACAGTTTAAGGTAAACATAGCCTTGGTAAATTTTTGATCCGTCTATGATGGTATGGGGTACCAAAAACATCGAATTTTGATTTTAAGAGTCAGTCTAGGGGAACTTGTCAAAATATATATGTCACAGCCACAGCTCAACAAGGCGAGCTGATGTATACGTAAAAGTCCCGTTTCCATTAAACGTTTTATCCCAACAATAATGGGAGGTAAGCTCAAGCATAGATAAAACATACTCCGCTCAAGTTAATTTGAGCACAGCTCCCAACAATGTTGGCTCGCTGTTTCCTTTCCATATCCCAAGCAGTTTGCGCTTTCATAGGTTCTCAGGGAACTTTCAGAATCATCCTCATCATCCTCATGGCAATGTGTGATGTGAAATATATGATTTTGTATGTAGACGTGGGTGTTCAGGGCAGAATATCTTAGGCTAGTATTATACTAGGACGCTGGCGTCCGAGAGGCCAGCGTCCGGGACGCTAGCGGGGCATTAAATCAAATGGGGGCGATTATACTATGGATGCTAGCGTCGGATGCTAAAAAAAGCCACCGAAAGCTCGAAATGATTACCGTGTGGCATGGTAAAACGTAGGCCCGGGACCGATTTACTTTTTCATTTTGATGTCGCCAGAGGCCAAAAACACCATCCGTTCGTATAGATTTGAATATTATATATATATGTCTGTAAACGCGATAACTGGAGTAACTTTTGTTCTATTTTGAAAAAAATTGGTTTTAAGGTGAAGGGTGGGATAAATTTGAATGAGTTCGCGAACCAGCATGAACATACCTTGGAAACGGGGTTTATGTGCTAAAAAGGGGGGTTTGTCATTTTTTACCCATAAAACTAAAAAATTCACAATTTCTCTCTAGATAATTTTAATGAGCTTAAAAACAAATAATTTAGTACCTATATTTAAGTGTTTTTGTACTGTTATTAGTTATGGAGAAAATTTAAAAAAGAGTATATTAAAATTGCCATGTTATTCTTATAGAAAATGTTGTTAAGTGTTGGAATTTGCTTGTGTATGGATATATTTCGATTAAACTTGGCCAATTTGTTTTATACTAAGCTAATAATACAGTATTTTACTAAAAAACACACTTTATTAGCCCCCTTAAAGCATAAAACCTTGGTACTCGTTAAACCTAATGCTATTTAATGTTACAAAAAGTGACTAAACATTGAAATAAAATGGCAGTCCGAGAGGCTAGCGTCCCAACACAAATCACGTAATTTATCGGCTCGAAGTGGGACGCTAGCGTCCCGGACGCCAGCCTCTCAGACGCTAGCGTCCTAGTATAATACTGGCCTTATTGTGTTGTATTAATGAGTACTGGTTTTTCCCGGCACTTGAAAGGAACTAGTTTAAGCTCCCGCTAAAACAAACATTACCAGGCATATAGTCACAGAATTACCATTTGTATTTGTGAGAGTGGCTGATGATACTTTCCATATTGTCAGTGCACGTCATGAAACCATTTATGGAAGACATAGGATCTATTGAAAAAGCGTTTAATTATCATCGGTACTCGCAAACACGGAGGGTCATCGAAAATGTGTTTGGTAGATGAGAAGTGTGTTCCAGAGCTAGGCTTCAAGAAAACCTATTCTGCTTGATCCGGAAAAATGCAGCATCCGTTACTTTGCCACGTACCTATCTACACAATTTTTGAGACGGTAAATTCAGACTCTTATGAGTTTTTGATAGTGAGGACGAACAGGGCAACATGTTGTAGGTGGATCATTGCGAAAGGATAATTTCGAACTCCTTGGCCTAAGATGGTGCACACTGCGCACAGTTGAATGAAAATCCTGGAATTTTCATCTGAGAGGAGTTTGCAAAATTTTTTAACAGTCAACCATTACTGTGGCAAAATTGTTAGGCTTAAATTGGAAAAATATACACAAGGTTTCACCAACAGTGATTTTAGACCTTATTTGCAATACAATTTAAAAGCAGGCAACTATTAATGGGTGTTACAAATCGTTTTTGTATTTTAATAAATGCATTAGCGTAATTCATACCAAGACAGATGGAAATACTTTTTTTTACAATTAATAATAAAAACTAGTGGCCTGTAGGGGCCATAGCCCCTAATTTAGACACAATTGTCCATATGAAGGCAACTCCCCATTTCGCGGTAGTAAGTCAGAAATATATCTATGAATTTGTCCCTGAATTTTAAAACAGGAAGGCCCATTTCCCTGGAATCTCTTTATGTGTAGCGGAAAGCGACGCAAAAGCCATTGCACTGTTGTATTGCCTTATACTTTTTATGAAGTTAGAATCATAAAAACATGACTTTTAGTTCGTAATTTAATTGTGGTTGTGACATGTTAAATAGTCCATAGTGGCAACATGCGTCGAAATGTCCATTTGTGGCCTCCTCTGCGAATAATGCGCCACAATGCATGCAAGTGCTAAGAGGACCTAATAGATTGTGAGAAAAAACACTCAACTCCTTTTCCAGCGTTCTTCTGAAGGCAGGTTGTAAACCAGCTTGTGTATTTTCATATTTAGGCCTTACATGACGTTCTCTTTCAGCATTTCTTGTGTTAGTTGAATTCCTGGATACTCTTCCACGTCTTGCAGGTCTTCCCCTACCCTGTCTAGTTACTTCACTCATTATAAAAACGGAAAACCAAAAAATTAAACGAATACATTTCATTTTGAAACATTATTTAACAACATTGACTTTCGGAATAAATGTAAACATTACAAATAAATTTTCAGTAGTTTTTCAGTCCCATGCTTTTCTTATGGGTGATATTTTACGTTATATCTCGTTTTCCGGTAACTTTATGGGAATTCTGCTATTTTTCCCGAGTCCCTGGGGTCAAGGCCTTTAATTTAAGACCCCTCCCACTTTTCTGCCACTTACCAGACGTCCACAATTTTCTGGTAAAGATTTTGTCTTACAGAATTATATATAAGGATATAAGGATGCTGTGTTAAATATTATGAAAAAAAGATTAGTCATTACAACACACGATTTGTATTTGAGGCATATCCTAAAAATATTTTCGCTACACTACTGTGAAATAGCCCGTTTTCGCTACACACTATGTGAAATGACCTGTTTTCACTACACACTGTGTGAAATGACCTAATTTCCCTACACGTGAAATTACTTGTTTTCGTTGTGACACGTTTAATTATCACCTTCGAAAATCTATAATTACTTTGTTTACTACGGCATAGAAGTACGGTCCGCATAGAATGCCGACGATATCACATTTCTATTGTTTGAATTGTAGGAGTTAGGAGGATTTCTCACACCTTGGTTGCTACCAACTTCAGTAAAAAATCTGTTAAAGCTGTTGCACACCTCATTGGGATTAGTAATATGGTTACACCACTGTTATCCTTAATAAATACTATCCATTGCCTTCTTTTTCTTGGCCTGTTTTCATTTATTACTTTCCAAATACCCTTGGTTTTACTGCCTGATTCTTCAATCTCGTAGTTTCGTATAAGTTCCAAGTAATTTATGAGAAAATCATAAAATTTCATTTTCGTGTACTTTAAAAATCAGCCTCTTCAAAGATCGGATCAACCATAGATAAACCCAGCTTTCGCGCCAATAGTTCATGTTTTAACAAGTTAGTCAAACATTCAACATAACCCTACGAAATTTATTTATTCAAATTCTAAATTTATGATTACTACACGTAGTAGACACTATTCAACGCCTGCACTTGTTGTTAGTATGCTCACAGCAGTTATGCATACTATTTGCTTCTCACAAACTGAAGGCGTTTCTGAATTCTTATAAAGCAACAGTAGGCGGGAACTGAATACTGAATGCAACGTTGCCAAGTCTCCATTAATTACTACGGCTACAGTACAAGTTCTGACGTCAACTTTATTTTAGGACGTGTGATTAATATCAGCCTTTATTTGTTAGGAAAATTCTTATTACAAATTCAAACTGACTTAGTTTAAAATGCATTACGCTTCGGTTTATTGTTAACAATTGGACGCGTCATTGAATACAAATAAAAAAGAATGTTCTTGTTATGTTGAAAGATGATCCGCCTGTAAAATCGAATCTGCTTCAACTTTCAAGTCACATGAGGCTTAATAATCTCGTGTTGGGTATTATGAGTTTAGAAACATTGAGTCTTGAAACTTGAGTCTAAAAATACAGTATTACGCCATACACTTATCGCGAGAGATCCAAGTCTTGAGTCTTGATTCATCTCTCTTGAATCTTGAGTCTTAACACTGAAAACTTAATTATTATGAGTTTTTAGCGATTTTTCCATATAGGGATAAGCTGTTGCCACAGATCTCATGATGAGACCTGAACCCGGGACCGATCTACTTGTTCGTTTTTAGGTCTCCAGAGGCCAACAACATCCATTCAAATGTATGTTCGTTAGCACGATAACTCGAGCAAAAATGGCCCTACATTGATAACATTTGGTACAAACGAGTAAACCTAGATTAGTTCGAACGAGTTGGCGAACCAGCATGATCGGACTATGGAAACGGGGGTTTATGGGGTTTAAATCATCGGGGTATTCACATTTTTGACACTAAAAACATCAATTTTTAAAATAACCTCTCTAAACTATTTTGTAGAGTTTAAGAAAAACAAATAGTTTAGTATATTAAAGCGTTATTATGCCGCTTTACTCTTGATAGGTAGTGGAAAAAAATTTATATTCCCATGTAATTTTTGGAGAATAGGTTAACTAACTGTTGTAGTTTGCTTGCTTATGGATATATTTTGATCAAATTTTATTTCATACTATATACTATTAACATTTTTTTATCAAAAAACACCTTGTCAGTTCCCTGTAGCAGC